AGCCAGGAAGTCCTTGACTACATCATGAATTCTTAGAGTTTCAGAGACCCTTTCAGCTTCAGCTTCAGTGGCAGCCTCATCATACTCTACAAGCCAACCTTCCCATGAGGTGGCATATCTCATAGGCCTCAGAGCCACCAAATAATGGTCCCTGGCCTTGTCTCTTTCCATATCATCCTCAATTCCAATAGTGGTTCTGAGAAGTCTGATTTGCTCTCTCAGTTGAGTACCAAAGCAGCAACATGTCTTCTGCAGATGCTTGGAGACAGTGGATTGGATGTGTTTGACCAAATCTTTGCGACTTGCTTGTTCTCTCTCCCACTCTCTCCATTCTTCCTTGTATGCCTCCATCTCCATCTTCCAGTTTTCCAAATCATCTTTGTATGCCTTGAGGTCTAAAGTTGATAGATCTGACAGGAATCTAGGTGGAACACGGTCGATTGCTTCATCGTTCGTGGAGGTAGCTTGGACAGATTGTTGGGTGTGGCTTCTGGTACTCATGGTATTAGAAGAGGCATTCTCAATAGTGGGGATAGCTGGGAGTGCAGGCTCATAGTCTGAGACTTGAGGTTTGAGTGGAGCAGTAGATCTTTCCATGAACTTCTTGAATCCATCAGGATCAATCATGTCCCAGATATCCGATGCATCTGCCTTGGATTGTAGTTGGGTGAACCAGGAGGTCCAGTCCTTGCTGGTAGCCAGAGTGGCTTGAGTTTGGTTGTTGATCGTGTTGGTAGACATGTTGGTAAAGGTAGTGAGACTCTTAATTGTCAGATTTGATGGTATCTGAAGATGTCACGGTGACAGAAAGATTGAATGAAGATGGGTTGACTGATTGTATTCAGGTGTGTGCTTGTGTGTGTGAGGCTGAGGCCTGACACCGGTTTTGATGTTCCTTCTCTGGGCATCAAGGCTGTGCAGGGCACTAGCCACTGCAGAATCACTAGCCACATATCCTCAGACAGTACCGGTATAGATAGTTTCTCCCAGTCCTCCTCTCCAGTCCCAGATGAGATATCCATAAACTGGCTTACCATCTGACAACTATATTGAGCGGAAATGGGGTTCTAATCACAGGTTTTTCTATGATGAACTAAGGGAAGCTGTATAGGAGGCATGGAATGCGATTTCTGAGGAGGACCTTGATGCCCTAATAGATAGCATGTCGGCTAGGTGTGAGGCAGTGATAGCTGCTCAGGGCGGCCATACGAAGTACTAGCCTATTACATAAGCTTATCTCTTCTGTTCTAACATATATATACAAGATCAATTACTAAGCATAATACACCACCCCTGCAACCTCCGGACCCACGTTGACTACTTCCCCCGGCAACCACAGTAGACCGTATTTACACCCTAATTTTATAAGGAAAAGGTATAGAATAAGAGCGTCATTAAAAAGAGCGGCTTCTAAATGCTAGATGTACAAGTTTCCGCGTTGAATTTGGGTGGGTGGTGGGTGAGTTATCGCGGCGTGAAAGTGACGACTTAGTAGTGCCTTACTGGTATGCCCTCTATTAGTTACTGGTATGCCCGTTAAATTGAGTCTGCGAGAACGCCATGAACCAGCCACGCGCTGCGAGCTGCAAAGGATGGTGCTGTCGCTCCATAATAAAGAAGGCGTCGAGGCGTGGGCGGTGTCTCGACATGGCGGCCGTTTGGGTGTCGCACAAGTGAAGCAGTGCAGTGCAACACTCTCGGCCGGGTAGGTGGATGGAGTCAGCAGTCGAGCGGATCAGAGAGCGGTGGGCGGGAGCTTGGTGTGGCGGGTGGTGCGACAGCAACAGGCGTCAGCGCAACGGTCGACTAGCGGCTTTGTGGAGAACCTTAAGACAAGCTGGGACGAGGGACAAGGACTCGAGGCAAGCGAGAGAGACATGCTGCACTGCGCGGTAGAGAGAGAAAGAAACGTGGAATTGTTGCATTTACCATGATAAAATCGGAGGAGGCAGGCAGGCAGGCTCGCGCCGTTGGAATCATCGGAACCATGGATGTCTGCAGGGGACAACTGGGGGAAACAGAAACAGAAGACATGCAGGCAGCGAGACGGTGATGCATTGCAAATCATCGTAATCGACCTCGTCACCATCGTCATCATCATGCTGCGGCTATTGCATCGACCCATAAGAATGACTGGAAGAAAATGGAAGAAGAGGACTTGACGTGCCTATCATTTTAGCCAAATCAGACTCGCTGGTGAAGGTCGGTTGGAGGCAAGTGTTGAATGTCGTCGCCCAGAATAAACGATGATGATGATAAATAATCGTGACCGGGCCGGGGGCTGATGAGACCCGGTCGCCCGCGCTAGTCCCGTTATGATGAAGCGCGCTTTTCTTGGCCCGCCCAAAAGTGCCTTCCCTTTCCGCCTTCCCCGCCTGCAACACACAACAACAGACTCACACAACCAACACAACGACAACTTTTTCTCTTTCAACTTTTGCCCATTATTCATTGCCCGACTCCTTTCATTGCATTGCCGTTGACTCCCTCCAACCCACCCGCTCTCGCACCCTCAACATCAAGTGCCACCGTCAGTGCCATCAGCATCCATCCTCGGCGATCCGACCGGCAGACAGACGCGGACTTGGCAGCCAGGTCAGGGCATTGCGCCGGGCTCTGCTTCCGCTCAGGCCCCCCCTTCCCCTTCTCGACCTCTCGCCTGCTTCCCCTGCCACAACGCAAGCTTGGGCAACTGCTCTGCGCTCCGAACCAGGACCTTGCCCTCCCCTGCAACGGCTGTTTGACGTTTATTTCACCACGCAGGGCCCCAGCTCCCTCAGGTCCACCGAGTCCACCCGCCCATCCTTCGACCCAGGTCAACCCCAGCTTGCTCCCCCATCGCAAAAAGCTCTTCTTGCAACAACTCGGGCAAGCTCTGCAGCTTCTGCTCCCCCGGCTCATCAGCAGAGGGCCGTGTGAAATTGCACCAGGTCCGCGCTACTGCATCCATCCTGTCCCCGTGGACCCCCGTCTGCCGGTGACCCCCGGCCGAACCGACCAGCATCCCTACGTCCTCCCCTCTCGCCCCCGACCGCGCTTTCGCTGAGCTTGCAAAATCAACATGTCGCCGTCGCGTGCTGGCGATAGGGCCAGAAAGTATAAGGAAGAGCCGGCTCCTGGAACGGCGCAGAAGCTGGTGAGTCTTGCCTCCCTGTTCGTTGTTCGTTCCCTTTCCACCCCCCAAACAAGCCCCTTCGAACGCGCTCCTTGCCTTGCTCCATTCGTTGCGACTCTCCTCCCCCCGTTCCCGCGTGGTCGCGGTCGTGGTCGTTTTCTGTCCGACCGTTGGCACTTCGAGAAGCCGCGTCCTCCATTGTTGCGCCTGCGTCCGCCGCCCGCAACCTTGAAGCCGCGACCGCCCTCGCTGCCTCCTTCGCATGCTTGCTGCTGCAGCACCTGCAAGCCGCATCCACGCTCTCCTGTCCCCCCAGCCCGCCGTCGACGCCGACATGGTATGCCCTCTTCTCGCCAAGATGCCCACTTGCCCCTGCACCGTCGCACTGCTACAATGTGCTTCGCCGCCTTTCCGGGATCGCTCGCCCTCGTCTCGACCAGATACCCCTCCTCTCCCCACCCCTGCCCTTCCCTCCCTGCACCATCGTTGAATGTCTTTACACAGTACTTCCTCTGCGCGCCTCTCTCTTTCTTAAAAGACTTTATACCTTCTTGCTTCTCAAAAGGGCACCTTCGCAAACAGGTTGACTGACGGCCGAGACACAGCATCAACACCACCCCCACCCCGCGCAGGGTTTGCCACCGCCCACCCAGCTTCCCCAGCATCAACAACACCAGCAGCACCCACGCCCTGTGGCGGTTCACCATCAACAGCCACATCCCGACTCGCCGCACCAGAGCCAGCCTGCTCAGTCTCCTGCTCAGGCCCATTATCCCTCACCCCATCCTTCGAATCCCCAGATCCCCCCGCAGCACCCCTCTCCCTACGTGCACCAGCTTCAAGGGCCGCCTGGGCCTCCGCAGCCCGAAGTCCCGTACTACAGCACTCACCAGAGCCCGTATAGCGCCAATCCGTCTAACAACAATTACTCGACTTCAGGTACATACGCCTCCTGGTCGCGCCCATGCGCAACGTCATCAGCGGGGGTTCCGACTAACACGTGCGCAGACGCTCCCGAACTCATGGCGACTGCCATGAACAGGCCCGGCTACCCGCCTTACCACCAGCCGCAGAACAATGCGCCCGCTGTCCAGTCTCCCCAGCACGATGCTCACGGAAGGCCCATCTATGCTCAGCATGGCCAGATGGGAGGCCAGCCAATGTATTATTCGACCCCCTATGGACCCCAGTCGTCTGTTCAACAGCCTTCTCCCTATCCCCCGCATGCCACGAGCCAGCAGCAGCAGCCACACATGGGCAATTCCATGTTGATGTCACACCCGCAGCCGGGCCAGCAACCGATGCAGCACGTACATCAACAGCCACCTCACACGCCTGGTATGCCGGGGAGTCCCAAAGCGCGAACGGCGTCAACACCTTTGCAGCAACCTCTCCAACGGCCGCCCACTGGGCTTGCGGGACCGCCTCAAGCGGCGCCCCAGGGCCCTCCCGTTGGAACGCCCAACATGCACCCCGGCGGCCCCGGGCCCGCTTTCAACTCCAATGCTGCCCCTGGCCCGATTCCAGCCACGACTCCGTTGGTGGTAAGGCAGGACCAAAACGGCGTCCAATGGATCGCGTTTGAGTATTCGCGCGACCGCGTCAAGATGGAGTACACGATCCGCTGCGATGTCGAGTCCATCAACGTCAACGATCTCCCGCAAGAGTTCAAGACGGAGAACTGTGTCTACCCACGCGCGTGCTGCCCCAAGGACCAGTACAAGGGCAACCGCCTCCACTACGAAAACGAGTGCAACATGGTAGGATGGGCGCTGGCCGAATTGAACCCGTGCCTGCGCGGGAAGCGTGGGCTGATCCAGCGTGCCGTGGATAGTTGGAGGAACTCGAACGCAGACGTGCGGTTGCGAAGCCGGCGCGTGAGAAGGCAGGCGAAGATGACGAACCGCAAGGCTGCGGCCGAAGCGATTGGAAACCACCTGACCGGGCCCGGCGGACCGGGTGCACCGGGTGTTCCCAATTCTGCCGGACTGGCAGCACCACCCCAACCTCCTCCTGCCATGGCCATGGGTGGGCCCCAGATGCATCACCACCATGATCACCCGGGGGCACCTCCGAGAGGGAACGAGGACGTCAGCGGTATGTTTCACCAGATGTGATTGACGATGCGGTTTGCGTGTTTTTGTCGATGATGGGTTTGGGCGAAGATGATACCTTCTGTCGTTTCCGTACTGCATGTACATTACCTACCACTCCTTGATGTAATCCCCCCTTGAGATACCACTACCCCAAGCACAAGCACTACATACACACTTCGCATCTTCGCTTCCAAGTCAATCACTGCACATGTCCATCTATCTATCCTTTCTTGCGAGTCTGGCGGGAGTCCAGGTATGCTACTGAATGTGCAAGCTAACATTCTCCTCTCCGCAGCGAACAACTACCCAGAAGGGCAGATGCACCACCATCAAGCCCCCAACGGCGAGACTGCCTCTGCCAACAACAGAGTCCGTCCTGCGCACAACCTTTATCCTGCATTTCCCGGCAGCGAGTCGGTAGCCCAGCCGAGCGGCATGCCGCCGATGCATGATGCCATGAGACAGCACCCTCGGCCGCCTTACTCGGCCCATGCCACCAAGAAGCACGACGAAGAGGAGGAAGAGCGCAAGGTGGCCATGTTCGGCGACCTCCCAGAATCCAAGCGGCGCAAGTTCATCCTCGTAGACGACACGCAGCGAGGCACCAGGGTCCGGGTGCGGGTCACCCTCGACACCGTCAAGCTGGAGGAGATGCCCGATTCCTACCGCAAGTCCAACTCGGTCTATCCCCGCAGCTACTTTCCCATGCAGATGTCCTCTCCGCCAGCAAGCCCGAGAGGTAGCAGAGTCTTCAGCGACGAAGCCGCGTCAGAGGATGACCCCACGTCCCCGGTAGTCGGCTCTCAGCTTGTGCCTGTCCCGACGGTGGACGGCGAGGCGAATGTGCCTGTACCGCGCATCACGAAGGCGAAGCGGGCCAAGGAGATTACGTTGAACGACTTCGGTTACAGGATGAGCTGGAGCCAGAGCCGTGTCTTCGCCGGGAGGACGCTCTTCCTGCAGAAAGCTCGTAAGTCTGGGATCCGTGACGACATGGAGGAATGGATACTCACAGCCTATAGTTGACGCATACCGCAACAAGATGCGAACCACCATGGTCGGAGCCGGCCAGGAAGTCGCACCGCACTTCGAGACGCGGCTGGGCAAGCGCAGGTGGAACGAGAGAATCGAAGAGCGACTCCGGAAGAAGGAGGGTTCGGATTAAACAGGTGTTTCGTGAGAAAGCGGCCGTTTATGAATAATTTGCTGGCCCATGCCCGCTTCTCCGGAATTACGGGGTTGTGCCCATGACGAGCCAGGGTCAACTTCCCTTTTCGACACGGACCTGGACCCCGCTGGCACGTGCGAGTTTCGTCTAGGTTGATGACGCCTTCGCTCGTGAGCCTGAGTCTCGGAACTTTCAAGCATGCCATGAGCTTGCTGCCTTGATGTCTTCTCTTCCTCACGGTTCAACTTTCTTCGACGGATGATGTTTTTCTGCACCTGCACTTGTTTTCCCTCCTCGGCGTGCATATACCCTGTTTGACTGGGAGCGATTCGGCAGCGGGTATCTGATGCGACGGATTCATTTTTGGCCTTTCCGGGTTTTTGGCCTTCGGTTTTTGGTGCACGGTTTATTGGAACAGGTGGAGAAAAGGGATTGTGTGGGAACCGGAAAAGGGGTGTCCACTGGCTCGGTGGGCGGCTATATGATATTTCTCTTCTTCTTCTTCTTCTTTTTATTTCTTTTCAAATGACAAGAGCGAGTGAGGAGCTGTTCCAGCGACTGCTGCTACACGGCTCTAATGTTTTTATCGATTATGTGTGAGAAAGTATGTGGTATCAATGGATAACGGGACTTCTTGTGAGAGGGAGTGACAAAATGGGAAAGAGGGTTGGGTAGCTGCGAAGAGGATAAAAAATATCAAGCAGTTTGCTACCTAGTTTCTCGTGTTTAGTGGTGTACAGCCTCCTCCCACGTCCGACTGAACAACCCCGAGTACTTCCAATCCAAGTTAGAATACGTATTTTAAGAAATCTAATTAGCTATATTCTAGTTTTGCTACGAGGGCACGGTGTTTAAGGCTGGTTATACCTAGAGGGAGGCGCAGAAAGGGCCAAGTAGAAGGTTATTAACCCCTACGCGCACGGTCGTGTTCAGTCGGACGTGAAAAAAGGCAGTAGATGGCAATAAATAGGATTTAATCCTTAGAAATGTGGATGTGTGCTGGGAGCATTCCAAGAGACTTGTCGCACCTTTTATCGCTGTGCTCAAGGTTGCTGTATAATTGTGTAAGCCCAACCCTTTCTTATATGCCTGGAGTCTTGCAGATTGCTCCTACTTTAGGTTCTGTTGCTTTGCTTCTTGAGGGATGGCTTTGATCGTGGGAAAAACTGAACATATGGGTTTGGTTGCATCCTTGCAAGTTTCATTCGAGCTTGGATAAGGGATAGCCTATGTAGTCAGTCTTATTAATCTAGTATCTACCCTGTTTTCCCTAATTAGAGTGCGGTGTAGTATTACCACTACTGGCAGTAGCTGCTCCATTGGCTGTGTATCGAGGAAGTTAGTGATTCTTACTGTACCCACAGTTTAGATACAAGTCATCGATCGAAGTTGCCAATGATGTTATTAGCACAATGAGTGTTTATTCTGTAGCAGAAGGTCGACTATCGCCTTTTCCAGCTCTTTTCTTTTTCTTTTTCTTTTCTTCTTTTTCTTTAAGCTGTCAGTCTAGTCTTCCTACAGATGTCAACGGGCATACCACTCTCCAATAGCTTTACATGATAGAGCGGCAGGACCGCAGATGGCAACTACGTGTCATGCTATTGAGTAGGGAGCTACGGAAAGGACTTAGGTTGATCTGAACATTCCAAAGACTTATTTGACTTCACAGCGTGCATGCACTGTACTTTTGCTATAATCGTATAAATCAGCGTCTGGTATTCGCTCGATGCTCATTCTATATCCATCACAGTCAGCCACAGAGACAGACACTCGGCCGATTTCCACTCCAGTACGGACGTTGCCCGCTTAAAATCCCCTCCTCTAGCAACGTCTCGTCCACTAGCTACTCGTCCTCGGAACCACCAGCTTCTCCCAAGTATCCTTCTCAGGCCACCCATCCACCATACTCCCCGTATACCCACACTTCTTCTGCCAGCACTTATAAGAGTTGCGATCCGCGTCGGTCCACTGAGGACCAGGACCAGACTGATATTCATTGCAACCTTGGGTAACAAGCCGTTTCCCCATCTCCGTAATGATAGGACTCTTCGGCGCGGTCTTGAACCACGCCTCGCCCGGAAACGGTTCGACAGGCAAGGGCGTCACACGAGGCACTTTGAGCGCGCTCCAGCTAGCGGCTCCGGGCCACCCATCCGCGTCTTCACCCGTGTATCCCAGTTTCGTCTGCCAGCACGCATACGATTTCTGCGTGTCGTCGGTCCATTCGGGACCAGGCCCCGTGTCAAATTTGTCACATCCCTCGGCTACGAGCCGGTTGCCCAGCTCGAGGATGATCCAGCTGGACGGCCGCGTCTTGAACCAATCCGCCCCGGGGAAGGGCTCGTAGAGGATGGGGTCCGGGGCGGGGAAGTCGCCCGTCCAAGGGACGCGCAGGCGGTCCCAGCTCGTCTGGCCGGGCCAGCCATCAGCGTCGGCGCCCGTGAATCCCAGTTTCTCCTGCCAGCACTTGAACGAGTTCCTGTCGACGTCGGACCACTGGGGGCCAGGACCTTGTGAATATTTGTTACAGCCATTCGCGACCAAGCGTTTGCCCATGGCGGTGATGATGGGGCTGTTGGGCTGGGATTTGAACCATTCGGCGCCGGGGAAGGGCGTCAGGCGCTGGCTGCCGACGTCCCCGTCCGCCGTCCGCGGGACCTTGAGTTTGTCCCAACTCGTCTGACCCGGCCAGCCGTCGGCGTCGGCGCCCGTGTAGCCCAGCTTCTGCTGCCAGCACTTGTACGCCGCCTGGTCGGCGTCGGTCCATTGTGGGCCAGGGCCTTCGCTGTACTTGTTACATCCCTCAGCGACCAAGCGCTTGCCCATGGCCGTGATCACCGAACTGTACGGCTTGGACTTGAACCACTCTGCTCCTGGGAACGGCGTGAGGTCCGGAGACGGAGTGCCACCGCCGTCGCCGCCATCTCCCGGGTCGGGCTTCTCACCGAGCGGGACACCACGGGCGGGGATCTCGAGCTTCGTGCCAATGACCAGCGTGTACGGTGCCTTGAGTTTGTTCACATCGATGATGTAGCGGCTGGGGACGTTGTACTTGAGGCTGATGCTGTCCAGGCTCTCGCCGTTCTGCACGACGTGGCTCCCGCCATCCCAGAGCTTCCCCGGATCAAGGGTCCCGTCTTTGACCAACTTGTAGAGAGGTTCGCCGGGACACTCGGTATTGTATCCGTCTCGATGGCCCTTGATCTCGTTGCCTGCGCCGGCCCGGCGCAGATACGCAATGGCGTCTTGAATGCCCGTGATTTGCGACTGGGTTGGTTGCGTAATTTCGTACTTTGCCAGGAAGGCGAGAACAGCGTAATGGTCGGAGTTGAGTTGCTGGTCCCCGTTGGCGCCGCTCTTATGCCCCTTGCCCCTGCCGTCGTACACGTAGCCGTGCTGGCAGACGGCGAGGCTGTACGCGACGTCGAAGTACTCTCCCGACATCTGGTCGGCTTGCACGGAGCGCATCATGTCGTCGCATTGGGCGTGCTCCCGGCCGCTGAAGACGGCGCCGAGGTAGTGGATCTTGACTCCCTTTGCGTTGGTCATGTCTTTATAGGGCTCTTTGGGGGGTTGCGCGCCCCATTCCTCGCGGGAGACGAAGTACATGGCCGAGACGCCGGGGATGAGGGATAAGTACGAGAGGAGGGTTGTCAAAACTAGGACGCGGGAAGCCATTTTTTGGAGGATTGCTGAGGTGCTCGCATGGAGGCTAGTATGGCCTGCCATGATGACTTATGCTGTCCTGGATCAGATCAGATTAGAAATGTGTCCATCTAGAAGAAATGGGCCAGGGAGTACCGTACCTAAGACAGTCCGATGTGCCTCGTGAGGAACGAGTCTGGCGTTGGGGAGGAGATGATTTCCATGGAGACATTTCCCCTACTATTTATCTTCTTCTAGTCCCTCTCGTATCGGTGCTCGCATTGCCTCTCTTTGTGAAACCCCTCTAGCTTCTTAGCATTAGCCATGCCTGCTCTGCAACGACAAATCCCCTTGCTATGTTGCTGGGAGAGGCCTTCTACACCAAGGGCCCCTAGAGTTGCCAAGAGAGGGAAAAGCTTGTGCCTAGCTGTACGCGGTAGTAGTCCCGGCCCCGGCGGCCTATTGTTAGTGTAACTTGTGCGGCTCGGACTAATCCTACCCATACTTTCGAGGGGTAATGCTCGTATTCCGCCTCGCATTTGCGGTCGTTGTAGAACTCCTAGCCTAGCGGGGAGTTTGTCTATCCGCGTCGGGGACCTGCCAAGACAGAGTACGCTACTCTTCCACAGAGGGATTAGTTATCCCGACCTATTTTTGCAACACACAGATGCATGATAGCCCTGGGAATCTTGGCGTTGAGATCTGAGGTTGCATACTGGTACTTCCCGGACGAAGAGAGGCGGCTGGATTGATGAGCCGAGCGTTACCTTCTTGATTTGGATACGGGGCGGGATAGATATTGAACGTGTGGGGATTCTGGGACGGGCCTGTCAGTGTGTCTGTGGCGGACGGACTTCACGTGGATGAGAGAGGAACGGGCAGTGCAATTGTTGCAGTCGAGGTATGCTGTATTCGTTAGCAAAGCTTCTCTTGTATTATATGTTCTTCTCATGTCTTCATCCTACTCCTACGTAGGCTCTCCGAGGCAAGCAAGGGAACCACGCTGGTGATATACCCTAGGGTAGGTGTGCAGCTTCAACTACTACTGTACTCTGTAGCATGCCACTTCTTCTTCTGAGGAACTTCACACTCGTGTGAAATTGGCGGTTAGAATTAGGAGATGGACAATCTCAATTTTCGAGCCCTGGTTATCATTCACTGTAGGTGGTGCTATGCCAAGCCTTGGCATCCCTAGAGTCTAATTTTAGATCCCGCGGGAAATGGGTTGTGCTGGTACGTACGTAAATCAGCCGTTGCCGACGAGATAAACTACTACAAGTTCTGCTTTCTACAACTTTAAAACGAGTGCACTACTTGTTCTCTGTTTATAGAAGTTAGCAGGCATGCTCTGCTATACTATAATAAGAATTCTTGCCTAACTAGATTAAAGCAGGGCTTGCTACCCTGCTTGCATTAGCACGAGCAGATGACTACGCTTTTTTTCAGAGTATCTAGTCGCCATTGGCGACACCATGAATCACTGTAAATTCTAGCACTATGAAAGAAATATAAGCGATCAGCATCCCAAATCCAATCCAACGACAAAACCTTTCGCCAAACCAGACCGTGAGAGTAAATGCAAGCGTTGAACTCCACAACACACCTAGTTCAGGGATGCTCACGTTGCCGCGCTGAAGCTTCCCCGAGGTATCGAGCATAACGATTCCGGAGCACAGTGCGAGCAGGAAAATATTACTGCCGGCTGTATTTGCGACAAGAATGCCGGCATGACCTCGGTGTCCACTCATCACAGCGACGAACTTTTCGGGAAGTGTCGTGGCGATTGCGAGGAAGCACGACACCAAAAAGCACATCCGAGATGCCAAATTCATCAGTAATGGCGGTGGCAGCGTGAGACAGTACGTAGCCTGCGAGGCAGATTGCAAGGAAACCGAGGAAGAGGTACAGTAGATGATAACGTAGGGTGCGATGCCCCTGGCGCCTGAAGTTTGACGACCTTTGCATTGTAGAGCCGCCGGCGTGTGCAGCTTGGTTCGTTTGGTCGTCGCTCGCGGCGAAAGCGCATCCATTCGGTTCATGTTTGTTTGCATCAACGCGATCGTGTGCCACCCGCGCTACGACATTAGCTGTGCTCTCCCCTTCGCTGCTCTCATCATCGCTGCCGTCGTCGGAGTCCTCCGGCGCAGTCAGAGTCCCTTTACTGATTGCCCACCCCACGGACCCAATGTAGATGGCGAAGAATGCGATTAAGATGGAGCCGCAAACCAACCATATTATCTTCTTTGAAAAGTATGTGATAGGGGTCACGAAAGTCGTCAGGATGAGTAGGATGAGGGAGTATAGGCGCGCACTTCGGTCGAACTCGATTGGCTGCTCCTTGTCGTGGAATAAAAGACCCAAGGAGAAGGCCCCTAGGATATTTGAGATTGCGGAGCCAACAATATTGCCGATGGCCAAGGAGGCGCGATTACGTGCGAGGGATGCAATAACAACGGCGAGCTATAATATCAAATGTGATCAGTACAGTAGTAAATCCAGCCACAGACAGCTGCGAGCGTACCTCTTCCCACTCTGCTCCAGCGGTAAGAAGCCCAATGATCGTCTCCGGGACTCGGGTGCGGCGAGCGACGATGGCGGTATGATCAATAAACTTATCCGCACCAAATTCCAAGAGGAACAGTGTAGCGATAAACGCGGCGATGTTGTATGCAACGACATCAGCGTTTGCCATTGTCGCTCCGATCAAAGTAGAGTTGCGCTGTAGGAATGAACAGGGTGGAGTTGCGTAATTACTGTCCTGTGTACGCCATTTCTCTGTAGGCTACGTGCAGGCAACTTTTACCGGTTCTTAGTGACGAGTGCCCAGATGGCTCGCTGTTAGGACACGTGCTTCTGACGATCAATCCATTCAAAGCAAGCTTCAGGCGCTCTCCTGCCATGTTTCGGTCAACGCTTGAGGTGTTCTGCTGTTCCATAACAGTTCAATTACAAGCCACTCGCTTCCTTTCACTTTTCCTGGCCGCTCTGTGTTTCAATCGTGCCGCGGAGATGGGGGAGTTCCCAGGGTTCTTAAGGAGGACCAGTACAACTCTGCCGCGAACATTTGCGCATGCTCGAAAACAAACATCTATTTACTATCACGCCCCAACAAAAACCTGGAGACTCACACAGAATCGCTTGGTCGGCGTGTTTTTGCAGCCCAGTCTTCGCACAGTTTGTCCAAATTTTCCTTCTTCTTTTTCTTTTCTTTTCCCCTTAAAGTATTAACCCTTGGCTAGCTTGAATATAGCTACTTTGCAGCCCCAAGATCGCCTGAAATAGGAGTTGCATCGAGTGCGAAAGTGAGACTTGCTCTAGCCTTGAACTTTGAGAGATATTTCTAGAATCTTTACTTAATTCTTCAGCTTACTATAGGCCGCGCCTGAGATGTTTAGACTGTTCGAACTGTTATTCAAATATGAGATGCACTAAATTCATCGACACCCGTCTTTCTTTTCACTAGTTAGAACAGCCCCCCTCGTCTGGCCGGCGAGGGTCACTTGTCAACTTGATCTGATTAACTGCAGTTCGGCGTCCTAGACTTGGCTTCAACTAATCTGATTATGCTAGCTATACCCCTCATTTTTGTTGAATTTCAGCAGTTGGCAGGCCTACTTGTTCTTCTAGCTACCAGCTGGAAGAGCTACTTCCGTTCGTTTCACTCTTCGTTTCCTTCCTCATTTCTACTCTTGGGCCTTCTCGAAAGTCTCTAGTGCAGGAACGGCGTCGGCGCCTAAATAGCCCAAAACTATTACGACTGAAGACCGCATGTCTCTGTCGCCTGGGATGGACGAGGCAAAAGGGGCTGACGAACGGCTTACCGCGCTACCTCCGATGGAACCTGTGGACTTCGACAGACCCGCGCCCTCGTCTTTCTCTGCCAGTTCTATCAACCTTAAGGGAGAATGGGAGCTGGACACGCAGGCCCTAATCAGGGGTGCCGAAGACATCGTTACGAAGGTACTCTATGCTGATGACGATGCATTACTTAACCCTTGTACTTTCCGCATGTGGTTTATAGGTACGCATCTATTGTATCGCAATCTACTTGCGAATGTTTGCTACCTCTCTTATAGGAATTGGACTCGGCATTTTTGGAGCTCTTATGGAAACGATCTACTTCTTCCGACCCGTTACCCTGGATGTTTCGAATATCTTCCTCGCGTTATGTGCCTACATGATCGGGATTTTCATGGAGAACGCAATCCCAAGGATGGGCGCCATAGGTCGCTGGCTAAACCCGCACTCGTTCAATGCTAAAGAGCAAGCCGCCATCGTTGTCGTTGCCTCATCTGCGTCACAAGTTGCGCTCGCAATAGGCATATATCGTGCACGTCGATGTCACATTAGGAGGGAGCAGTATGCGAACAATGACAAAAATATATAGTACTGTTGCCTCAACAATGTAGCCATAACTGATGTAGTTCTCCAGTCGACTAAGTTTAACTTATCATATGGTCGGAGCACACTGCAAACTCGGTCTCTTGGGGCGTCTGCTCAAAATGCACGTCACACGAGAGACGAAAAAAAGAAGTGGGTACACATTTTGTGAGCTACGTGTCACGACTTATCGGTATTCCTTGCCTGCGGAACGTAGGAATAGTACCTCAATATATTGCAAAGTGCTAATACTAGTAGAGGCCCAGTGTGCAAAGACAAACACGTTTCACCAGCCAAAAGGCGCTCTGGCATATCATAGGGTGTGCAATATTCCAACACCAGAGGCCATTGTTAGCAGAGCCAGAAGACACCCTCCAGCGCCTGGCACGTTGGTTCGGGCCCCCGAACCCTTGCTTGCGGCTGCTTGCGTCGCAAGTCCCTGGGCCGTTGGTTTCGTTGCTGATACGGTGATTTGCGCAACAAGAGCGGTGGCAGACGGAGCGTAGGATGTGCTGGAGAAGGAGCACGCAGACATGATCTTGTTCACATCTATTTGGTTGGGAAATTTTAGTTCAGTCTTCAGGTCATAAAGGCGAGATCACTTACCGTCCGTGGTCCGATTTCCATTAAGTTGTATGCAGCTGGCGCAAAGCGCTGCGATAGAAGCTACGTTGAAACTCTTGTTACTGCAGATGCATTGGGCTTCAATGGGCTCATCCGATTCTGCACCGTCATTGTCATTGGAATTCTCGGCGGCGTTGTCCTCAGATTTGTCGGGGTCGATATCGCAGGTGTTTGTCAACTGAACAATCGGTTGGCAAATGGTTGTGCAGGCGTTTGGTACGTCTGCAGCACGAAGTTCTTCGGCAAAAGACGTAGAGACGAAGAAAATGCTCTGGAGGAGCAGAATTGACAAAACAGCGAAGTGCATGGCGTATAGGTTTGCAAGGGTTAAAAGCGTTGATATGATGTCGACGGCAAGGCTATGAGAAAAAACATTGAGTACAGTCCTAAAAGTACATTCTCTCGCTTTCGAGTCCGGACATGTAGTCAGGGCGTCACGTTTGATCTCACGAAGCTAAGATAAATATGCTACAGTGGCATGAACATTCAGTAACGCATATCGCGCCAACTAGGGAATGTTGGGGAGACCATCGCAGGGGCATTTCGAAGACAAAAGATCAAAGACGAAGCAGAAACTGTTTTGGCGTCGTATTGGCTTCACGTCCCAGACTGTGATAGGAGCTTGGGGAGTCATGGTCCGACCCCACTGGTTAAAGTGTCCAATCGCCTGCGGCTACACCTGCCTCCCTCGTTCCGGGACCCCAGGTTCCCAGATGTCTCAGGCTCACAAATTGTTTCGCCACCCGCATGGACGATTAACGCTAAGAAGATTTTTAACTTTAAAGTTGTTTAACTAAGTTGCACTTTGTACGGAGTATGTAAAGGAAGATCTAGCTTGCAAAGGTTATCAAGCTAGCCGACGTCGAAGGGGCGAGGCTGGGTTGGTCGCCTGTTCGTATTTTCGAAAATCACCTTACCTGGTCGCTGGAAAGTGCTTACCGGTCACGCGGGGCGCAATTGACAGTGGGAGACGAGGAGTTTTGAACCTGCTATTTACGCGGGTAATGATTGTTCCAAGCGGGAAAATATACGAAATTGCGCCAGCCGTGCGACGCACAGTGGTAGCTCTAAAGACACCACAACTTCCCCCATCCTTCATACGTTGTATTGCCATACTACGATCTCCGAATAGGATCTTCTCTGGAACACGATTCGGGCCTGCAGGAGCCATATCGATGGCTCTCCCCACAACAACACAGTGCGCAGAGACACCATCCGGCACTGCGTGCATACCACCTTGCGGTGTAGGAAGCCAGTTCGTCATATCATGGGGCCCATCGTCGACACCACGCTTCAAGGAGTTCAATAACTGACATAGTTGTTAGTACAAATGTTTGGACGCCTACATAATCAGAAACTCCACGCCCTGCGCGGCCCGCGAATATGGATGCATGTGCGGCAGATCCGACGCATATAAAAACGCCGCTTGTTGTATGACGCCAGCTTGTCCGCTCCCCTCGGAACAGTCATTGTCGCTGAATTTCTTGGAGGCATTCTGTTCGACTTTCAATCATTCGGCTAGTTATCCAATCACCGTAGAGTGCAAGGACTGGACTGCTCCTCCAGTGCCTTCGGAGCCGAGTAACACATCACCAGCCCATACAGCGACACCAGTAAATGGAAAAGCTATTGGTGGTGGAGTTGGTGGCGGGGTGGGAGGCTTACTTGCTCTTACTCTGGGAGGGTACTTAATCTGGCGCCGACGCACGAAGAAGAAAGACATTGCCGATCCCTCGACCGCACCCACAGAAGCCGGAAATGGCACAAGATCAGATGGATATGTCAAGCCAGAGCTAGATGGGCGTGAACAAGTTCTAGAAAGGCACGAGCTCTCTCCCCAGGAACGGGATATGTCTGCGCATGAGATTGCTGGGCGGGAAAGAAATCCGCAGGCTGCTGCGCCCAATATAGGATATCAACACCAGATGGGAGGAATCTACCCGTGGGAACCAGTCGGCGAGCTAAGTGGTACTCCGGGGGTGTCTGAGCTAGCGGTCACCCACACTTCGCAAACTTCTGAACTTCCTGGTCATGGACAACGATAAGAAGTTGCTTAATGCCGTATTACGTCGTGCTCTAGTCTTTATACCCGCTTCGATTGATTTGTACAGATCTATATTGCTATCTCAATATGTAATAACCCGGCGCAGTAATAAATCCGTTGATACCTCTTTCTATATCTCATTTGGAAGCGGGAGAGGCGTTATGTAGCAGCCATGATCAACCTAGACGACCTTGCAAAGAGGAAGTTAAGCGTAAATATTTATAAAGGACTCCTAAATTAGCGAACTTGTTCCCTCGAACGATCTATAACGCTCTTCGTTTATAGAGTCTTAATTGGGATTGTCTCTCATCCAATAAACAGGCCAGTCTCTTCGCTTCGTCTCGCGCGAGTCTTCGGCCTGGCCCATCTAGCGAGCGAGGGTCCGTCGTTAGACATATTCGACACCGTGAGACTGAGGTGATGTATGCCTGACTTCGATGCTACCACACCGTGCCGCACCCCCCCAACAGAAGACAACTCCCCATCACCAATCGTCCTTTGGGAAGCCATGTCCGTAGGACGCTCCCAGTCGTTAGTGCCTTGGATCTATGATATCCTCCTCGGAATTTTCTCCATTTGTCTCGATATCTTCTTCCGAGAAGTGTATCCCCGCGGTGCTTGGCGAATTCCCAAACGCGAAGCCGTGATCATCGTCGCCGCGCCGCACGCCAATCAATTTGTCGATTCCGTGCTGCTCATGTGCATCTTGAAGCAGCACGCTGGGCGCCAGGTCTCGTTCCTCACTGCTGAGAAGTCCTTGAGGGAGCCATACATTGGCCGCATGGCTGCCTGGATGGGAGCTCTCCCAGTGGTCCGCCCGATGGACCACGCCTCCCCAGGACAAGGCGTAATATATCTGCCAGATCCGGACAACAACCCAGCGTTGGTATGTGGACGTGGAGCCAGCTTTACAAGCCTCACTGCAGGATGTTTGATCATCCTGCCGAAAGTAGGCAACGTACGCCCCGAGCAGCAGACCGTTGCACAAATTCTAGGCCCCCAGGAACTGTTGCTGCGAGGGCCATTTAGTTCTGCAAAACCGGGCCATCCGTTGCGGGAGCGACTACTGACGGGCACGCCCTACAAAATCGCACCCCATGTTGACCAAAGAGAGATGTTCGACGCCGTCTTCCGTGAACTAGCTGATGGTGGCTGTATCGGCATCTTTCCCGAGGGTGGAAGTCATGATCGACCCTCTTTACTTCCACTGAAGGCTGGTGTCGCCATCATAGCCCTAGGTACCCTTGCCCGCACTCCAAACTGTAATTTGACCATTCTTCCATGCGGGTTAAACTACTTCAACCCAAACAAATTTCGCTCCCGAGCGGTCGTGGAGTTTGGAAACCCAGTTCAAGTCCATCCTGGCCAGGTGGATGCCTTCAAGGAGGGCGGAGAGGCAAAGCGCAACGCCGTAGGGTCTTTGCTTGAGACAATACAAGATGCGCTTGCGGCTGTGACACAGCAAGCTCCGGACCACGAAACGCTGATGCTTATCCAAGCTACACGGAGACTATATCGGCCTCTGCGGATGAAGCTGCCACTGCCACTTGTTGTGGAAATGAACAGAAGACTCATTGCAGGGTACACAAACTACAAAGATGATGTCCAAGTGATTCAGTTGAGGAAAGCTGTACTAGACTACAACCGAAAACTCAGAGCTTTAGGGATCAAGGACCACCAACTAGAATGGGGTGATGCCGAACACAGGTCGTGGTGGCTGGCACTGCTGACCTTGGTATATCGCGTCGGACAACTCATTACGCTGGGCATCGCTACCCTCCCTTCTCTTGCTCTGTTCTGGCCGGTCTTTGTCACTACGAAGGTCATCTCTGTCAAAAAGCAACGCAAAGCGCTTGCTGCCTCTGACGTGAAGCTAGAGGGTAGGGATGTTGTTGGCACCTGGAAGATACTCGTAGCATTGGGGCTCGCTCCTACGCTATATACGTGGTATACGTCTGTGGTGACACTCTGGCTTCATCACGGTCGCCACAACGGATACTATGTAACACTGGCCCCTTGGTACATTCGCGCCGACGCCTATGTTCCTCGGAGTGCCCCGCTGTGGGTCTTCTCTACTGCGTTCTTTGCCCTCCTAATTGCCATCACTTTTGCCGGCCTTCGCATTGGGGAGATCGGCGTTGACATTATACAATCACTGCCTCCGCTTTTCGCAGCTCTCAGTCCCGGATCAGCAAGAGCGCTGGCCGAGCTTCGCACCGAGAGACAAGCACTTTCTGCTCGCGTTGTCAAAGTCATTGACACTTTTGAGCCCGAGCTCTTTGCGGACCTAGAGCTCGATTCCATGGATCTTGATAATCACGAATATCACTATGATGGCACATATGAGTCTGAACTGAAAGTCATGCCATTTAACGGAAACGAAACACCGGAACGCGGCCGATGTGTAAGTCACAATCGGGGGAGAAGTTCTTCCCGAGGGTCAGATTCCCACCTCTACTATGGCTCGCTCAGAAGGCGCGGGAACGACTCCCACGGGGACTTGGGTGAGTTGAAGGCGGTAACGGACACGATGGGGCTAGAGAAACATGGTATCAGGGTAATGCTTGATGGAGACGATGCCCCCAAACAAGTGGATGTGCCTTGGGTGGAAGCGAAAAAAGGAGTATGACCGGGAGTTCCGCTCCGAGTCCCATTTACTCCGCATGTAGCCAGAAAGATAGAGCTCCGAAACCCGAAGCAACCGCAACATAAATTGGCCTTGGGATCGCGCCAGGCAGCTCCCATGAGCAAAACGCTGGTTAATTTTGGGGAACGCCCTGTGTGCTCCTACCCACGGTCTGATTATGGTCAAAATCTCTTCAAGGGCTGAGTGAGGTATCATCCAGAGCGTTGGTGGATGGGCATGGAGAGTAGCCGCGGGGAACTGCCAAAGAGGTATAAGTCGCGGTGACAGAAGTGAGAGACTGCGGAATAGACAAGCTCTAGTTTCCCGGTATACTACAATGAAATGGGTTTCTCGGTTGTCAAATCAGATTGTGACAGATCGAACAATGAATCAGAAAAAAAGGCCGGACATGCGTAAATACCCTACCTTCGATGCCAGGAGTTGTGCAGGGGTACAAACGGTGCCCAGTGTTACCAGTCGTACGGGAGCTTTATCCATGCTCCCTTTGTAATGGAGGACGATGAGCTCTTTTCAGAAACAGGAGGCACAACCCGTATGCCATCAAGAATCTGGTACCGAGTACATACATCTTCTGGGCGGCACAACCCCTGCCGTCTCCCCTGACACGCGCTTAGCGCTCCAAGGGTGCATCTATTTATCAGCCGCTGCATGCCCCGTTGAAACGGTCTCTCCGTAACACTTCAAGATCTCTGCATCTCCACTGCAACTCCACCGCCCAGTGATGCCTGATCTAAGCGAAATCGACTACTCGGAGGATGCCACTGTGGCTGCCTTCCGAGACTATTACCGCTTCCTCACCATGATGTATCTAGACGAATCTCTGATTCAGGAGCCACCCGAAGGTGGATGGCCACATATCACTCCCGACCGGTGGAAAGGTTTCGACAAGACGGAGGAGGTGTTCTCGCTGCTCCGCCACCTTCCATATGTGACAGAGAAGGACGGAACGATGTTTACCGCCCCGGAGGGCCCGTTCGCCAATTATTCTGAGTTTCCTGATTGTGATGGGAAGTTGCTTAAGCAGCAAACGGAGCTCGAATTCGACTACGGAGATTATGAGATTCCCCCTCACATTATCGGTCTTGTCATGTTCAGGCGTCACGGTCCCCGGTTCCTGCTTGACACCAAACTTGGAGTCGTATACTGGTTCGATTGTCCAGGGCCCGTAAAATATACAGGCCCTGAACAGGTTGGCCCTGATGTCTACGATTGGGAAGACTATATCTACGAGGACGGAACTCCGTTAATCACGGATGAGAAGCAAGCCGAATGGCGCGCAAGTGGAGGTGTCTGGACTATACCGGATTTCTTTGAGATGCTCAAGTTCCATTTCAGGGAGCTAAATTTTGTGCCGATAGGCAGTGGGATTGTTACCGATATCTGGATCCGCCGGCCTGCTGAAAAACAATCTAAAGTCGAGAACATCCAGCAGACTTACCGGGCATATGGTTGGCCTAACCACTTTCGCAAAACTGATTGCATTGCCGCCCTAAGACTGAGTTTGGATGAGGAAGAGTTTCCGTGATCTAGACCATCCCTGCCTAATTTCTATTACGGCACAGTCAATATTGGGAAGAGCGGTTGCCGGGACCCAGTATATCTCGCTTGTTTTCCTTCACCTTCGTTTCTCAAGGGTTCGCCGTACGCGAGTTTCTTCATCGACCTGTCAAAGTCACCGGCAGACCCCACTGTTATTCAACTCACTGTCGCTCACTTACATTCGCTAATTCGCTCAATTACGATCGTTAATCGTCTTCCGTCGTAACACCACCATGAAGGCCATCACCATTCTTTCTTTGATTCCCATGTGTGCACTTGCAATGGACCCGTCCAGCTTGTCATTACTTTTGCCTACTGCAACGCCAACTGGTGAAGAAGATATGTGGAACTGCGCACTCTCAAATTATTCCCCTTTCTTCAACCCGCCAAAGCCCACTGGTACTCTCCTTGACGCCCTCAACTCGTACGGCGATAAGCTGCTGGAGACGTGTACCGAGTTCCGCTGCCCCTATCCTGATGCTACAAAATGGTGTGGGTTTACGACTGCAGTAGAAACTGCAGTTCTTCCGGCGTACACGAGCTATGCTAGCTCGGCTTCTCTCTGGTGGGCGAACCACAGCGCTCTAGCAATCGACCTTGCCGAGAGATGTCCTCACTATTGGTACAAGGCCGCCACGGACCACGCAATCGACGCCATATGGTTGAACCAGACCATCATTAACGCGGAGTGTTTCGCCAAACCATCTGTCGTGGAGCCATCTCCTACCGGATCGTCTCCAGTACGATCGTCTACACTGGTGCCTTCCCGAACGGGTACAGCATCTTCATTACCAAGTTCTACTGGTGTCTCTTCGGCATCCTCCACAGTACTCTCTTCTCCGTCTGTACGTCCAATCAAACTCTCTATCGACGGTAGCTGCGGAGGTGCTGACGGTTATGTCTGTCCTGGCAGTGGATTTGGCGAATGTTGCTCCCAATATGGTTGGTGTGGTGATCTCCCAGGTCACTGCGGGGAAGGATGCCAGCTGGAATACGGAAAATGCGAGGCTTCTTCGACTCCAACATCCTCCTCCTCGTCGCCGTCCTCGCCACCTGACCCCTCTCCTAAACTTTCCGTAGACGGCCGCTGCGGAGGTACCGATGGATATGTGTGTCCGGGCAGTGGTTTCGGTGAATGTTGCTCCCAATATGGATGGTGTGGCAACGACGCCACCGATCACTGCGGGCCTGGATGCCAGCCTGAGTTTGGTTTTTGTCAGATTTCTCAACCCATTTCGCCTGACGGGACGTGCGGCAGGATGAACAGGGGTTATGTTTGTCCTGGGAGCAGATTTGGTGACTGTTGTTCTTTGAATGGGTTCTGCGGGTCCTCCAGCGCGTATTGTGGTGGAGGATGCCAGCGTGAATTCGGTCTTTGCGACGAGGGGGTTAACGCTTTGACGGCAAGGGGGCTGTTGAGCTTGGTGGTTGAGCTTCCTGTAACTGGTGCGGGCCCGACAATTACAACTGTCGTAGCGACCGGGGCGAGCAAAGTGTTCAACTAATGTTTAAAAACCGTTGCAATAAAATCTGTTTTCTATCTAGGCTCCTTTGACAGAAAAGGCCTGCTTATAGTCGCTTTCCCCATAATCAATGGAAGGACGAAGTAATTGCACGACCGCGAAATCGGGAAAAATTGGCCACGCTATTCTATGCACAGCACTTACTATTAGAGAAGGCTTAGAAATCTAGAGAAGGGCAGTAAGAGCTTCGAAACGCCCCGAAACGTCTACGCATTAGGTTACCGTTTGGAAGGCTATATGTACACGATTCCTGTACGGAAGGAAAGAATACTTGATAAAGACAGATGTGAACCTAGATTACACTAAACACTAATCCTAGTCTATTAAGTCTAAGAGAGGCTCGCACAATGCCTTTCTCTCTTTCTTTCTTTCTTTCTTTCTTTCTTTCTTTCTTTCTTTCTTTCTTTCTTTCTTTCTTTCTTTCTTTCTTTCTTTCTTTCTTTGTTTTTTCCTTTCCTTTTTTAGATTTTTTTCTTCTTTCCTTTACCTGTCTAGTTTCTCTGTTCTCTGTTCTATTCCGTGTTCTGTTCTACTCTCCCTCCCTCCCTCCCCCCCCCTTCTTCTCTCCCTCTCTTTAGGTAGAATTAACCTAATTACCTTATTATCTTTCCTAATTTAGGAGACTCCTAGTAAGGTCTTTTTTACAAGAGAAATGCTAGGAAGGTAAAGGATAGTGTAGATAAGTGTTACGCAACAAGGGAAGCCAAAAGGCTATGTGCTTACGGCCTCTAACAAGGTATAGACGCAGAAAATTATCTACCTATTGTCTCTAGCTTCGCTTGGCCTATATATACCCTTTACTTGCTTTTCACGGTACCGTATCAATGTAATATAAACATGCTGTCCTCTTATTTACAATCCGTAAAACGATTAGTTTAGAATTCTAACATATCTATTCCTGTTTGCGGCCTTTAACGAAAGCATGTGCGATGTCTATCCAAAGATATTTTCTCTATTTTACTTAGATTTTATTTTTAAATGTATAAGAGTAGAAGAGTGAGTAGCACCCTCAACTATGTTTACCTTTCTATGCTCGACCTCAACTTCACGTTATTATTACCGCGAAGCCTATGCCTTGCTTACCATCTAGGCAGTCTAAAGAACATCTCTCAGCAGAGCAAAGATAGCACAGTCTACACATCATCTGCTCTAAGCTAGTTAGACACCTCGGATCTTGTAAGCCGCAGTACCAAGTCGCAGAATCCGTAAGGGAGCACCGGGCCCAGCAGATGGGAGCTAAAATAGAATCATGCTTAGCCAACGAATCAGTTGTGATTTCGTAGAGTTAGTTATAACCCCAATACCTAGGATGCTGCTGCGCAGTGCAATCATGCCACCTCTCTACCATTTAACCCGCCCGCCATGAGCTGGGTATTGTGTAAGTTAAGTGTCTGACCGAATACGTAGTAGTCAGTGTTACAGGAAATTATCAGCTGGCCCGCATTGTTCTTACGGAAGGGTATTGCACCCTGTAAAATCAGGATGCCGGCAGGGGTGCAGATTTATTTCCCTAGTTTTCTTGCCAGTGTGCAATAGTATGTATCATAGTACAGTCATCTAAGCAAGATTTTCTACCACCAACTCTCCCATAGTAGGTATGCAATTGAAGTTTTAGTATATAAAGATTAAACTGGCCTAAGTTTTCATGAACACAAATGCATCGGTGGTTTAGTGGAACTACGGGCGCAGTTCAGCTTTTAAGGTGATTTCTACGTGATGTTCGCGACTTGGTGTTTTATTTTTCACTTTCTGTTCTATTAGATTAAGGTCTAATATTGTTTTTGTCCCTGCTTAGCCAGGCCTCGGGATACTAATTATGGATTCTGAGAAACGAGAAACGAGGCAGCAACCAGCACGACCTAGGTTCGATTCTGAATTCTGGTTACTGCAAGGCAAGGGTTTGTATGCTTGCTGCCCTTGAGATATAGTTACTCCTTTCTCGCAGTTTATGTAGCTGCCTCATACGTTTTCCTACACTTACTATTTGCCATATTCAATCACACCTAATTTTTAAAATAGACTACTTTGATGACATAGCGGCTATAGCTTTAGGGCAGTCTCGTCCTATCTCGCTTTTAGAAGCTTCTGAAGCTTACGAAAAAGATAGCGTGACTCGAATGATTAAGCTGTAGAAAAAGTCTGCTCCCTTTAGTACAATGATGTGAATAGATCACTAAGAGACCTAGATTCGCTGTCAACCTACCGTCTCTAGCAAGAGAGAGGGAAACTACTGAACTGTTCCAGAATCTACCCGAGTTAGGCTAGGTCTGAGCATACCTTTGCTGGAGGGTCAAGACAGGAAAGCCAAGGTTAGGCGACTAAATCACTGTGAGGACACTACACAAGGAATTTGAACAGCTACGGCGCTCTCTACGGTTAGTGCTCGGCTTTTCTTGGGAGAACAAAGAAATCCAAGCTATGAAGAAGGTAGAGTGAAAGTCTTTCTGATTAATAGTACTTGAAAGACTGATAAAGAATGCAAGTATATCAACAATTTATCGAAATCGGCCGGCACTTCTACAGCTGTAAGGCAGAAGTTTATAGCGTACACCTTGGATTTAGACAAGATTTAATTCTATCTCTAGAATTGCAGTAAGCGTGCATATGCACATCCGCATACTATGGTTCAATTCTCGTTTTGGCTTGACATCATTACTGTTTAGGATCTTCGGACAGGGGAGGTTGTTGAGTCTTCGAGCCATCGAGGCTCTAACGAAGGCATCCATTACGGCGATGTCTGTCTCAGCCTTGCACCATGGCAGGGTCTCTTATGATATGAGATGAAGATCGCTTTGCGAAATCGCAAATTCTGCAGGGATAACGACGGGAAGATATAAGTCTACCTATACTAAAGAGCAGTGCCTGCTAGGTTAACTACTAACAGGAAGAACATTACATTAAGGGAGAACATAGACCCAAAGCAGCGTTTCAAATGTCCAGTTCGAAAATTTCTTGCACTAGCCTTAGCGGACGATGTTTTTATTCAGCACAAGTCACCTGAAGGTTTTGAAAATCGATAGATTCGGTCTACTGCGAGCTCAAGATCATTTGACATTAAAGAGGATAAGAGGAGGCTCCCAATCTTCTGTAAAACTGTGGGAACAAGAATTTCAGAAACTGAAATTATAACTGCGTGCTCGTCTAATGCGTTAATTAAGGACATCTGTAAGCAGTGTAGATATGCGGAGCCTGTTACAACATACATCTTCCGACGGGGTGTTGCTAACAAAGTGGAAGGTAACTACCCTACCCTTCCTAGTGCTTGTTGCTATCTTAGTAACATGATTTTTCACTAGCAAACGCAAGTCAAAAGGGGACGAAAGAGGTCCTAAGTCATAAAGGAGATCATACTTGGCATTCATACGCAGCGCCCACGATTAGCGTTGATGCACAGGCGATAGCCTATGATGAGCCCGAAGACACCCCTTACAACAAATTTTCACAGAGCATTGCTTTCACGTGGGATATAGGCACCCCAAAACCAGCGAACGCTAGCTTTAGTGTTCGCACTATACTTTCTACCGATATCCTCAAAGCAGTTGCCAAGGTGCATCTAAATAGTTGTCCCAGTACGATTATGTAGAAAACGCATGTAGAGCAATACAAGATCAACCGAGAAGAATACTTCAAGAGAGCACAGGGTAAGAAACCTACCGTCTCGAATGTGTTAGGTAACGATTCTGACGCCGAAGTGATTAGTAGGGAAGAACGGGGAGCAAGCGCCAGTGAAGAGACATATTCAGAGAAGGGAGTCCCTGTTTACCTTCGCCCAGAGCCAACACTAGAGTTTAAACACATGCTCAAGTACAATTATCTCTAGGCACGCATCATCGAAACATTATAGAATGCAGAGGAAGCCTTGCTCGCAGAGTGCGTATAGTCTCTAATGGCTCTCGCCAACCCTAGGCCATTTTGAGCTCTCTATCCTAGTCCAGTCCTACCGCCAAGCAATGATGGTAGATGTCTGTACTGCGAGAAGCACCTTAGAAAGCTAAGGTCACCTCGCTTTGCTTTGCACTTGTTAGACTGCCATTGCATAGAACATAACGTTCAGTTTTGCTTCGACTGCGCTACATTCATCGACGAAACACCCAGAACGGTGCACAAATGCCCCTGCTTTGACCCTAAAAGTCCAGTCTATGGGTTAATGACCTGGTAGAGTGTGTTGATACGCGAAGGGAGGTGTCTATACGGCTCTGATAGCTCTAGCTGGTGTTACCAAAGGCGCTTCCGCAACGCAAAAACCTTAAAAAGACACGTCGAGGCGCACCTGGATGGCTTTGCAGACGGGCCTTTCACATGCCCTTATAAAACATGCGGAGAACAGTGCATGTCGAGGGACGAAATAAGGGATCATCTTCACACTATCTATAAGGTCTATCTCATCTCAGCGCGAGATTTACTAGTAAAGGCCGAATTGCGGGAGCAGCATTGTCCTGGACGCGAGGAGAAGGCGGGTGTTAGAGGCGAAAGGAAGGCACGCGTTACTCGCCCAAAGGACACTCAAGATCCAAATTGCCCTAGAGGTAGAGGGAAGGCACGCGTTACTTTGCTAAAGGGCAGTCAAGATCAAAATCCTAGGAAGCGGAAGAGAGCTAGTATAGAGCAGTTAGATGGAGGTAAACGGCACGTCATGGGCTATCCGTGCGTCGGCCTTGGAGATCTCATGGCTGTGTAACTCTTTGTGTTTATAATATCAACACCACATACAAATACTGCTCCTACTCCTTACATTGCATGTACCGCTAATACATACAAAGCACCACTAAAACATGCTAGATATCAAGGGTCTATTGACTAATGGCAAAAGGCCCGGAATATTTTCTTTTATAACTGAGCTTCCTATTCAGACCTCTAAAGTCAGGGAAGGTCCCTTCATGTTGCAACATGACAGGGTTGAAACGCTGACGAGGCGATCGACGGCTCTGAAGAGAGGATGAATAAGGTCAATCCCGGGGTCGCGGGACGCACGGTGTTATGGGACGAAGTTAACTTCTAACTATCTTATAAGATTTCCCGACGTTGTAGTTGCTATGCTATTTATCCTCTCTTCACAGCCGTTGATCGCCTTGCTAGAGCTTCACCCCTGTTATGTTGCGACATAAGAGACCTTAGGGTTAGGGTTCAGTCATGAAAGAAGATATTCTAGGCCTTAGATCTTAATTCAAGGTAGCAGCGGGACAAGATGTGCAAGAATCAGGAACAAGCTATACAAGGACTTTTTTTGCGGAGCAATCCTACAAGTGCCCTTTGGATTTTATTTCACTCAACTAATATTAATAGTGAGACCCATGTCTACATGATGGACTACTTGCACTACTACGAGGCTATCTCGTTCGGGTTCAAGGTACATTTCAGCTAGATTCTGAAGCAGGTTCCGTTGGAGCTTTGCTTTGACGTCGACAGCCCGAGGCCTTTCGTTCCTCTGAATAACGATGTTTCTTGTCTACAAGTTGGACATGTATGCATTAATCTTCATGGTCTGCTCGAAGCCAAACACGCGACAGAAAAGACTCCTATCTATCTATAGAACTGGGTTCTCGCATGCCTCTTTAGTTGGGATATAGGCTCGAATGCTAACATGACTTTGCGAGTTGAAGACAGGGATCCATCTAGGGTCAGTAGGGAGGCTGGTAGAAATGTGCGGAGCACATAGCATCTATTTAGAAGCAGTTATAATTCCTGTCGCAATGTCTGCTGGGAATTCCTGGTGGATTTCGTCGATTGATTTATCCTCAGGCATACTGTCAGATTTGATGGTATCTGAAGATGTCACGGTGACAGAAAGATTGAATAAGGATGAGTTGACTGATTGTATTCTGGTGTGTCCTTGTGTGTGTGTGAGGCTGGCGCCTGACACCGGCTTTTATGTTTCTTCTCTGGGCACCAAGGCTGCGCAGGGCACTAGCCACTGCAGAATCACTAGCCACTACAGAATCACTAGCCACATGTCCTCAGACAGTACCGGTACGGACATCTTCTCCCAGTCCTCCTCTCCAGTCCCAGATGGGATGTCCATAAACTGGCTTACCATCTGACAAAGGCGTTTCCAAGCTCAAGCACACAGCGACCGTCGAACTGCGCAATTAAACTGTCCGTCCACTATCCTGTATCCTCATGCCCGAACATCTGGAGGAATACACAGTTAATAAAGGCCTGAGACAACTTGTAAAGAACTTAGAAGACTGGCTTAAAGATAATGGGAGATTCGAGCCAGGAGTCCAATACTTCGACAAATGTACGAGCCCAGAGCTAGGGAAACAAGTTCGCGAACTATTCACCGCGACGGTCGCACTATTTAACACTGTTCGGGCCAAAACAGAGGTAAGGAAAGGCATAGATAAGGTTTAAACATCTTATTAATTACATCTATAGATCCCCCGGTATTGGGGCGTGGCAAAAGCTCGTCCAGGAGGGGGCTGGATGACGAACGACCATGAGCAAATCCTCATCCCGGTCCGAATTACGGCAAAAACAACTCCACATATCAGAAGCCCTGATCCTCGGAAGGAATTGTCATTCACCCCAAAAAAAGCGGTTTATTTCGCGCATAAGAAACTAGCGGAGATTAGTGACAACGTTGAGTTCTTTTTCGTACACTAGTAGAGGTCTACGTACCTGAATAAGACGCCCCCTGTAGCATGATATTTCCTTGCGTACTAAAGTCCCAAGGCTGTTCGAAGGTAAAGTTCTCAGGAATATTCAACGTCGCTATGTTATTACCACATTCGGTAAAGTTCTCAGGGTGAATATTTAACGACCCTCCGTCATTGCCAAATGTAGGGAAGCCCTCAGGCAGAATGTTCAGCGACGCTCCAGCGTTACCAAATCTGGAGAAGTCGCCAGGCTGAATATTCAACAACGCTCCATTATTGCTAAATGCAGTCGAGTTTGTAGCACCAGAATATCCCCAGGTGCTGTCTAGGGAGTCGCCCAGTAACGCAAAATTCCCAGCTATTATCGTATCGTTATACTGCTCTTAAACAAGGCCAGTTTGCTGGGAGGAATAGGGCGTTGTATCATCCAATATCATGTTCCGTTCTTGGTCGAAGCTAAAGCTTTCAATATTAGTATAGCGCTCATTGATTATATTAGATTCGGAGAGCATATTTCGTTGGCGATCCTCACATGGTAGGTCGTTACCTAGGCTCCCATAGGCCCCTTCGGGAGGATGGTACTGTGCCTGCTTGCAAGGTCTCTTTGTTCCTACTGCATTATCGTGTGCCCCAGGCCTTTTTCTCCCTAGCCCTTCTAATACTGCAGTACCTGAGAGTAATGTAAATGAAGGGGCGGTAGACGGCTGAGAATGTAAATGACTACAAATTGGATCAGCGCTAGAGCTTGGTAGTTAGGGATGAGGGGTAGGCACCTAGAGGTAGTAGCGTGTTCCTGTACGTGCTCGTTGTGAGTAAGCTGCCCAGGAGCGGTTGGAGGAGTTGAATTGCGCAATGAGGGCGTGCAGCGGACCGACGATACAGTGGGTGTTGATGAGTGGGAGCTACTAGCGGAGGCATCCTCCCCATCCAAGGACTCTTGCTGCTGTTGGCCTTGACTATCATAATAAAGTTGAACATTCTTGATCCAAGGTGTCGCACGTTCAGCAAGCTCTAGCAGTTTGGAAAATTCTGGTAAAAGTAAGAGGAAGATTAATCCTGGAATGTCGCAGTAATAGATCCTCTGCCACTCACGGTATTCAAACGACGCAAAAGCTGTGATCCCCGCAATGCCCTCACGACTTTCAGCGTCCGTCACCTCGCAATTATTAGTGGCCGTCTTTCGGTAGTAGTTGAGCAGGCGTTCAGTCACAAGATGCTTGATCCCACGATGGACGGCGCGACTCAATGTGCCCAATTCTGGACGGGAGAATCCAAGCCCAAGTAGGAATTTTCGTACTCTTCCTTCCTTAGTTCGAGCCGCAGCTAGGTCTTTAGTGAGCCTTTGAACTCTTGAAAGGCCTTCAATTTGTCCTAATTCCCATTGCTCAAATGCTAACGCTAAGCTTCTTTCGGCGAGCGTAGCTCGAAACTTAGCTTGAGGGTTGTTAGCATGGGCGCTGGTACTATGACAAATATCCAAAAGGCGATAGTCTCGTTCAAAAGGGCCAACTGCAGCCTTCACCGCTCTGTGTATAAACTTATCAATGTCGACGTAGAGAGAATCCAGATTGCGAAGTAAATTGATGTATGTCGACGTCTTTATAAAATCTTCTCGGGTGAGGCAAAACTCTGTAACTGGTATGTCGGCCTCCAGCACATCGCTGGCACTGTCTGAGGAAGAGGATGGTGGAGGAGGCGCAGAATTCCCATCCAATCTTGCGGTAGCTCAACTCGTCCTGGACGACAGACTCAAAGACGCCATCGACGTGCTCCTGACGATGCAGAACCCGTCGGGCGGGTGCGCGAGCTACGAACCCACGCGCGGGTCCGAGTGGCTCGAGTATCTGAATGCGGCCGAGGTGTTTGGCAGGATCATGGTCGAGTACGATTACCCGGAGTGCACGACGGCGGTCATCATGGGGCTGCACCTGTTCCAGAAGTACTACCCGGATTATCGGGCGCAGGAGATTCGGCGGTTCAAGGACAGAGCGATAGTGTATATCCGGCGAGCCCAGCGCAAGGATGGCTCCTGGTACGGCGCCTGGGGCATCTGCTTCACGTACGCCACGTGGTTCGCTCTCGAGAGTCTGGCGTGTGCGGGGGAGACGTACGCGAATAGCGAGAGGGTGAGACGGGCGTGCGGTTTCCCGCTGAGTAAACAGATGGAGGATGGAGGGTGGGGGGAGACGTACAAGAGTTGCGAGATTGGCGAGTGGTGCCAGCATGAGAGGAGCGAGGTTGTGCAGACGGCGTGGGCGGTTGTGGGACTGTTGGAGGCCGAGTATCCGGATAAGGAGCCGATTAGGAGGGGGGTGAAGTTGATGATGGAAAGGCAGAGGGGGAATGGGGAGTGGGTGCAGGAAGGGATCGAGGGGGTTTTCAATAAGAGTTGGTGAGTACCCCGTTTTTTTTTTTTTCGGTTGGTGGTGTTCCTGTCTTTTCGGACGGAGGTGGGAGGGCCCTGTGGAGGGGAGAGAGAGGGAACATGGGAAGGATGAGAGTGGTTGAGGCTGATGCTAATGCTAATGCTGATGCTGACGCTAATGTGTGATGGCAGTATGATTTCCTACCCAAACTACAAGTTCATTTTCCCGATCAAGGCATTGGGCATGTATGCGAGGAGGTTTGGGGATGAGGAGATTTTGTAGATCTGATGGGTACTACAGGTGGTGCGGTGGGGGCAATTGCGAGTTTTGGGGGGGCGGGGGTGGGGGGGTTTGTGTGGAAGTGAGTAATGGAAGGAAGCTGGAGGAGGAGATCTAAGGGATGAGGAAGAGGAAGAGGAAGAAGGAGGTGGGGAAGGAGGGGGGTTTTACTAGATGCAAGGAGCGGAAATAGGTGGAGAGTAAGAATAATGATGAATTGTATACTTGTATATATACGCGATCCCGAACACAGTACAGAAGTTAGTCCTCAGACCAGCGCTGAGGCCTGCAATTGCACGTTGAATGTTGGCCGAACAGTGACATGGTGTAGTTTGACGGCATTCTTTTCTGGAAACACGAACTTGCACTGGGCTGGGTACTAAAACAATTGGCCGCACATGGTAGACAATCGCGCCCACAAGGCGGCTGTCAGTGAGTTCGAATATGCAAATGATGGTTTCCAGAAAGTGGCCGCCCACAGAGAGTAGGTATAGGAAAAGAGACTCTTAAATCTCCCACTAATCGCAGGCCCTAGCTACAACTCAACCTTGGAAAGATCCTAGTCAGCTTTGCAGATAAGTGAGCCAATTCCCTCACTCGCGGATTGCTATGACATGCCGAGGCCTATAGAAGCCGTCGAAGTCCGAAAGTAGCCCACAGATTCCTTATCCAGGGGCAGCCCTACCGTTTTTATCATAATTCCCGTGGGGATCGTGTTTTTCTTTGCGTTCTCAGACCCCCTGCTTACCTTTTTGTTGGCCATCGCTTAATTCCCCATTTTGACGCAGTGCCCCAGATTTCAACGGCCACGCGTATCATCAGGCAAGCGTATTTGGAATCGACTTACGGAGATTATTGTTGAAATGCTGCATAGGAAAAGAATAGTTAGCCTAACCGCGAAGCGTATTCCTTACAAGGCAGGTACACGACCGAGCGCCAATGAACTGTCCGCGTTCTTGTTTGCCCTTGGCAATAATTCTCCCAGTTAATTCTTGGGTCGTACGGAGTACCAACACCGCAATATCGCAAGCTACCAAATGGAGCGTTCAAAGAACGAGCTTCAAAGAATTTGCATTTCGTCTTCTAGCATATAAAGCGGGAATGACCATCGTAGCTGTTGCGCCCACTGTTCCCAGCAGTGCAAGCTATACTGCAAACCGAATCAATTCCAAGATGTATCTCTGGCTCACGCTCCTCCATGCCTTTGGCATCATCGCCACCCAGGCCGCGCCTACGGCTACCGGCTTCAGCAAGCTCTGCAAAGACATCACGTTGACGGGATCCTGGCTCGTCGCCAACTGCCCCGACAACAACGGCGCCAGCATCCAAAGCAGCGTCTACTTACCATCCAAAATTTCAAATTCAGACGGAAATCTGGTGGTACGTTTAGTCAAAGACCCTCTCATTGGCTGATAAACGGCTAATGTTCGCATGCAGTGGTCCGTCGACGGCCAATATCAGGGTACCTGCATCACGTGCTCCATTACGAGCGATGGCATTCTGCATTGCACGTGCTGGAAGGCGCAAGGGCATACGAGGGACGCAACTATAAACCTTGGTGAGTGACGTGCCCATGCCCGACTGTGGCTGCATGTATCGCCGTCGGTCTTCTTACTGTGTCGCGTGACTAGAGGAACACATCGCCGTCTACAACGGCCACCTCCTTTCCGACCTCAAGGGCACTCCGCAACCTCCCAGCTCCAGCAGCCCCATATCCATGCCCTCTGACCTCTCCTGGACCTTCAACTACGGCGACACCAGCACCTACACCCCCGGTAGCAGCCTTTCGGCGCTAGGTGCTACCGAAGCTCCCGGGTGCACCGATTATACAGTGGTCGAACACGGCAACCCCCAGCCTTGCCTCACGGAGCGAGTCCCCTTCTCCTCAACCGTCGACTATATCGCGTTTGGAGGAGGGAAGATGACGGCTGCAGGTGGGGCGTGGGACGTCAAGGTGTACGACAATCTGGACTGCACGGGGACGCCGCTCGGTACGATTACGGAATTTGGGACATGCAAGGTGTTTGAGAAGACTGCGTTGGCGTTGCAAGTCTTGCCGAAGTGGAATGCGGATGTGTAGATGAGAGCATTGGGGTTCTAGCAGTGGTTCATCAAGCTCTCATTTATTGGAGTGAAGGGTGCAGGTGGCTGGCATAACTAGATGATTCTTTGTCCGACAAAGATTGCCAACAGTCTCAGCACAAAACTTATTGTCATTTGTTTATCTTGTAGCTATGTCATCCAACTAAAAATGGAGTCGCCCTTTAAACAAGTTTACATTGTGAACACCTTCTGTACTTATCGTACCTACATGTCGCCCAATATTCATTCTGGTCTCCAGCCGTATCAGCCATCATGGCCTCAAACTGCTAGCGTCCCTCATCACCCCGTCCCAGCTCTTGGTGTGTCCTGCAGTCCTAGTTTTAGGCTTTCCACAACCTTCCTCTCCTTATACCCGATCTCCTCAATGCCCCCTACACCGTCTCCTTTACACTCTCGAAGCAATCTCTATATCTGTTTGCTGCGGGCTACCTCTCTATAATAACATATAGCACAATAGAGCACGTGTTAAGTTCAACGACCTGCTAAAAGTCCTAGCTAAAAAAACATCGCGCCCCTAAGAAACCCCCCTATTGCCGTTTTAAGAACAATCTATCAGGATTGCGATTTGTGTCCCTTCTTCCAGGCGTCCAAAATCAAGGTCAACAGCAAAATTGGGACGTCCACGTCCTTGTTGTTGTACTTTTCACCCGCGCCAATATGCACAGGTTTGCCGTCGCCGTTGCCCGCCCCTCTCCCGTCCCCATGGGAAGTTTGGTTGTTATTGCTAACTGGGCGTCCGATGCGCGCCGGCCTACCGCCGTCGTCGTTGTGCTCATCGGGACTCTTGTTGATTTCGCCTTGGGCGTCGCCTTCGTCTCCGCCGCCCGGAGCCTGGGGCAAGTCCGGCGCCCCGATGTGGTGAGGTCGGCCATTTTCGTCTTTCTCCTCCGGGGGTGGACCGTTGCCGTCGTCCTCGCCGTCGCTTCCGGTTTTCCCGCCTTTACGGCCTTTGCCGATGCGTGGGGGGGTTGCGCGGACGTGGTGGGAAGGGCTGTTGGCGAGGTTGTGTGGTGCTGGTGCTGGTGCGGTGGGTTAGTTAGGTTTCGGGCTTGGGGTGGTTATGTGGAGCGGACAGGAGAGGATGGTCGTGGGATGTCTATGGCGTTCTTACCACTGATTGCGGCGGCGTTAGGTGGGGGATTGGGGATTGCGCTGCCTTGGCTTGAGTGGAGGGCGGTAAGGGCGAGAAGTAGGGCTAGAAAGAGAGCAGGCTTTCAGTGTGGTCACACGCCGTAATCCGCCCCCCTGTTTAGGTGGATGCACAAAGGCGCGATTCACGGCGGGAGCCTGCCATTCCGAGCGGCAGCGAGGAATGGCAGGCGGACGTCGGGAATCGTGCCTTTGGAGCATCCGAAGACTACTACGTACACATATATATGTGTTATTTGCGTTGAAGCCCCCGTAGACTACTACATGTGTTGAAGCTGAATCATGGGACCAAACCATGAGGATCGATCGGAAGGGGTGGGGATGGAAAGGGGGAGGAGGGAGGAAGGGGGAAGGAGGGAGGACGGGGGATGACTCAGCACCTTCCTCACCCACGAACCCAACTCCACGACCGTGATCACCTCGTTCCATATCTGATTTCTTGTATCCCCTACTCTGCATGCTCTCTTGTCACCTCCAGGCTTCTCTTCTCGTCACTGACCACCCATTCTTAGACACCTTCCTCACCACTACAACGTGTAGGGAGCTAGGGAACCAGTAATCGTAATACTTAATTGCGTGGGCAGTCTTTGAATCTTACGTTGCATGCTTCTCCCCTTTTCAACGTTTGCTCGGTGTTTTCAAGTGATTCGATCGATCACCCACGTAGGGGCTCGTGGAGGATGCAGGTGGCCACTTGGCAGTCACGGGATTGTGGTCACGTGACCGCCAAGATCCCACATCCCACATCTCTAGTCGAGGTACAACACTGTGTGCACGTCCAGGCCAACCACGGCACAGCCCCATGAATACCGTTATGCTCAGGAACGGTTGCTTCGACCTATAGGCGCTTCGCAATGCAATCTTTCATACTGTACTTCGACAACTAGTTGTACTATTCCCGCTACTTTCTACCGCTGGATATTCTACTGTTGGTATTTCACCGCGGATATCTACTACTAGGGATTTCCACTGCGAGCGTTTGCCATGCTGGTATTTTCCATTGCGAACTTCTACTGCTAGTACCGCATGCACAAGACTCAGGTCCTGCCTTATCTCGCCCGCCTCCGCCACTCCCTAGGTTTCTTCTGCTATTGCTCGCTCCTCCGCCGCTACTCTACGGTTTCTACCCAGTCTCCCTAGCACGAGGCGAAGATGCAGATGCGGAGGCTACAGAGACAAAAGGAACGGCTACAAAAGAAGTAAACCGTCGATGAGGGAACTAGGCAGACCAGATAACTTCCCGTGTTCCAAAGGAAGAACAAAATCATCTCAGTGGGCGAGGGCGCAAACTCTCCACCCAAGCTTCCTGGCATGAGAACAACGAGGATGCGGAGGCTACGCGGAGACAACAGAACAGACACACAAGGCTACCTGTTCCTCCTAGCAACGAGAGCCAAGATAAGGATGACTCCAAGCCGCTTATTTCCTGCCCATCTCGCCTCGCCTCAGCAGATACCCAGGCATTTCCACCACGATTTCCACCCGTCCCTTCCCGCGACGAGAACGAAGACAAGGATGTGGGGATACGCAGAGTCAGAAGGAGCAGCTACACGAGACCACCACAGCCCATCAGCGACGAGGAGAAAGATGAAGATGCGGGGCTACACAGAGGCAAAAGGAACGGCGGTGAGTTTTGGAGCTGGGCAGACTAGATAGCTTGCTGGGCCCTGGAGGAAGAACAAAATCATATCGGAGTAAGGGGCGTTCAACTCCATCCGAGCCTCCCTTCTCCTGCTTGCTAAACTCCGAAGAACAAAATCAACAGTGACGAGGGAAGGCGAGGAAGAGGAAGACGAAGAGACACCAAAACGTAAAGGGAAGAGGGGTGTGCCGCAAAGAAATCAGGTTCCAAGCTCACACCAATGGAGAAGCAATATCTAGATATCAAGTGGAAGCATCTGGACGCCATTACCGTCATGGAAGTCGACTACTAGATCCGGCCCTTTTTTTAGTGAGGATGCAAGGATCGCTTCCAATGAGTTGAAAATCGTCTGCATACCCGGTAAATTCAGATACAATGGGCTCTTCTATCGCAGTGACTTTTGGAGTTGTCCGTGGGTAAGCTGGGACAGGTGCGCCGGGTCCAACGGGCCAACGCACGTTCTCTTACATTGCGGCCCCATCCCAGCGCCAGCGTGGTTGGATTTATATTTCCGCGCGAGAATATTGGTTACAGAATATAGATTGCCGCGACAGATTTAGGGTTTGTGCCCAAATTCATGTCTAATGAATGGGTGGGCGAGGAAGACTTCCCACCCTTGGACGCGGTTGCTCCATTTCAAGAACGCGGGACCGAACGGCTCCCTATTTGAATTCTGTATTTCCAAGTCACAGCGTGTAGACTGCCGCCATGCCTTTTGGTTTTGCCCGCAAGATAACCTCCGCTGGAGGCGAATGACCGTTCGACAAACAGAGGCTCTACCTCGTGAACGCAGGGACGGATTGGCGCTATATTCCAACTCAAGCTTTCTAGAGCCGTGTAATGCCAACTGCTCCAGCGATTTTACAATTCATCCACAGGGGCGGGCAGGTGCCGTAGAAGAAGTCTCTTATGTAGACTGCAGGTGCTCTATCCCACGAACGCCGCGACAGATCCGATCTATATTTTGATATCAACATCACAGAATCACCGAATGTCTCTGCCGTACAGGGGCGTCGGCGTGATCCACAAATTGCCGCTTTGGATAGGGTGCACCAGACTCGAGGCTGCAGGTGCTATCTTGTGAACGCGAGGACAGATTCACTAAATATCTTGATGGAAGCATCGCAGAATCACACGATCTCAACAGTTGACAGAGGTTTTTAGTTTCGTCCACAACTTGCCGTTTTAGAAAGGGTTCTGCCGCCCAAACCAGAGGCTGCAGGTGCCATATCGACAATGTGGCGTTAGATCGGCTCAACATTTCGAATCCATCATTACAGGGTCGTGGAATATCGTCTCTACCCACGAAATCTAAAACTCATCCACGCCGTTGAGTCGGATGGTGGGTTAGGCGAATCGGTGAATCGTCCCACAGATGTTCTCCAACTAGGCCGCGGCCCCTTGTTCTATAATGCGCTAGCAGAATTCATCCCTAGGAATCGTTCTTCTCAATTCCGCCAACATCTAGCGTTAGGAGGAAAGCCATCTTCGCTGTTCACAACAGAACTGAGTGAGCCACATTCGCATACAAAAAGTATAATTCCTCCTAATTCACCATCAACCGTTCCACACCTGCATCGGTGGTTTAGTGGTAAAATTAGCCGTTGCCATTCAACGACGTCGGCTAGCCCCGGGTTCGATTGTGAGTTCTCCCAACGTTATCTATTCCAGAGTTACAAACTAACAACTGCTCAGCCCGGCCGATGCATTACACCTCTTCTTTTTGTACTTTTACGTCTTGTGGATTTTTTTTTTTTTTTTTTTTTTTTTTTTTTTTTTTTTATAGTAACACCGAAGCCAGGTGTGCTCTGACTGTGAATTTACATAGACGTTAATGCTCTTGCTTTCCCGCTGCAACTAGAACAAGTGCTGCACTTGTATGTAGAACAATGTTACTAAGACATGCGGCGAATTTTTGCCTCACCTCTGTAAGAGGGACATCCCCAAGCTTCGGCATATGTATCTCTTCCTTTCCTTAGACAAGAAGGCTTGTGTTTATGTCCTTATCGCGCAATAACTTAGAAACGGTAGGAGACTCCAAATGCAAACCAAAATGCGGGACTTATCACAGCAGCGCAGAGATTCCTAGTAGCACGTTTGCAAGGAAATGTCAAGTCGTAGTTTTGTCAAGCACTTTTCCGTCGGAGTTAAAATTCAAAATATCAGTGTCTCTTGACCTTTGCGCGTGCATTCTACTTATTCTCGAGCGAATGTGTATCCAGACAGCAGAATTGTTGTGCGTGAATTGTAAACAGGCCAAGAAGGAATCTATGCAAGATAGGCATGCACTTATTCCGACTTCTGTAGCAGTGTTACACATATTTCCAAAACTGCTTGGAACGCCCGCGTCTACTGTCGCTCCCGCAAGCCTTACAATTTGTAGATGTGTCTTTCTACTCTTTCTGTCTAGCATTCGTCCTACATCTCCAAGGGTTCGTTTTTAGACTTGTGAACATTCACACCGAAGTGTCCTTTCAACCTTCATCCCCTGCGCATTTACAGCTAGGAAACATGGTCATTTCGAGAGCATGCTTTCCGCTACGCTAGCTCATCTCTCTGCCTTAGAGTCATCGTGTCCACTGTTCTAATATGCCCCACGATGTTTCTATGGTTTTTCTTTTTATGTCAACACAAGGCACAGAACTGTAGGTGTCTCGTTCCGTTTCTATCTCAAACATCCAATAACTAATGTCTATGCTTAATGCACTATGAAGCAGGCTTTGTATTAATAACTCCCGCGCTAATATACAATGTACTCCAGTGCAACCAAACCGTGAATGTTTAAGCCTAGACTGCAGACTTAACACGGGGGATTAACTTGTTTATACCCGTCTTGTAGACATGCCTCAAGCAAGATCTAATTGCACATACAGCTACACAACACGCAACAAAGAACAATGTCAAACTACCTAGGAGCTATATTGTTAGCAGTAAGTGCATTGCAGATATGATTCTAAGACATAGACAGGACTAATGCGATTGAACAGAAGTTGCAGAAGATAGAAAGCAAACTAGGATGTAGTATAGTTTCAATTCCGAGTGCTAGACGTACTGCTAGGCATCTGTCCTTAGATGCATTTCTTTAGTTGCAAAGCTTTATGCGTTTTACGCTTAAACATCACAGCACTTCACACCCCAGGGTCACGGCACAAGCTTGCACTATAATCGTTGATATTGTGTTTGCATACCGCTCTTTGCAGAGTTGTACTGAACAGTCTTGACTTTGCCATCTGCAAAATCAACATCAGTCGACGTCAGCACGTAGCCCCGTTCTCCACAGTCTACAATCCTATTGTAATCTCCTTATGTCCCATTCTGCCACGCTCATTCACTCCTCCTCATCATCATCTTCTTCGACAACGTCCATGGCGCCGACACTCCCAAGGCTGGACCTCGCACGAGAACCACGCCGGTGCTACTGGCCGCTACCTCTAGGCTCACGCGCACGAGCACGCCCACGGGGGCGTCCACGAGAAGTCTCGCCCCGAGTGCTACTGCTTTGGCGCTTGCCACGCTTGACAGGCATGTCGTCATTATCATCCTCGCCATCGCTATCCTCCGGGCGCGCCCTCTTAGTGCCATGGCCTTGTTCTTCAGACTCCGTGGGATCAGGGACTTCAGGAGTCTCGATGGTGTCTTGTACGTCGTCAGGAGTTTGGCCAACCAGACTGCGACGGCGCGCCTCAGGCGAGATGGACGCATGGGTGCTGAGACTTCCACGGCGAGACTGTTCGGGCGACCGTGATGCTACTGTGCTGATGCTGCCTCTGCGACTCTGAGAACCGCCTCGCGAAGATGCAGACTTGGACCGGCGCTTTTCGCTCCTCTCCGCCGTGTTGCGAACCTCGAGAAAAACCGCCTGCACGACGCTCTTGACTTTTCCCTTGGCTAACGGGAAGTCCGCTGCGTTCCTGCAATGCAAAGTTAGCATGCTGCCGCAGTTCGCAGTGTGCATGGCGAGACCTGAGTGTACTTACCAGATGTCGTCAATGTGCGCCGTCCGATCTTCCTGCGACAGCTGCTCCTCCAGAATGTTCTTCTCTTCGAGCTTCTCCCTCACGAATGCCCTCAATGTCTTCTTCTCTGCGTCGGAAAAGTCCACCGGCCAGAGGATCTCTGCCGGACCGGGCGCTGGGAACGTCGCGGCCCAGCGGTTCAGAGAATACTCAACGGCTGCAACGAGAGCATCGAGCTCTTCCTGGATGGCCTTCTTCAACTCCTCTTCCTGATCTGCGGTTTCCTCCTCCTGGTCACCCGCGTCTCCAAGAGCACCCCGCGCAGTCATCAAGGACGCGGCAATGGCCATCTGGACTTGCCTGTCCTCCTCTTTATCTCCTCGCACAAAGATGCTAGGCGAAGCCCGCTTGCTGTGAATTGTCTTGATGCCCCAGGATGCGAAGAACTCCTCTAACACGGGTGGAGCGGAAATCGAGGGGAGCATGTCAAGGACTTCCATTCTGAGCTGCACAAAGTTCTCGGCATGACTAGTCTTTAGAGTGAACTTGTTTTGGGCTTCGCGAAGCACCACAGCGAAGTGATGGACTGGCTCCAAATACTCGGACAGATCGTCAGGATAATTCTTCGCCCTGAACTTTCGCTTGAAGCCGAGTAGCTTGATCGTCTCCATGGGCCGCATCGAGAGGCGAATGGTTCGCGGAGTTGTCAGTCTAGCGAGCATGGATCGAGAGTTGTTGGATGGCGCTGCGGGATCATTCGATGCTTCAGCTTGACGAGCAGCATCGCCGGTGTCCTCTGCTTCAGCAGCGGCGCCGGCCTGGGTTGGAGCAGTTTCAGACTCGGCTTCATCGTGAGCGACAGCCGCGCCGGCAGTGGTGTCCTGGGCCTACAAAACACGGATAAGCAAGAGAACAGCAAGAGCAACACCGTCATGCATACCTGCAGCGAGTCCAGATGGTCTTTCCAGATCTTTTCGAGCGCGGGCTTGTTGCCCGAAGTCTTGAGTCCTGGGACCGTCTTGAGGACCTCAATCATCTTCGGCTTTGAGAGCTTCTTGAAAGCGTCCAGGTCCATTGGCGCAGCTCCTGCCATTTTGGCGACAGGCAGATGGTGGTGGAAGTTGTGCTGGAGAAGAAGGTGCACTTGGGCGGCGAGAAAATCTTTACAAGACGGTGTTTGGCGTTTGCCTGCGTACCTGTCCTTCACCGACTACCCAAATGGACCAAACACAAACGAAACCCCTAGAACCTGCCCTCCGCGCGCACTGGCCTTCTCTGTGACGTATTTAAAAATCTCGCTAATAGCAAATTGCCCACAAAGCGTAAAAAATTCTTTTTCTCTCTCCTCCACTCTTACCTCCTACACACCTCGCTCAGCACCACAACACGATTGCGGGACGAGCACACTACCCACGATGCCCCCAAAGGCAGCCCACACGGCCCAAAAGCCCACTGATAAGCGTGCTCGCGCTTGGGCAAAGCTCGTGGCGGACCAGGAGCAAGTCAACAAGATCATCGCGGGCGCCAAGTTGTCCAAGTTCTTCGACCCTGGTGCCCCAGGGACTGTGCGCTATCGGAAAAGGATTGAAGGAGATTTTGAAGCGTTTGTTAAGGAGGTTAGTTGTCGTTGATTTCTTGCATAAGGTATCAGTATTGACACGCTTTGAAGGTCCACAATCTACATGAGCGGCAGGACATCTGGAATTCGTCGACGTTTCTTGACTTTTCCAAGCAATACATGGCCGGCTACGCTGCTATTTCCAAAGGACTCTTTGGAGCTAAGGTCAAGGCTTCGACGTTGTGGCGCGCAAAGTTTGCACTGTACTTTTGGGCCGTCCGGCACATCGACGACTTCGCTACAATCTTCCCAGCCTGGCATTCAGAACTATCCGCTCACATTGCACAAACAGCTCTGGAGTATGACTTGAGCACAATGAAACATGAGAAGAACAACTTGGGCGAGATCGAGATCTCTCTCATCTTCAAAGAGATCATGAAGCTCAAGACCGGGCTTCTCAACGCCAAGCAGCATTACACGGCAATCCTGCTTGCGTGGACAACATCCGCCAGACCAGGTTCGTTCACGATTGCGCGCGGTTATGAAAAGGGAGCTCCAACTGGCGTGGAAGGTGTTACGCGTTCAACTGACGAGACGCTGTACTGGAAAGATGTCCAGTTTGTACGCATGGAAGATGGCATTGCAGCTCGCGTGACATTGCACTACACGAAGGGATATCGCAATCCGCACGCAGCAGATCAACTAGTAGACCCATCTCGCACATTCACCTTTGTCCCAACCCGAGGAACTCGGTTTGAATTCGACTTGAGCCTGATCCTCTTTGGTCTGGCGTACAACAGGGGCCTGTTCACGCAGACCTTGGACCAGATTCTCGAAGGTGACGAGATGTTCATTCCTACTCGCCCAGAGGTTGCAGCGCAGCCCGTCTTTGTCGCAGCCAACCAAGCCGGTAGTATTGTGCCCAACAAGGGAATGACCCCAGAAGCCCTAAACGACAAGCTGAAGGTACCTAAGTTCTGCCAATCTTCATATTTGAGTACGTTAACGTGTCCTAACCTTGTCTAGGAGCTATGCCGCAGGATTGGTCTGCTGAAGCGGAATACCTACTATTCCCTGCGGCGGACCGCCATTATCGAAACCCGCAGGACGCATGGCGAAGCCGCTGCTCGGAATCTAGCATTCCATGTCCCTGATAGCGGTAGTTTGTTCGCGTATGACAATGTTGGTTTTGGAGACGAAGACATGACCGCCTTCCGTCTAGGTGAGGAAAATGGCATGACTCGCAAGGAGATCGGGGAGTACTTTTCACAGGCACGAATTGCCCGTATTGTCCCTGATGCGTCTGGTTCTCTCAAAGACCTCCCCGCTATGCTCACTGAGACCGCCAAAGCGAAGCTCCCAGGAGATCCCGAGTACATTGCCATGGAGAAGGAACTGAAGAACCTGTATGACAGGATCTTTCAGGAGTTGAAGAGCCGTCAGGAAAGCGGGCAAATTCCAGACGATGTCGCCATCCCGTGGGGATACTCCGGCCAGAAGGCAGCACTGTATCAGAAACTTATGAGCGCATACGGCCTAGGTGAATTGGAGGACGAGCTCGCATCCCTCTTAGCCCGCCGGAAGACGTTGCACAAGTCCCTTCGAAACCGGTTTCGCAATGAAGCGTTGAAAGAGTTCCAGGAGGAGAATAAGAAGAATCTCAAAGCCTTGAAGACGGGTGCCAAGCGGCCTGTCTTTGGCAAAGGCAGGCAGCCTGAAGGATTTCGCAACCTGGACACATCTGCAGCAGACGCTGCAATCTCAGCTTTGGAACGTGAGCAGGCGCCTATTATGCAGCGACAGAATTTGGATGATTACGTGGATGAGGAGTCAGATGCAGGCGTGGACGCTGATGTGCTGGAGGTATGAACCTGCTATGTCGCACAGTGACTTGAGATTTTCTAACATGCACCACTAGGAGGAGCAGGAGTTCACTCGTCAAGAGCCCGAATGCTGGGAGGACCTTGGCGACGATGTCACCATCCGCGTGGACCGTGTAGACGAGGAAGGGGAAGTTGCTCAGCCAGAAGCGAGGTTGCAGTTCTTGAAAGAATGGATTGCCAAGGTACGTGCATTGAACTATTCCTTCCCACTATTCTAACATTCTATAGGGTGATTCGGAAATTCCAACCTCAGGACTGCGCTGTCCTAGGTGCCAGGCCGACCCAACGACCTCAGACGCAGAGAAGACCCGGGTGTATGCCCTTGCACGCTTGAACATTCACCTCAAGACGGACTTCCATTCGCGCGAACAGCAGTTGCGTCGTGCATGGCGGATTGACCAAGCTGCATCTAATTCACAGCGGACGCCATGCCCCTGCTGTGGAATCTTCTTCAACGGCCGTACGGCATTCTTTAAGCATCTCCATGAAGCCCATCCGGAGGAGTTTTGGGAGGGGGGTGAGGAAGAGAGCGATGGCAATGAAAGTGATGCTGCAGGCGATGACGGTGGCAATAGCGACGATGGCGATGGCAGTGACGGCGACGGCAACGACAATGTCAGCAGCGGCAGGCGCACACGCAACAAGGGAAAGGGAAAAGCCCGTCAAGAGTGAATGGGCTATGGTGCTTAGTTGGGAATGAAGAATAGTTTCCCTTCTCTACCTGTAACTAAGCAAATCTCATCTCAGACTCATTGAGTTCGGTAGCAGACCAATTTATAGCCGTTCAATGGCAACGGCTAATTTTACCACTAAACCACCGATGCATTTGTTTGATGAAATCTTAGGTCAATTCAGTCTTTAAATAGTAAAATGTTTAATTGCATATCTACTATGGGGAAGTTTGGTGGTGGAAAATCTTGCTTAGATGACTGTACTATGATACATACTATTGCACACTGGCAAGAAAACCAGCGAAATTAAACTGCGCCCCTGCCGGCATCCTGATTTTACAGGGTGCAATACCCTTCCGTAAGACTAATGCGAGCCAGCTGATAATTTCAAGGTTCCTGTGACACTGACCACTACACTACGTCTTCGGTCGGACACTCAACCCACACAACACCCAGTTCACAGCGGGCGGGTTAAGTGGTAGAGAGGCGGCATGATTGCACTGCGCAGCAGCATCTTAGGCGTGGGATTATCACTAACTCCACGAAATCACAGCTGATTCGTCGGCCAAGCATGTTTTCATTTAGCTCCCATGTGCTGGGCCGGCGCTCTCTATGAAACAGATTCTGCGACTTGGTACTGCGGCTTACAAAATCCAAGGTCCCGTCTCTAACCAGCTTAGAGCGGACGAAACGTTAATCATACACTGTGCCATCTCTCCTCTGCTGAGAGATGTTCTTCAGACTACCAAGATAGTAAGCAAGGCGTGGGCTTCGCGGTAATTATATCGCGAAGTTGAAGTCGAGCATGGATAGGTAAGCCTAGTCGAGGGTGCTACTCGCTCTTTTACCATCATGCATTCAGAAATAAGATCCGAGTGAAATGGAGAAAAGAGCTTGAGATGGATAGGGCATATGCTTTCAATAAAGGCTATAAACAGGAATATGTTAGAATTCTGAACCGTTTGTTTTACGGATTGTGAATGAGGTAGCAACGTTTATATCACGTTGATGCGGTACCGTAGGAGAAGTGGGTGAAGGGAAACATATAGACCAAGTGAACGTAGAGACTATAGGTGGATGCTATTCTGCGTTCTATACCTTGGAGACCGTAAGCCTATGGCCGTTCGGCTTCCCTTGTTGCATGAGACTTATCTACACTTTTCTCCACCTTCCTGGCATTTCTCTTATGAAGAAAACGTTACTCGGAGTCTCCTGAATCAGAAAAGACAATGAGGTGACGGGGTTGATCTGAAGAGAGGGGGAGAGAGAGAGAGAGAGAGAGAGAGAGAGAGAGAGAGAGAGAGAGAGAGAGAGAGAGAGAGAGAGAGAGAGATCCTGATGGGTGGGTCGTTAGGGAAATGCATGGGAAAGTCAGTGATAAGAAGAGGTCAGACAGGAGCACTCAAGGCTGGGATCGTAGAACCGCTGCATTGCAGTGACATGACTTAATAGTGATAATTGTCCTGGACATGTCATGTGTGACTATGGTGCGAGGGTCTTCCCCTGACTTCCCCCCCGTCCTTGTTCCCCTTTTCCTCCTCCCTCTTTTCCCATTCGCTTTCCCTCCTTCCCTCTGCTCCATTTCCTCACATTCATCCGTCGTCTCGGTGAGAATAATACTCCAATGAATTTCTTTTCGCATTGTTTAGGTGGCAGGTGGTCAACCATATCGTCGACCACCCCACCACCACACTACCGCCAAGACTTGCGAGAAGCTTTCTTCGATAAGGTGAGCGAGAATTCGATCAGCGAGGAGAGACTTGGCAAATCAGGCGGAGATATTGAAAAGACGCATTGCAAAAGGGGCAATATTTCGACTGTCCGAAGGTATGGCAGACGACGCGGCTAGGAAGGCTTCCTGGAAGGACGATCACCAGAAGACCGGTTGGAAGCTCGAGCTTGACTCGCTGCAGTCGGCGCATCGTAGCTGCGAGTTGCTCGTTTCCTGGGTGAAGTTTCGTTGATGCTGTCAACTCCATCTTTCGCCTTGCGCTTCGGCTGATTACTGCTGAGACTGGATCTATTCTGCTCGAGGACCACAGGTGTAGATACCCTAGCTCCCCCCTGATGCTTGAGTTTGTCTTTGGCATGTGCCGTGTTCGCTTCGCACACTGGCGGTGTGGGTGGTCTCCGCTCCACGGGGGGCGACTTGAGTGAAGGGTTTGCGGAAGCTATATCAGTCTCCGGAGAGATTTCTCGATGAGGTGGCCGGTTCTTGGAAAGCCATTCCATTATGTCCGCCGGCGGTTCTTCATCGTCATCGCCCTCCTCGGGTAACCTGCCCAGGAGGTCATCAGCGAGTTCCCCGGCAATGTCATCCCCAGCGGCCTCATCATTCATCATCCGCATCGCGAATTGGAGCAGTTGCTGAGGATCCATTCCAGTCAATGGACCGCCAGCGGCAGCCAAGTTTCGCTGGAGCGCCGCCATCAGAGCGCCAGAGGTCATCCCCTCGTCGGCGTCATCAAGCTCCTCAGTATCGCGTAAGTCAGGCATAAGCTCGTCCGCCACTTGCTCCGCCTTAGCCTTCTCAGATTCATCTGGCTTGAGCGATGCCGCCCGAGATGACACCACTGGCTTCCACTCCGGCGTCGCCGCAAGTCGTTCCCTCCAGTCCTTCATGATGGCGTATGACTCCGTTTCTCCCTCTAGAAGCTTGGCACGCGTACCTCGATCCTCCTGTTGGCGCCATACCACTGGTTGGTTTACAACTCTTGGAATCTCCGGCGACGAAACAGCAAGTCCCTCTCCCAATTTCTGCTTCTTCCTCCTGCGAGAGCCGAGATCCGGCCCCCGCTTCCTCTTGTGCCCTGTTTTCGAGTCCTGACTCTTTGGGTCGTGTGTGTAGAATTCTGCATCGTCGTAGCCGTCGGAACCGTAGTCCAAGTCGAGGAAGTAATCGAAATGGGTATTATCCACGTCTTCGTCTTCTTCGAGGTCGAAAGTGGGAGGCGGGGAGTGCACAGCGTGCTCAGCTAGGTCGTCGGCAGGTAAATACTCGTCCTCGATATACATCCACGCGTCGTAGTCATAGAAGTCGTCGTCCTCCCCGTAGCCGCTCATGTTTGCTGGGCTGCCGTGCTGCAGTGACAGTGCAGGGGTTTGGTAAGAGAGGAAGCCGGGGTTGGAGAATTGAACACTTAAGCGAGTTGTTTTGGAAGGGCTATCGCAGAGTGCGTGAGGCGAGGCGCAGTGCAATGTCGTGAATGAAATTGTTTACTCGTTCGTCGCGCTCAACTCGAGAATGTCGTGGGGCAGCTGCAGCAAACGCGCCTCAGCACGGGCCACTCCTTCACCCTCAAGGGTACGTGTGCCAAGAAGGGGGAAGCGGCTGGAGACGGCTTTGGCGTTTGCCGAGGCACCCCAAGCCCGCAGCTCTCTCATTCACCTGCAAAATCTGGGGAAGCTCCCAGCAGGATACCCTTCTCTTCCTGTTTCTCTGCAAATATGCGTGCTGTCAGAAGAACTCGTAACCTTTCTCGCCGGCTTTTGGCAGCGAATGCGGTTTCATGCGTTCGCCGGAGTTCCACAGCTGCAACTACCACCACTATCAAGCCGCTCACCTCAATACTGATTGCAAACCGTGGAGAGATTGCTCTGTAAGACTTTCCTGACCCAGATTTTTGAAATCATACTGATACAAAGAATAGACGGGTCGGCCGTACGGCTTCAGAGTACGGAATTCGCACGACAACGCTCTACACTGACCCTGATGCCCACTCACAGCACGCGCTGAGCTCTCCGTATGCCATCAATCTTGGGGAGCCTTCAGCATATCTTGACGGAGACCGGATAATACAAATTGCAAAGGAGCAAGGATGCCAGGGCATCCACCCAGGTTATGGCTTTGTAGGTCATCATTGAATTGGGTCCAGTCTGTATATCGCGACTCACAAACAACTAGTTGAGCGAGAACCCTACGTTTGCGCGGAAGTGCACAGAGGCCGGCCTGACGTTCATTGGTCCGCCTTCCTCAGCCATTGAGGCTATGGGAAGCAAAAGGTATGAACCGCTGGACCCTCCGTTCGAATTTCATGCTGACTATATCTCAGTGAATCCAAAAACATCATGAACGCGGCCGGTGTACCCTGCATCCCTGGCTATCATGGCTCCAACCAAGATCCAGAGCACCTCAAGAACGAAGCGGCGAAGATTGGCTACCCTGTTCTCCTCAAAGCAGTGAAGGGTGGAGGAGGAAAGGGTATGAGAATCGTTAACAGCCCAGAGGAGTTCTACGATCAGCTGGCATCTGCCAAGTCAGAAGCCCGCAACTCCTTCGGCGACGAAGTCATGCTTGTGGAGAAATACATTACGACTCCTCGACACATTGAAGTGCAGGTCTTCGCAGACAAGCATGGCAATTGCGTTGCCCTGGGCGAGCGTGATTGCAGCATTCAACGCCGCCACCAGAAGATCCTAGAAGAGTCGCCGGCACCGCATCTGAAAGAGGAGATCAGGCAGGATATCTGGGAGAAAGCTCGAGCAGCAGCTCTCGCTGTGGGCTATGAAGGTGCTGGAACCGTCGAATTCATCTTCGATAACGACACTGGCGAGTTCTTCTTCATGGAAATGAACACGAGGTTGCAAGTCGAGCATCCCGTGACAGAAATGGTCACTGGCGAGGATCTCGTGAGATGGCAACTCATTGTTGCGGAAGGAGGCCGTCTGCCGCTCACCCAGGAGCAAATCGAGCAGAGGATTAAGGAGCGTGGAGCTGCTATCGAAGCCAGAATATATGCCGAGAACCCGGACATGAACTTCATCCCCGATTCAGGACGTCTGATCCACCTTCGCACACCTCGTCCTACCGACACCGTCCGGATAGATGCGGGCTTCGTTGCTGGCGATGAAGTCTCTTCTCACTACGACCCTATGATTGCGAAGCTCATCGTTCAGGGTCCAACGAGAGAGGCTGCAATCCAGAAGCTTCGTGCTGCACTGGAGGAATATGAGGTCGCTGGGCCGATTACAAATATCGAATTTCTGAAGCGGTGTTGCACCAGCCCCGACTTCGTCGCAGGTAAAGTTGAAACCGGCTACATCCAAAAGCACCCCGAACTCTTCGCGCGCGAACCCTGGGCACCGGAAGTGTACGCCCAGGCAGCGCTCGGTCTTGCGCTCCAAGAGATTCAATCAGCACGCAGCGATCCCTTCTCCGCACCACCGGTTACAGCTGTTGGTTTCGGAACAGGATATCAACAGCGCGAGTTCAATCTCGTCGAGATCCCCGCCGATGGCAAAGGCGATGACACTTCCACCTCTGTCAAAGTGCGGCAGACAGCTCCCTTCAGGTTCGACATCACCGTCGGCGACAAGGAGTACCGCGACGTCACCAGCACACTCGACAGCTCCAACAATCTGTCGTCCTTCTATCCCCACACCCGCCTATCCACCACTTTCATTCGTGACGAAGACCGCCTTACGCTCTTCCAGCAAGGTAAGCAGTACAGGCTCCAGGTGGCTATGCCGAAGTGGGCAGAAAAGGCGTTAGGCATCAAAGATGTGACCAACAGCGTTCTTGCGCCCATGCCTTGCAAAATACTGAGGGTGGAGGTCGCGGAGGGTGATGCCGTGAAGAAGGATCAGCCGCTCGTGGTGATCGAGAGTATGAAGATGGAGACGGTGATTCGGAGTCCGCACGACGGCGTGATTGCTAAGGTTGTGCACAAGAAAGGGGTAAGTCATGGTTGATGAAGATGTCCCTTCGGAATCTTGCGGAAATGCAGGTTTGCTGACCTTTGACAGGATCTGTGCAAGGCGGGCACTGCGCTCGTGGAGTTCGTTGAGGAAGAGAAGTAAGCTGATTGTGATGTGCTGTATGACAAACGAGTTTTCTGTGTCTGTTTCTGATCTGGCGTATGGTTGTTTATAGCGAGGACGTACGTGACCGGATCATCTCGGCGTTGTCATGTACTGCAAAGCCGTCCCTGTTTAAAGATAGTTCCAATGAAGCCATTACTGATATTCTCGTTGTCATGCTTCGCTTTCCCCACCTTGTCCTTCTCTTGTAAGTATGCCTTGTGAATCATACGGACAGTCGGTTGGTCTAGGTCCTTCATTGAGCCGATTAGCATCCTTCCTTTTCTAGATAATCCTGAGGACTATCTTAGATTTAGTCGGAGATGGAGTTAGGCTCGGGTAACGGGGCCTATGTCAGAGATGGCTCGATCCATGTACGACCTCAGAAAGTTGTCGACGCTTGGACCCGCACAGTTCTTCCAGCTTTTCATGATCCATTGAAGTTGAAGCATGATGGTGTAGTGCAATGTGCCTCTGTTCACTGCCCATGAAGCGACGAACGAGGTGGAGGTGGGTCCATAACGCGAGACTGTGTGATTGCAATGATGCCCATGTACATGTTGAGTACGGTCCCAATCAGGATGTTGAGGGGTCCCATTCGAGCTGTGAAAGATCGTTTCAATGGCATCGCCGACGCTTGTCGAAGATGGGCTCGGGGTGGTCGGTTTTTCAGGCGTGTTGAGTGCCTACGGTATTCGTATCCTTTCCAGACGCCGCCTGATGGGCCATTGTGAGACTCTGTTTGGTTCTTGGTGTATCTCCTTCGATCCATCTCTTCATCCCTCGTGCGCCCCATCGTCCTCGTCTTCATCCCCCTCCTCCCGAAAATACACAAACATCCCATTCAGAGCATCATTGTGCAGCTCAAAGTCAGACAACACCCAGTACCGTCTGCCCCTGGCGAACTTTCGCCCAATTCCATTGTACTCCACAAGTGCGGGCGTTTTATGGTCCGAGCGAATCTCATTCCCAATATATAGTTTGGGATCCTTATCCCTCAAAAACACAGACATGAGTACCGCGTGCTCGAGAAACGGCGCATATAAAAAAGTCCGAGGAGAGATATGCCTCTCAGTACCCTCAGCCACCACCGAGATACCAAGAGTCTGGAGGAACTCCTCGTCAAGCGAGCTGAAACATGGTTCTTGGGCGCACAGTCGTATCTCAGCTCCCTTTCCCCTCACTAAATACCAAATTAGCACATCGCACTCTTCCCCCACCGGAATCATTGTACCCACACTGCGCAACCACCCCCAGGAACAGCACCAACTGCCACATCGACCTCCACCGATTCTGCCACTCGGCGCTGAAACTGCCAATGCCCACACACACCGCGGTATCGATGTCCCACGTCCCTCTCTGCAGAATGGCGTACAGACGGCGAGCATAACCCGTGTCGCGGAACTGCCTCTCCATCGTGGAAGAATCGGCGCAGAGTTTCTGGACTGTGAGCCCTGGTAGGGTACGTTGCGGTTTCGCGCGTTGGAGCAGGTGCTGGGTACGATTTTGCTGGCTTGAGGATGCATTCGAGCGGGTGTCTTGTCTTGTTCGGCGGGTCCGTTTGGGCGTTTCCCAGCCTTCGTCTTCGGCGTTGTTCGTCATTTTGAGGTTTGGGGTGGTGGTCGGGGGTCGACTCGAAGCTTTTAAATGAAGCTAAGATAGGGAAATGCAACTCGGGCACTCGAGCATTTATCTGAAGCGTGAAAGGGAGGGCGTGAAGTCCGTGATGAAGTGAGTTCTACATAGTGGCGCGTGGACATGAAGTATGCGAGAATCCGTGGTGAAAGTTTCCAAGAATGGCTAAGGGCGTTCGGAACCATGGCAGTATTCTCGGAATGTTATTCGGAATGGTAGCACTACTTATCACTCCATAAATTAGCGAATCCAAACACCTACGAACACGACGTCTTCGAATTAATACCAGGGATTGACTCTACACATGAACCAAATTCTCCATGTCTATCCATGAGCCCAAGGGTATATGACCGTCCAAATGCGCCGCCCACCCCATTCTTGCGCCGTCAAGGAGGGAGAACACCATCCATATGATGCCTTCTAATATCCCCACGTATCCAAGTGCCAAGCAAACTTTATGGACAGGGTTTCGCACAGGAAGCCTACTCCAAGTACCTCTTCCAGCCTTCTCGACCTACCAAACAGCGCCCCTCAGAGTCGGCGCCAACGATGAATCTTTCCCATCGCGCGTCTTTACCAGCGCTGACAATCACCAATGTATGATCGTCCAGCCAACCTGCCAGACCTTTGGTGGGAGTTCCTCCTGGGACTCCAGGTATCAATGCGTTCATTGTGCTGTAGCGCTCCGCAGCTGCACCTACCGGGTCATCGCCGAGCTCGAATTTGATCGTTGCAGATGCATATGTATCGGAAAACTGGCGAGGGAGAAGTGGAACCTTCGCCAGGATACCCCATCGCTGAGTGTTCGGGTTAGGTTCAGCTGTGGGGTCGTGAGGCACGTCGAAGAGGTGCAAAGTCGACTTGTCAGAGGTTGCTGCCAAAATGCGTCCGTTCGGGGAGAAGGCCAAAGACAAGATGACAGCAGGATCAATGCCACGTCGGAATTCGGTGATTTTCGAACCGCTAGGATACGACCAGAGGCGAATCAACGTCCCTTGTCGGCTTGCGGTAGCCACCATGTCTCCATTTTGGCTCAGTCCAATGGCGCGCAATGGGGACTGATGGCCCGGTAGAATGGTGATATTTTCAGCTTCCAGATTGAACACCTTCACTTGGCCAGGAGTCAGACCGGGGAACGCGACGATGTTCGTTCCCAGACAACACAAGCCCAATGGATTGTCTACCGTTTCATATTCTGCAATCTTGACCGGTGGACTCCTCATCTTGTATATCTTGACGCTGTTGAGTAGGACGACAACGAGGTGGGTCCGGGATATGCGAACGCGTTGCACAGCGGTTTTGAACTCTAGGCTCGCGGCGACAACCTGGGTCTTGTCGTTCCAGATTTGTACCTCGTACCGGTCAGCGTGTACGAAGTCCCACTCCAGCACGTCTTGGGGGCTCAGATTTCTCACTTTATTCTGGGGGAATTTAGGCTGCCGTCCACCTCCGACGAGGGCCATGTATCGAGTTATTCCAAGCATTTCCACAGATCCGATGCCCCCTCCGAATTCTAGTAAGGCCTCAGTATGGGTACCTCAAAGGTATGGGGGCCGGCAAACCTCGCGCGAGCGTGAGCTCGGCAGTGCGGGAGTTGAAGACTGTCACCAGTCAGCAGCTTGATGACGACTGTATGCGCTGGATGCTAACCGCGAAACCCATCGTATAGAGCAACCGAGAAATGGCTGTTATCGTTATTGAATGAGGCAGAGAGCGCGAAGGGCCCAGTGTAGGAATCGAGCACCGGTCGTGTATTCATGTCGAGGGTTGTGTGTGATTGCTTGGCTCAGAGCTGCAGGTTGAGATGTGTGGAGCTATGTGGTGGTGGCCGATGTCAGGCTGCATACCCTATAGCTGGGGAGCGGGCAAGATGAGAAGATGGAGGAGACTCGCTCATCTGCACGATTCATATCTTCAAGTGAGCGAGACACGGCGGGTGGGTGTGGAGTGGAGGGGCGACGTAATTCACCAGACATTCACATGGAGCAGCTTGCGTCCAAGCTCCAGTTGGCCTAACTGCTTTCGGAAAGATTCGCACGTGATATCTACGTGAGGAGGTTGCGACCGGGACGAGGCCTAAGGAAAGAAGTATCTGATTCCATAAGTGGATGGAATTTCTTGCAAGAGAGTGCATGAAGAATCACCACAATCGTCAGAATCTTTATCTACTATTCCAGATCACTGCCCGCTCCGAATCCCCTCCGGGCCCACGCGCATTCTCTCTTTGGGAGCAGTGACCAGGGTAACCCGTGTTAGCGAGCCCCTTTGCATCGCGGGTCGTGCTGCTGCCAGCAACGTCCCAAATTTCCCCGACAACACCTCAACACCGGCCACAGCCATCCCACAGCGCTCATTGTCTTTTGTTCGGTCGAACGTCGCTCGCTCATCGCCTTTTCTCCCCGCTGTGCGGCCATTGCCACTACGTATCACACACACCCCTCGACCCCGACAATGGCTTCTGTACGACTACCCCCCGAAGCACCTCTCCCCCTTCTGGCACACCATGTCTATCCCTTTACCGCACCCACCCCCGCCTGCCTTCACTGACTTGGCGCATCCACTAACCGGTCGACAGATCCTCAAGACCCGCAGGAAGAAGAATGTCAAGAAGGGAATCCAGTTCTGCCTGATGGTCTGCGGCGCTTCAGGAACAGGTAACGGCTGCAGCACGCCATTACAGCTCCAACCAAAGCTAACTCCATCTTCCACCAGGACGGACAACTTTCGTGAACACGCTCTGCGGCAAGAAGGTGCTGGAGCACAAGGACTCGGATGATCCGACTGTTGCACACATTGAAGAGGGCGTCAAGATTGAACCCATCACGGTTGGTATGTCACCAGGATGATGAGCAAACCGATTCAATTGGAAGGCGACGATTGCTAATTCGCAAGTAGAACTCGACGAGGAGGGCACCCGTATCTCTCTCACCATTGTTGATACCCCTGGGTTCGGCGACCAGATCGATAACGAGGCCAGGTTAGCCGCCTTTTCAAGGTCCACAGCTCCTCAGCTTACCAATGTGCAGCTTTTCAGAGATCGTCGGATACCTCGAGAGGCAGTATGATGATATTCTCGCCGAAGAGTCTCGAATCAAGCGTAACCCTCGTTTCCGCGATAATCGTGTGCATGTCCTGCTTTATTTCATCACCCCTACCGGCCATGGGTAAGAGGTACTCGCTCACCAACCTAGGCCATTCTAACATGCAACAGTCTTCGCGAGCTTGATATCGAGCTGATGAAGCGACTGTCACCCCGCGTCAATGTTATCCCCGTCATCGGCAAGGCCGACTCCCTAACGCCTGCCGAATTGGCCGAATCGAAGAAGCTTGTCATGGAGGACATCGAACATTACCGCATCCCTGTGTATAACTTCCCCTATGACATCGAAGAAGACGACGAGGACACGGTTGAGGAGAATGCGGAACTCCGTGGGCTGATGCCCTTTGCCATTGTGGGATCCGAAGATGTCGTCGAGGTCAATGGCAAACGCGTCCGGGCTCGGCAGTATCCCTGGGGTATTGTGGAGGTTGACAACCCCCGTCACTCAGACTTCCTGGCTGTCCGTAGCGCGCTTCTTCACAGCCACCTTGCTGATCTGAAGGAAATCACCCACGACTTCCTTTACGAGAACTACCGTACCGAGAAACTTAGTAAGAGCGTCGAAGGTGGTGCGGCTGCGTACGTATTCCGGATCTATGAAAAATGACTGGACAAAGCCATTGACATGCAACAGTGACTCTTCTATGAATCCCGAGGATCTTGCCAGCCAATCTGTGCGTTTGAAAGAGGAGCAATTGCGGCGCGAGGAGGAGAAGCTCCGTGAGATTGAGATCAAGGTGCAGCGTGAGATCAACGAGAAGAGACAGGAGTTGCTTGCACGCGAGAGCCAACTCAAAGAGATCGAGGCACGGATGCACCGAGAGCAGAGCGGCCACTTGGAGGATCACCCGGAGCGCGAGGAGGCGGCGAACTGAGCAATACGGCTGATTCCCCGAACCAGTCGCATTGCGGCCGTGGATGACGCGCTTATAGGAGAGCGTGGAAACGGTTCATTCACTATCTTCGGCAATGTCGGTGCCCTTGTTTTTCTACATGGACTGAGGTGCAATTCGGGCGAGCAGGGAGGGAATGGTGGCGGGCTGCGCAGCAAAAGGACGTTTCTTTCCTTCATCTATCGCCAGAGTGGTGTTTAGTATTCCGACAGACACGAGGCTGTCTGCCACTTGTCTTACACAGCCTTTCTTATGTTTCTTTAACTTCATTACTTATTCCCCCTTTTCGAATTCCACATAGGAAGGTAGTAATTGAACCGAGCTAATCATACCCCGGTGGTCAACCCAACCTCTCTTTGATGGTTTTTCTGGTGTAGATTAGTGGCGAGCAGCTCTTGCTTCCCCGGAGCGGGACGGAAAGGCGCTGCGAAATGAGGTAGCACGGCATACAGGAGCGCTTTCTAGACAATGTAGGTACCTAGGTAGCTGCAACACACAGAGAGCGGTTGCGGCTTCCTGACCGGGCCGTGAAACGAACTGCATCCCATCTTTTAAACACCCATCAATACCTTCAAACTACCACCTACATCATCGCCTCTCGCCGCATCAAGGTTTTACTGCTGCACTCTGCCATTGACACTCAATTTCTCGAACAGACAGGATCCCCCCTTGTCTATCTGCCTGCCGGCCCGGCTGCATTAAAACCTTCCCGCTTCATCATGAGCCCGCATTCGCTTCCCATTGCTCGGGGTCCACGGTGGCACAACGGCCGTAGGAGAGTCTACTTGTTGATGTATCCTTTGCCGTGTTAGCAACAGCGGGGGTTGTGAGTTGACTGTAGGAATCTGTTTAGGAATTGCGTATTCGAGTGGCGGGTATCCCAACGTGCGGGACTCTGTTAAGAGCTTCACACTGAGGACCAAGGCATTCGTACATGTTATGATGGCGAACAACCCTCCACAGTTGATGGCTGGGGAGAGACGACCTGGACCCAACCCAATGCATAACACCTGCCGCGCCCTTGTATGTTGTACAGAGAGTCCTGCCTCGACCGATCGGCTCAGTGCGACAATTCAACAAAACTAGGATTCCGAATCCCCCGAACGCAGTGCGGCTGCGGCGCGACGGGCGAAATTGGAAAACCCCCCAGGGTGCTCATCGCCCAAGGGCAGAACCGACTTCTGCTTCGGACGTAGGCGCTTCAATTCCAAATGCGGTCTGCGATAGCTCTTGCTCTGGAAATGGTAAATGCTGACCGAACCAGTGGGGACGGAGCACACATTGCAGATATCTCGAACACAGAAATCCATTTAAGGTGTGCCGATCGGAGCTACGGAGGAGAAATGTTCGACTTCAAAGCTGCAATTGTCCAGGATGTCTCAGTTGACCCCGCCTCCAGCGGCTCCAGACTGAAGGTTGTCGCGGATTGCGCGGTTCTGAGAAGTGGCAATGCTCTTTACGCCGTCCCATTTTCCCGCTCCAGGTATGCATGCTTGATCCCAAGGATGGCGCCAGCTAGCAGCTGTCAAGGTACCCACATACCGTTTCCGATCATCGGCTGCAGTGCGTGGACGAGACAGTCTCTTGCTTTGGAGTGCAGTTCTCAGAGCTGCGACAAGGAGTCTTGCCTTTACTGTGTATGGTATGTCAACAACTATTTTCTCTCCTTCTCGCTTTGAAGAGAGACGGTGATTCCGGCAGTAGGGTTATATGTCCGACTCCATGAGGATAGGTTGGTTGGATGGGGGGAGCCAGGGATTGAACAGCCTCTCAGTTGACGCCTACTCCTCAACAAGCTTGCACTCGTTCGACCAGTAGCCACATTCGACAAGTCGATTACCTGCGTCAACCGTACACTTCCCGCTCCCGCCAATGTGGCTCTGGGATCCCAGAGGATGCATTGTCTACGGAAAGAGCAATTCGTCCGTGGAACTCCCATGTGCGCGAGTATGGCCCCGCGGAGAGACGCTCAAATCTGGCCTTCCATGCCACTTAGGAACAGCCGGAATATCTTCTTGCATTCGGAAAGCTGTGTTCAGCACCTATTCCAAGGTTCCCCGCCTCTAGGAACGTGGAGAAGGGCCGTAACCGAGCCTCACAATTTCTGGTCCTGTAGGTTAGGTTCGGTTACGGCGCTTAAAAGACGAGAGTCTCGGCCGGAAAGACCTTGCGCACAAGGGTTCACCAGCAGGAGCCATTTATTACATATCGCTTCTCATAGGCCAGACAACCTCCACTCGAATCTAGGGCGCGGAGTAGCCGATCCAGAAAGAATGTGCTAGTGGTGCATATGAACTCGTCTTTGAGTTTCCAACTCTGACCTGATTGCAAAGGCTGATGCGGATGCCCACTTGCTTCATGGATACATGCCTGCATTTCAGCATGCAGAGATCTGTATTGATTGCAGAGATACAGACCATCTGTATTCACTCCTTCACCAATCGCAGTGGCTGTCAGTGAACTGCTCAACGGGTCCTGCATCCTTCTCAGCCGCCGACTACTGTAAGCCACATGAGTGAGCCAAGCTATTCTAACAAGCATCAACAGCCACTCCGCTCTTCCCCGTGTCCAATACATCTCAAAGAACGCTTGGAGAGTGCTCGCTCGAGGCCATGGGCGTCATATGCGGTCGTCACATTCAACCTAACCAACATGGTCCCATCACGTCCCGGCCATAGCATGGACCAGGAATAGTAACGGGGTAGGAGTTGACTGGTTCATTTAAGGTCCCCTCGAAGCGGAGCGTAGTCTCGACTAAGACACAGGCTCTCAGGCGACGGCCAGAAATGTCCCACCCGCGCTTAACGTGTTTCTTGGGGAAACCCACTTCCATCTAACTCAGCACCCCGGTCCCCAACATTTGATGCTAGTAAGAACCGCTCAAGTCCAATGTCTTCCATACATATTCAAGTAGATCCTGACCTGGGTCATCTCTCTTATGCCTTTGTTTGAGATCACAGCTCTTTTATATCTTTATTTCGCGGTCTCTATTCTGTAATCGTATCAAAACTAGGGCACTATGTCTCCGCCCCAAACTTCAATCCCCCCCGTAAGAAACGCTCAATTTCTCGTAACGGAGTCATCTGCTAACGTAGGAAAGGCCGCCAACATTCTAGGGGTACGTAGACCTTCGATCGCGGACTTGGATCTGAGAAGTTAATATTTGGCGTGTTATTGTTAGACAATCGGCACAGGTTTGTAGGCCTGCGACGGATAGTACTGTTCCTAATCGCAATTCAGTGTATGTTGACCGTTAGCGCTGCTGGCTTCATATACTAAGATACGATTCATCAAGCTGCTGGTGTGTTCAGGTAGGGTTAGCGCTTGGTATGCCATGTTCCTCTGACGCTGACGCTTTCCAGATCATCCCACAGTATGATCCTCGCTTTCTACGTCTCATCGCCACGCTGACTCCATGTGGGATATATCATAATTGGAAGAGAAAGAACACGGATGGCCTCCCAGGACTGATGCTCATGCTTTGGGCAGTCTGTATGGCCTCTCGTGCTGAACTGCTGCCGTAGATGTTGACCATCACAAGGCGCCGTCCCATTCGGAGTATACGCAATTGTGCAGGTGCGTTCCTGAAGGCTGCGCCGGACAGTTTTCACTAAGCTTGGACAGAATTTCAGTCTTGCCCTTCAATTGCAACCGCAGTTCTTCGGTGGCCTGACCCTGATTGCATGGGGCCAGACGCTGTACTATCACAAGTAAGTAAACTGGTCTTCCATGAACAACCACTGACTCCACCAGTCATTGGACAGCATGGACTTCTACTTTGACCACTATCCTTGTTACAGTTGCGTTTGCCGCCTCAGAAGCTATTCTCATCCTGACCCTAAGAGTATGCTTCTATCTACCTCCACCACACTCTGGTATAACTGACCGTGATGCACAGGGCCCATATACGGAAGGTGTAGAGTGGCCTATGATGATGATGGCCATAACCGCTTCCGTCATCCTCGCCCTAGGTCTCATTCCTCCATATTTCGAACTGGCGAAGCGAAACGGCCGCGTCATTGGAATAAGTATGACGTGAGGGCTTTTGTTAGAGGATCCAGCTGGCTTATACCCGCAGATTTTATCTTCCTTACAGTAGATTGGGCAGGCGCCTTTTTCTCCTTAATGGCTTTAGGTTAGTTACATTTGCGTGTGTGATTGTCGACATGCTCATCGCCTTCAGTGGCCCAGCACACTTTCGATGTGTTGGGAGGAACACTTTATATCGTGTGGTGAGTTGGCATCGCAGACATATCAGAGGAAGGTTACTCACGGTTTGTCAGCCTCTTCCTTGAAACCGGCATATTCATCTCACAAGCCGTATGGCTTTGGCGAGTCCGACACATTCGTCGCGAGGCTAAAAAGCGTGGCCAGACGTATGATGAGTTCCTGGCCGACAATCCATCAAAATCGCTATCTAGAATTGGCTCCCCGGAGAGTATACAGGATGTTGAGAAGGGTGTCTCGGATTGCGAGGAGGGTGCGGCTACCCTGTCGATGCCCGGGAAGTGCATGGTGAAGCCGCTTTCACCCGCACGTGTAGTGGGTCAAGAACCGAGGGCTCTGGGAGAGGATACCTGCTCTATGGCGAACAAGAAAGCCGAACTCCATGATACCCAAACGCGTCTCACAATAGCACTGGAACTCGCGTCGAGTGATTAATGATCAAAAGCGCTTCTCGGTTGGTTTCGATAAGCGTCGAAAAGCACCCAAAATAAACCCTTGTTGGCGTCTTAGAAAGTGTATCTTCTTTTTCTCTTTTCTATCAAAAGTTGTGTCTTTAAGGCTTCCCGGAAAAGAGGTGTCACTGGCTCCGTGGGCGGGTATATGATGTTCCTTCTCTTCTTCTTCTTCTTCTTCTTCTTCTTCTTCTTCTTCTTCTTCTTCTTCTTCTGTGTATTTCTTTTTTAAACGACAAGAGCGAGCGGGGAGCTGGCGGCGCGGCTGGATGTTCTCCTTCTCGTCGTCGTCCTGGATTTTACGATGCGGCCTTGATGCTTCGGCCGGCTCTTCTACGTCGACGAACACGTCGAACTTCCGCTTTTTAGCGCCTTCCCTTTGGGCTAACGTACACATTAGTATCGTATCAATACAAGTACAATAGGCACTCTACAGTTTTTAATGGCGGCTTTACGCCCTGCGCATTATAGTGTGCAACTTCCTCCTTCTCCTCCTTCTCCTCCTTCTCCTCCTCCTTCTCCTCCTCCTTCTCCTTCTCCTCCTCCTTCTCCTCCTCCTCCGGGAGAGGGCCGCTCTCGTCGTCGTCGAGGTCGGGCGGCGGGGGCGTGAGGCCGGAGCGGGGGGGAGCAGGCGCGAGGATGTCCACCCCCCTGGGGAACGTTATAAAGAGTTTAATGGATCTATAACATGTTAGGTACACGCATCACCATACTCGCAAACACGCTCACTTCATGTCGATATGTTATGAGTGGTGACATGAAGTGAGGCGTGGCGCGAGTTTAGAGGGAGTCACGCGTCAGGTGCGCGCTAATACAATAGGAAGGCACGATGGAGGAAGGCACGACCCTATCGTCCGCGCATGTAGCTCGGATTCTCAAGTCTTTGGCACGGAGTACAAGGTGCTGAAAGAGATATTGCATCGTAGGATGAGGGGGTATGGAAATTGACCCGCAGCCATAGGCGCAACTGTGTACCGTCGTACCGAACGAATGCTGATGTTCAGAGGCCTGCGTAGGTCACGCGCTTTGATTGATGGCAGGACGCTGGCAAGCTCGCGAGGATTCATAGCTTAGTTGCTGCAGATAGGCTAATTGTTTGCAAATGTACACTGAGTTAAGATTGGTTGAACTGTAATAGATACACTTGGTGCCGTTCCTGATTCCGTGGATGAGTGTTGAAGCTAGTACCGTGCAGCTGCAGGGGAAAAAGAGAATTAAACAGATCCTCTCTAGGGATGTTGGTCTCCGCAGAGGCAAGGGTTCTTCGACTTTAGGCGGAGATGGCCCGACGGCAAGAAGGCTCTCATATAAATAAATCTGCGCACAATCACGTCAACTCACAGGGCGGACGGAGTACTTCAAGACTACTTGATTCCCAAGGGTTGGGATATGTCGCACGCCAAGGCCTTAGGCAGCATCTCGCTTAGCAGTCCACGTCTTACAGTGAAGGAAGGACTGATAAAGCAAGCTTAGTCCAACTCTCCCTCAATCTCTCCAATGCCTCAATCAATCAATCTTTCGGAACAGCATTCAACCCGCACACATGGATCAACGCATTACTCTCGATTTTTATCCAACGGACAATTCCGAGAATATCTCTGATAATATCCAACCTTTCAAATACACTCCATTGCTTCCAGGAGAGTTTCGACTTCTCATCCTGCGGCCGGGTAGCCAATCGGACGACTTGGTCATCAATTTGGCAACAGAAAACTTTGCTTCAACGAATCAATACGTTGCGATCTCGTACTGTTGGGGCAGTTCTGAGAAGCCAAAGGACTTACAATGCATTAGCCAGACCTCAATACGAAATCCGGGTAGCGAAGGTATTTTTTCCACTGGTCGATTGCCCATCACGACCAACCTGGACCGAATGCTGCGCACATTGAGGTCTGAAGAAGGCTTCCTTGTTGCCTGGATTGACGCGATATGTATCAATCAGGATGATGTAACTGAGAAAGCTCAGCAAATCCAAATGATGCACCGGATTTACAGCAAGGCAGCAGTCACAATCCTTTATGCTGGAGAAGATGATGAAGAAACAGTTCCTGCGTTCCAATGCATAAAGTTACTGCAAGAGCTGAAGGAGCTGGAGGACGACTCCATCATGACATGCTTTCAGATCCGCGCCAAAAGATGCGTTTCACCAAGAGGCCAAGAGTCCAGCGTATCCCTTGTGAAAGCCTTCTCAAATCTACTCTCCCGCGATTGGTTCCAAAGAGTTTGGGTGATGCAGGAGGTTGTGTTGTCTCCGAGAAAAAGGTTCCACGTAGGTCGCCTAAGCATACTCTGGGAAGAGCTTGTTGTGGCGTGCAAAGTGGCATCGAAAGGCCAGCTCACCTACGTCTTTTCAAGTCTCTTGAATGGTCTTCCGGGACAATCGGGAAGTCTTAGGGTCACTTATTACGAACAGCTTGCGCAGCATTGGAGCAATCTACATTTCCTGGAATCGGATTCTCCTCTCCCTGGAGGGATCACCAAAGAGCAAGTAGAAGAGAACGCAGAAACTTCTCTGGCTTTCATAGGGATTCTAATTGGATCTCGAGATCTCAAAGCTACAGATCCCCGAGACAAAATCTTCGCGGTCTCGAACATGGTTTTTGGCTATAGCTGCAAGGAAATTCCAACAATCGACTATGCCATCTCCACGGAGGTAGTATACACCTTGGTTGCAAGATCCTGGATGCAACATCACCGGGGCCTGCAATTTTTGAACTGCGTACAACAGAGAAACGCGAGCTTAGACTTGCCGTCGTGGGTCCCCGATTGGTCAAGTCCATGGACCTCTGAGCCTTTTGGCATTCGAGGTTGTTTCAAGGCCAGCGGCTCCATACCATCTGAGATCCAGCTGCCCGAGATACCCACTCCTTTCAGCTTGCCGATCCAACTGACTTGCAAAGGCGTACGTCTGATGAGAATAACGACACTTGCGGGGAAGCTACAATCGTTGAATGATCTTGTACAACTAGGGCTGGAGGACATACTGCTGGATGATTACCCCATGCGTGAGGAAACGTATTGTAGATCGATTCTGGCATTGATCAGCAACGAGATTACGAACACTGCTGCAACCGGGACCATATCCACACGGACGCCATTTTGGCGCCTTGTCCGGCCTGGTCAAGCGAGTGTAACCCATACAGCCCATTTCAACGAAGACTCCTCCCCGGTCACAATGGAAAATCACGAGTGTACAGAATCTTGCGACGGACAACATGGTCAGGGACCTTACATGAAGCAGAGTGAAGGGCAGGCAAAGACAAGACCAAGTGGGCATCCGGATCTTGCTGCTTTGCAGGCCGGCATGTACACGATTGAAATTACTCAACCAAGTCACTTTGCAGCAAATCGGCAATACATGCTATCAAACATGGGCTTCATTGGTCTTGTACCTTCGACCGCAAGAGTAGGAGATGAAGTCGCGCTGGTTTTCGGCGCCCAAACTCCGTTCGTCATACGCAAGGAAAAGAATGGTTGTTTCAAGATGATTGGGGAGTGCTATGTTCATGGCATCATGATGGGAGAGGCGGCGGATGGTATACCACCAGACGCCGTACAATCACTTACTTTTGAGTAAGTAAATAAAGATCTAGGACTAATGGAAACAAAAAGAACCTACTATTTCTAAAGAGGTTGATTTTAAAGAATTGCAGGATTAAATAGAAAATCCAGTACTTAACTAAGTTGCACTCTATACATAGAAGGCAGTCTAACTAACAATTAATTATTTCTCTCTAACGCTAGTTTAAATGTTACTTATTTCGCCCTATGTAATGATGGGGCCTGTTGCCAGGGCCATCGTATCAAGTACTTCAGAGCTAGCATGTCCCGATTTGGCATCCTCGGTTGCCTGAGAGTGGGGCAAAGTACATTTGAGATTGCGGCCTCGGCCTGCATAAACATCACCACTTGACATTCACTCTCTTGGCTAAACAGATTGAACAAGTTGTCACTCATTGCACGGGTCGCGACAGTCGATGATACAGAGTCCCAGCTTGAAACGCTCCGTCTCGAGGTTTACATCTTTCTGGAAATCGCACATGCCGGATTTTCTCACGGACTGAAGAAACTCTGGATACAACACTATATACAGCTACCTCCTACCATATAAAAGCCCAGTATTAGTCCCAACATCTCACGGTCCGGATATCCTCATAATATAAGACCTCCCCCCCAAGTCCCTCAATCTCCCAAACCATGCCCACCCCCACTCTCCCTCAACCCCCCTTCTTTACCATCCCCAACATCAACAACCTCCGCGACGCCGCCCTCCTCCCCGGCGGTCTCCCCATCAAAAATACCAACAACAAAAAAGTCCGACCAGGCCTCCTCTTCCGCAGCGCGGAACCATCCCAACTTCCCCCCTCGGGCTGGCACACACTCTCTTCCCTCGGCATCGCCCGCGTCTTCGATCTCCGCAGCAAACCCGAGGTCGAAAAGGGCTGGAAAGGCACCCGTACCGGAAAACCCGGAGGCGGTTGCGACAGCGAGCAGCATGCCAACGGCGACGTGGACGTGGACGTGCGACCGCGCTGGATCCAGGACTTGGAAGCCGCGGGCCTGAAGAGGCACTGGGTCCCCGTGTTCGAGGAGAGCGATTATTCGCCCGCGCGCTTGGCGGAGCGGTACGTCAAGTACATGGACGAGAGCGTGGATGGGTTCGTGCAGGCGTATGCGGATATCCTGAGGCATGCGGGACCCGCGTTTGGTGAGATTCTGAGGTATCTGGCGCAGGTGCCGGCGGCGGCGGGCGAACAACGGGACGGAGAAGGACCGAGTGGGGAGCAGCCGGAGCGGCTAGGTGCGCTGGTTCATTGCACGGCGGGTAAGGACCGGACGGGAATCTTCTTTGGGGTTTTGTTCGCCTTCCTGGGTGTCGAGGATGAGGCTATTGCTGCAGAGTATAATCTCACGGAGACGGGCCTCGGGCACATGCGCGATGAGATTGTCGAGCGTCTCAGCAAGGCGCCGGGTTTCCGCGAGTATATGATTAAGAATCATGGCGAGGGGTTGAGCGAGGAGGAGATTGCGGAGTTTGGGAGGAAGGCGGCGTTTAGGATGTCTGGGGCCAGGAAGGAGAGTATGTTGGGGAGCTTGGAGCTGTTGAGGAGGGAGTATGGGGGCGCAGAGGGGTATTTGAGAAAGGTGGTTGGGTTGACGGATCGGGAGCTGGAGCGGCTGAGGAGGGCATTGGTGGTTGATGCGGATTGACTAGAGGGCCGGAATATGGATGGAGATGGCTATAGACATAGATTATGACCTTTTCTTTGCATCTGGAATTGAGCGATAGATTGGAGAACACGGAGTCAGAATTGATACCTTTATGAATATTTGGGTTGCTTGTAGTAGAGTTTGCACTCAGCGATATGAAGCAGTGTGATAGAAGGAAGTCCTGCGTTGAAATGCACCTCTAATTCCCTCTAGATGCTTCTGATACATTTTTATAAACTCGCTCTGCGAATTCGAATCTCTTATCCCTGAGTAGGCGTCTTAAAGACCAAGGCAACACCATCATCACCGGCAGTGACCACTACATCTCCGCCGCCACCCTGCACAAAGCCCATGATGCCTCCACCCTCACCACCCCCTCTATGGCCCCTCCATTCACCCACAAGGCCCTTCGCTGCCGCTGCCGTTCCACCTCGTGCATCCCACGAACGCAGGACACCATCAAAGCCCACCGATCTCAACAATGCGCCAGCTGCGCCCTCCCGTCGCACGAATTCGACCTTGACCACGGCCTGAGCGGATTCCTCATCGTAATGAGCGTCCTCTATGCGTCGGCGGATGGCGAAGCGGTGTGCAGTGTCGAAGAGGGTAATGGAGCCGTCGACGTTCCCAGCGGCCATGATGGTGAGAGGAGGGGAGGAGAAGGAGAAGGTTTCCACGTTATCACTGCCTGCCTGCAACGATGCCAGAATCTGGCCCGCTTGCCCTGTAGTAGGGGTTGCTTTGGCTCCTGCTTTTCCCTTGCCAGCAGGAGCAGCGCTGCTTTGTAGTCTCGGTAGGCCGATGATGCGAATCTGGCCTTCGGGCCCTCCGACAGCTACGAATGCTCCGTTTGGCGCCACTGCGACGGAGTACAGGCCCCCTTCGATCTTGAACCGCTCATCCACTCCGGTCAGGCCAACGACTGTCTGGGCATTGCTCGCGCTCGTCAACCCTGCAGCAGCCGCATCGCCAAACACATTCCAGACATAGAGACTTGAATCTTCGCTCACCGTCGCCAACAACTTCCCATCGGGGCTCCATGCTCCCGCCGTCGACGCCTCTGTGTGCAGGTAAAACGCCTGCAGTACCGTCAACGGCGAATCCTTCTGCTGCACATCGATCTGGTACACCCAGACGCTCCCATCGTTCGCTCCCAGGGCAACAACGTTCGGGTGCTCCGGCGCGGGACACGCAACAAGCCAATTGATCTCTTCGACTTCCGCAGCCTCGGCCAAGAACTTCCACCTCTTGCCCTCGGGATTGCCCTGCCAGACGCGCAGCTTACCGTCCAGTCCGGCAGTCGCTATGTACTGGCCCTTCGGATACGTGAACGTGATGGCATTGATAGAGTCCGTATGCCCCTCCAACTTAAACAAGCTCTTCAACCCGGCTCTTTCTCCCTGCGCCCCCTGCTGCTGCTCCTGCTGCTGCTCCCCTTGCCCTCCCACAGCCTCGCTAACATCGAAAACGAACCCTACATCGTCACCACCTCCAGTCGCCACAATCCCCGCATGAACCGGATGCTGTGCTATACAAAAGATGGAGTCCTTGTGCTCGTCGAAATGCGCAATACTGTCGTTCTGCAGCTGAATCTCCATCTGCACGTCCTGGTCCCCGCCCGCGCCCGCGCCCGCGCCTTCGTCCTCGGATTCGGATTCCATGGGGGCGTCGCCATCGTCGACTATCTCCTCGCCGGCTTCTTCAGGGTCCAGGATGGCGGCCTCTTCGTCTGAGTGTTCTAGGTCCATTTCTTCGTCTGTTCTGTGAGGGTGGGGTTGTGCCATGGTGGGGTATTTGGATAGGACTACTTTTTGGCGAAGCAAAATGAAGAGTCGATTAGAGTCTAATGGGTTTTAGAAGTAGGTTCGGACAGTTTGTTATGTGAGGCGAGTTTTATAAGGCGTCCTCGGTCCTGTTGGTAAGTGGTGCTTAGAAATGCTAGGTTCAATTTGTTCCACCAAGAACTTTTTACTTCGGGCGTACGTCGGAGTCCGCAAACGCCGACGTCATTCCAGGCCCGGCCCCAAATTGAGGTCACGAACACGTGAGTTTATACCTAGATATAGCAGAACATGGTTTTCATATCCGGAGGGTATACCATTGCGATACAAGTAGCATACAGTAGATTGGCATTATCGCTGCTGGTATACATCCCAGGAATATGATCACACTCAAATCTTGGCACCCGTCTTCCGCCTCTTCTCCTTCTCCCGATCCCTGAGTAACCGCCTGAGGATCTTACCACTAGGGCTCTTGGGAATCATATCAATGAATTCCACACCACCTGCAAGCCACTTATACCTCGCCTTGTGCTCCTCGACATATTTCTGAATCTGTCGGGCTACTACGCGATCGCTCTTTTCGAGACCCACAGAGGGCGATTTGACGACAAAGGCTTTGGGTACTTCGCCAGCATCGTCGTCCGGGACCTGAATCACGGCGCAATCATTGACGGCCGGGTGAGTGAGAAGGTGGGCTTCGAGCTCCGCCGGGGCTACCTGGTGCCCTTTAACCTTGATCAACTCCTTGATTCTGTCGACGATGAAGATATGCTCGTGACCAGAAGGAGCTTTTCGAATTACTGCCTCATCCCCGGTGCGCATATAGCCATCCTGGAAGGTCTCGCGATTGGCCTGGTCGTTGTTCAAATACCCAAGAACAACAGAGGGTGACTTGACCAAAAGCTCGCCGGGCTGATCGTAACCTGTGATTTCGTTGCCCTCCAGCGTTACAAGCTTACATTCGACGCCTGGCAGCATGGAGCCTGATGATCCGAGCCAAACATCAGTTGGCTTGGTAGCGCAAACAACCGTGCAGGTCTCCGTCAAACCTGATGAGAACTTGTCAGCTGCAGTGACATCAATCATGTGGGCAAGATATACCATATGCCTGGCGAACGATCCATTTGGGGAACATCTTGTGGAGCTCTTCGGCAGTTTCTTTACCCAACGGAGCAGCACCTGTTATTATCGCGGTGACACTGCTCAGGTCATACTTCGCCATAGTGTCCCTATTCTTGGTCATCAGGATGATGATCGGCGGTACCTGATTCGTGTCAGCAATGAGATCTCGGATTCATTGTAACACGAGCCTTACAAGAAACAAAGTGCTGATCCTGTAGTCTTGGATAGCTTTCAAAGTGGTGGCAAACTCAAATCTAGGAAGCACAATCACTCCGTCGCCTTGGTAAATGCTAGCATGGCAAACGAAGACCAGTCCGTAGATGTGGCTGAATGGTAGCAGTCCCAGAACGTTCTCCGTGTAGCCTGACTGGGTTGCTGGGGGTAGTTTGGCATCGCGATCGGGCTTCTCATGGGTCGAGATTTGAACTAAGACGGGTCAATTGCTATCCTCAGGTTCAAGCATAAGTTATGTCACATACGCGTATTAGCAACGACGTTCCGATGCGAGATCATAACACCTTTCTGCAATCCTGGTCAGTAGTTTGTCTTTATGCAAGCTATGGAACTTACGGGCAAGCCAGATGTGCCACTTGAATAACACAAGAACGCCGTTCTCTTCGCACCGTGTCCAGGCTCCCAGTTAAGAGCCTCCAATCGAGGTTGTTGTGCTCCTTCCCGGATGAGATCATTGACGGTCTTCATCCCATCCGGTATTTTCTGGTTACCGATATACTCCTTGGGCAGTTCAAGAACATATATGCGATGATTGGGTATTCCGACCTTCTGGGCGGCTTCTTTGGCAACTGCGAGAAGGGGAAGGCAGGTAAAGAGAGCCTTTGCACCTGAGCTCTTCAACTGGTACTCGAGCTCGGCGGCATTGTAAACGGCGTTCGCTGGCGTTTGGATGCCACCCAAGCGATGTGTGGCCCAAGCAAGAGGTATGGTATCAATCTGCCGTGATAAGTCAAATGGAGCTCAATTATCTGGCAGTAACTGAGACTGACCGTATTGAGCGAGAACACAGCTATGACCTTGTCCCATTCTGATCCCTTATTGGGCTCGAAACCGAGTTCTTTGGCTAGTCCACGAGCAAGGAAGTCGACGCGCTCCTTTACCTCCAGTGCAGAATACGTTTTACCGGACAGGCCGCAGGTGAAGGGATTCCTCGCATACCCCAGGGGGTGCCTTCCATAGTGCTCCTCGAGGACAAAGTCTGCAATGGTTATCGAGTCCGGAGGATCGAAGGGGAGCTTCGGAACCCATGATGGAGGGTAGAACGGCATGCTGGATCGCTCTGGGTCGAATGTACGCCGCTTTGATCGGACCGCCGTTCGAATCTCACTGGAAATGCCTACGACGTTCAATCTGCCCGTGCCAGACGCTGGCCGGCCGGAGCAGGCGTCGGCAGGGGCGGCATGCCCGCTTTAAAGGATGACGAATGAAGCCCTCGGATAACCCCGCGGCCAAGCAGGTTCCACGGTCGTGGGGGAGCTCGACACGGAGCCCCAGGATGTGGAGTAGCTCAGGTCCCCTCGGGAAGTCTAAGTTCGGTTTAGCTCGGGCCGGGAGTTCACAAGCTTAATGGCGCCCTTGGCGACCCACTTCCCCAGGTGGCACTAGTGCACGTGCTTTAGGCATTCACCTTCACTCGATTTTCACTTCACGCAACAGTCGAAGACGCATGGTATGGCCATTATATATGGTAGCTTTTTTTTGTCAGGTATAGCAATGTGATCACGCAATACGGGGTCGATGACAGACGCTTCTCCCACCTGGGACGTCATTGACCGCTTTCTCTCTTCACCTGCACCTCTTCAATTTCTCTACTTCCTCTCACCGAACTCACAAATAAAAGAAGGAAATTATGAGAATCCTTTTTCTACCGCAGCCGCGCTTCACATAATCCGCGCACCCTCCCGACCGCCTTCACCTCTTGACGCTCCCAACCCAACAGAGCTCTCCACCACAATTTCTTCTTCCTACTGCCTTAATGCATAGCTTTATCTAGAGTTTCGATATCACGGCGCCCATCGCTCTCACAAAGCCTTCTACCACCGCCAGTATGGATGCCATTGTTAACGACATCATATCGAGTAGTCCATCTTCTCTGGCCCTCTGTTTCCCGCCCGACCAAGGGCACTCAGTGTTATCAACGACTTCGCTCGACGCTCCTGGATCTCCCCTCAGCGATGTCCCCGACGACTTGTCCGATTGCTCCGAAGCAAAGGCGGACCAATTTAGGATACGGCCTCTTCTTATGACAAACATCGACAGTGTTCAACCGTCTTGTTCGAACGCCATGGAAGGATTCGGTAAAGACGGGTCCTTGTTTGACTCGTCTTTCAAGAGACGTGTGACACGATCCCAGACCAAGAAACAAGACCTTGCTGAGAAAATCACAACTCCTCCCACCCCTTGGCCAAAGCGATCAATTCCCTCACCAATATCGCCAATAGGAGAGGAATTCTCAGCCTCTCCCCGGCTTCGAAAGAAGCGGAAGTCTAATGCTGACTCTCTTATCACGAAGAAGGCGAAACGCGCCTCATTGGTAGTCAAGTTGTCAGTACCATCGCTTGGTCGGTTGATCTTCTCCCAGTTGAAGCAGACGTCTCTGGATGAAAATACTTCCGACCAGGCAATAAGTGCTAGCGATTTTGATCATGCACCGGTAATGAAGTTTCCTGATATACCCACGGGCAAGGTTCCTCCTGGTGGTCGCACAGAGCTTTGCATTTTGGAGCAAAGGGCGTACGTTCCGTGCAATCCACCCACCGCAACGCCAAATCATGGACCCGGACTTGATGTTCCTATGACTATGCGTGCAAGCCCGTCTGGAGTTGAACATAGCGAATTAGTGGCACTGGCAAAGAGGCTGGTGACCCCTCCCACAGATTTCGACCAGAGACCAGACCCATCTTCAAGGCCTGAAGTGTGGGCAGAAACCCGTCAAGAGTTATGCGAGACCTTGCACTACTTCCGGGCCTGGCATGGCGGCACCTACTGTACGGGCGGTTATGCTTGGGGCGTCTTGCATGACAAGTCACCTCACGCGCGAGACTTCAACGACGGCATTGTTGTTCTCAGCAGAGCTGGGGGAGGCATGGTCAGGGATAAGGACACCGAAGAGATGGTAATTGGACGCGACCAGGCCGAGAACAGTCAGTCAGCCAGTTTGCGAAACTCGATGAAGTATCGGAACCCAGTCGTCCTCATCACAGGCGCCGATAACCCCTTGATGCGCTGCAAGCCGCCACATACGTACTGTGTGCTCGACTATTTCAAGCCCACCCACATCTGGTGCGAAAAGTCGGGTGGAAGAGTTATCATGCGCTATAGATTTGAAAAGCTCAATCTTAGCAAGCCTTCTTGGTGGCTGGTAGGGGAGCAGGCCGTGCCACTTGGATCTCTTCCTCCTCCAGTCGTTCAAAGATGCACCAGCTGCGGCAATGTGTTCGATCAAGTGTACTTGCAAGGTTGGATGTGCCTTCATGCCCCATGCAGATCATTCTGGAAGCTACAGAACGGTAAAGAGCCTGTTGAGCACGACCTTCTTTACGATCCCCGTTTCATAAAGCAGAAGACCCACTGGCCGAACGAGAATCACAACTACTCTCTTACATCCAACAATGTCCAGCTCAGTGGTCATTTCGTCGCCGGTGAGAACTGTTCGAAGGCTTATTGGTCGGGAATGGTATGTCCGCAATGCGGACGCTGTATTCTGAGAATATCCTGGATGTGCTGGGATTGCGGCTGCGGATTCCAGAAGAAGCCTCCGCACACGTTGATTCCGGCAGAGGCCCTTGTCGATCCGTACTTCCCCCTGACGGACGAGTACAGCCTTTCTCGCGACTTTAGCTCACCGCTCGTCACACTCGAGGTCCGCTTCCTGCATGGCTACCGCATCAACGTATTCACCATCCCTGGCATCAACGGCTTCGTAGCTCATCTCATCGCGAACAAGCCCGTAGTGGAAGAACAGGGCGGTCCTAATGACATGTTCGAGGAACTCCAACAGACTGACATTGGTCTGCGGCGTCGCCCCCTTGGCGGTGGGCTCTCCAAGGGAGAAGCTTTCACTCGCCACTTTGCGGTCAACTACGGCATGCCCTACAAGTTCATCGCGGCCACATCCTCTGAACCTTTTGAGGGAGCTGCACATGCCATCACTGCCACGCGCTCCCGGCTCAACTGGGCGTCTCAACTGATGGTCGGTCAGGAGCATCGCGAGTTCAACGAAGTTCTGGCGCTGGGCTACTTTGAGGAACAAAGAATCAACTATCATGATGACGGCGAATTCGGCCTCGGTCCTACCATTGCTACGCTCTCGCTTGGTGCGCCAGGGACAATGAAGATCCGCATGAAGGCGCGCCATTACAACGGCGTCTCCAAGCAAGGCATCTATAACGACAGTCTGCCCATGCCCGGTTGTGACAAGTACGCCGAGCGTCTTGCCGCCGTTGACGAGCTCGCGAGATTGAAAGCAACCGACAAGAAGGAGTACTCCGCGCGCCTCCGAACACTACCCAAGAACCTGGGCCTGAAGTCCGGCGGGAATTCCAAGGATGCGATTACCATGATGCTGGGCCATGGCGACATCGTAATCATGCACGGCGCAGATATACAGAAGTACTACGAGCACTCCGTGGAGCATGCCGGGAAGCTGCGGTTTGCGCTCACCTGTCGGTATATCGATCCGGATTCTCTGTCTGAGGCGGATAAGCCGAAGTACCCCATTGCGCCGGATGCGGGGAACTATGACGGAACGAGGGTCGGCGGAGTGGCGTGATAGGTGACCGGTGGATGTGGTGGAAGTGTTAGAGCTCGAGCTCGGACACGGAATAAGAGCCATGTGCTATTTTGGTAGAGGATGACATAACACTGATGTTCGGTGGTTCATAAAACTGGCGTGGGAAGGCGACATTGCAAGGTGGGATTTTGATGCACAGTCGTATTTAAGCTCGGCGATTGATCGTCGACTAGATCAAAGGAGTCCGATCTATCACCATCTACATGTAATACAACTATTCTTCGAACGTAAAGCTATTGATAGTAGATCTTGATCAAGTAAACACTTCGCAAAACCTCCTGCAGAAGTAAATATGGAACATTACCTACTAATCTAACGTAGGAGGAGATCGCACACAACAGTGCGTCGTTCAGAAGCTTGTACTCACCCGTTTGATGCCTGGATTGATCAGCACTCCGCAGTATTGTTGCAAGGCTACTCTACTCAGTACGACGCGAGTTGGCAATCATCCAATCCACTCAGCGGACCTTACACTACCACACTGTCTGCATTACGCCTTTCTGCAGAGAACGCCATCCAGCATCGTAGAAGTCGTCATTGACAGAGAGTTTCGATAGGCGACGACCGAGGGGAATGGATCGGCGAAAACGTCAGCCAGGCCAAAGAGTTTTATGGACATAATAGCGCAGTTCACTTCTATGGAATTCTATCAGTAACAGTTAGCCTAGGACCAGATTGGAACTGACAATAGCTCGAGCATCCTTGACGTTAGCTCACTCTGCCATCCAATTAGTCTGACGATAGCCTGGATACAAGATTGCTCGACTGAAGCGCTTCGGTGTAGCAGGGCAGATTGAGGGATTGATACCATTAGCCTACTGAGGCCTTTACCATGTAGTGAATTTACGAACAAGGATGGCTTAGTTATTAGCTGCGCAAAGGGACTAAAGATGTCAAGGCGTATGTGCTATCATTTTCAGAGTGTGTAAGTCAGCAGCGTAGCCCTAAGTTGTCACATCAATCCAAGGGTTGACGATTTTCTCCCTTTCTTCGCTTCGTTCGATCTACATTTCTCTACATATTTCTTCTAGCAGACGTGCCCCAACATAGCTATCAGTCAAAACACACTCACCATGGCTCGCCAAGCTCTGGCCAGCACTAACGCGAGGCATGGTCTCTACTATGGCCGGAGTTTCGTCGTGCCTTGTCTATCGTTCAATGAGCCTGGGGCATTCGCGACCGGGGAAGATGCATCCCTCCCCAGCCTGTTGTTTTGCCCACCGTGTCCTGCATCACTCTGGTCATGCTGTGAAATTTGAGTAGAACTGAGCTGCCCATGTTGCAGGCGAGCTGATGAGCTTTGTGTAACCGTGCGTTTCGTGCGTTTAGCAGACGGAGGCGATGTCGCTGTTGAGCTCTTTCGCTTACCTCTAATTGTCGGCCCGCCAGAATGACCCGAGATGATGGAGCTGCTGTATCCCTCGAGTCCAGAGTCGCGGACAGGGTCTAAGGACACTTGTTCTCGTATATCGCCATTCGAATCCGGCGAACTGGAGCGCTGGGAGTCCCGTGGGTCTTTGTACCGTTGGGTTTCGGAATCCCCAAAATCCTGCTCATCTTGCCGGGAGGCAGTGGGGTCAGGAGCCGAAACCTGTGACTGTTCACCCTCACGCCGTTGACTCTCGGGATTCATTGGTCTTGGTGTTTGAGACCCCTCTAGCTTGCCTGCTCTTTCCAAACACGTTTTCGCTGAATACCGACGCTTTGGGTCTATGACCAACATACCCGATAAAATGTCAAGCAAACTATCAGATTTTGAAACCCTCAACTTCTCGACGACCTGTTCATAATAGGATGGTCGCGGCACCCTTCCTGGAAGACCATAACCGTACTGGAGGACAACAACGCCAAGAGACCAAATATCAACGGCAGACGTGTATCGAGGGCTCCCGATACAGGGTGAGTGCCAGAACGCAGCAATCTCAGGAGCCGCATAGAAGCGTGTGCCGCATCGAGTTTCCAGAAAGCTGCCTGCCTTTGCTAGGCCAAAGTCTGATAGTTTGATGCTGAAGGGACTACGAGATGAGACAAGAATGTTCTCCGGTTTTATGTCTCGATGGACGATAGGTGGCTCCTGACTATGAAGGTATGACAAAGCCGAAGAACATTGGCGAAGCAGAGTATGAACATCGGGTTCGGAAATGGGCTGTCTGCGATGTTGTTCTTCGAGATTTCCGAGTGGAAGATACTCCAGCACCAGCCGAGGGGGAGGCCCATCTAACGCGAAGTGAAGCTTGACAATGTGCGGCTAGGAAAACAATCAGTACAACGATTTCAAAAGCTATATTGATACTTGCATGCGAGGTATTCTTTATTACATCAGCCTCCCTTCTCCAGTCGACTCCATCAGGATTGTGACACTTCTTGGAGGCATATTCCAATCCGGTGCTGACATTCCAGACACGACTTACAACGCCGAACGACCCTTCACCGAGCTTCTCTCGCTCCAGAAAAATGGGCCTCTGGCTGGGGGTGTCGCTCCCACTGGGGGCAGCTGTTGGGATTGTGCTTCTTATGCCCAGAGCACCAAGTGGCAGCTGATCATTGTTGGCGATCTCCTTGAGAAATTGGTCGACATTGTCGGAGAACAGGCCCGAATCTCCATGATCTTTAGGGACGACGATCTGGAACTTGAGTTTTGGGTGGATCTCGATGACAACTGTCTTGATCTCGTCAGGGAATCCCTCGCCGCCTATAATCCATTTGAAGTTTCTGCGTCTCTCTCGCGCGTTGCAGTTATATGTAACAATGGTACCGTGTCTTGAGCAGTCTTGCACAACAGGTCGGCGTTGGGCATCGAAAGTGATGTAGCAATGTCGGTTGCTGACTTGGGATTGGCCTTTGTTCCCAAGCGACGGTAGGACAATGTCGCAGCTGCTTTGGTTGGTCCCAAAAACAATGCCGAGGCCGCCTTTGAGCTTGTGGCTGAACCTCAACTCTAGGCGGGCATCCCGGTCTTGAGGCTGTTTTGTTCCGTCATCGGGTGGTGCGGTTGTTTCCCTGCTTTGTCTGCCCTGCGGCTCATCAGACGGTGGTCGTGTCCCACCAACGTACCGATGGCAGTCCTCCGGGCTGTTAGCGGGGTTTTCGATCACCTTCTGCGCGTTTTCCCAATCATCATCGAACGGATACAAACAAGCGATCAAGTCTTCCATTGCCGTAACGACTCCTTCACGTTGTAGATGGGAAGTTCTCCCAAGTAGGCTCTGGTTGGGGTATGGTTCCTGGCTTTGCCCTTAAATTGGTGCTGGAGAAAGACATGATGCAGATGGTTTGCAGCGTGAAGCAGAGGACTTCCCACAAACAAAGCCTTCAATGTCCACTCAAGCTGTTGCTCGGCGCCAGTTTGTTCCAGGCAACAAAGATATGCGGTGATCTCTTTGAGACTACCAAGTGATTGGGCTGCCATTGCAGCGAGACACCAAGAAAGTTCCTTAAGGCTCTAGGCTGGGTCGCAGATAGACTGCTGGTTGTCGCACTTAGCAAGCCAGTTGGTGGGCAATATCTGTGAAACCTCATCCCGCGTGATTCCTAGGTCGCACACAGTCTCGTTAGAAGTGTTGTTAGGGATAAGTCAGCCCCAGGGCTGTTACCCTAAGCTTAGAGAAATCGTATGTGCATGCACTTAAGCTTCTATCACAGTATATCTATCTTATTGTTAGATGCGCTTAGAGTCAGGTTCTATTAATATCATACCGTTTCAAACAATCTTCAATTCATTGTACCACAACGGTTCTTTGTCGGTGTGCTGGGCACGAGCAGGCATAAATACTCAACACCGGCCTGCATCAATCTCAGCCCCTTGCCTCTGCATCTTTTGCACACACGAGCTATGGCATCCACAGAAACACCAGCACCGAAACTGTTCGCTCGCGACATCGTCGCTTATAACGATGAGGAACTGGACCGATACCTGGAAGAGAACGGAAGGTGAGTGCTAGCCCCCGTGCATGCCAATCGCCCTTCTGCCGCCTTGCTAACCCACAGTGCAGAGCCGTCGCGGTGGAGGACCCAGACAATCTCCCAGAGGAGTTCATTCAGAGATTAAGGTAATCCTCTTCGTAGCCTACTCAATCACCGTCTTCTAACAACTAGGGGCAGAGATCGGGTACGCCGCGAGAACGAAACGGCCGCATCTCACCCTATCGATCTTGATCAAGTTGCCGCTCGACTTGAACGACTTCAAGAACAATCGCGTCGATCGCCCTCCCTCCCAACAACGGCATCCTATCATGAAGAGGAAGAATATCGCGAGGATCTACGACTCCAACGGGGAATGTACAAGATGCTTGTTGACGATGGCGGCCGGCCTTCACATCCCCTGAGTCGGCTTGAGGATATCGTCGAGAATCCTGGAGAATACCGCGAAATTCTAACCTTCTGGCAAGGTACATACCCGAGGGAGGATGATTGGAGAGTATTTGGTAGGCAATGGTCGAGATGGCGAGCTTTCCGTGGACTCCAACGATTTGCAAGAGGACAAAGAGGCTACGATTATTGGCGAAGTCTTTGGGAGGAGAAATGTGCGCTTCAGAAGTTCTCCTGCCCCGAGGTCGAAGAAAATTCTGAAGAGAACTGGCAACATACTTGGCGGCTGCATCAGGAACATCATGATAATCACGTACAGCTCGGCTCATCGTACATGCCCTGGAGACTGTTCATCAAGCGCAAAGGGCAAACAATAAGCCAGCAGGGCTTTCCGGAATATGCCGAAGCGCTGAAGGAACGACTGGCAAGCCATGGCTTCACTCGGCCGTTCCAGCTCGACGAGGATGCCGCCCGGCAGGACAAGATGACGACCTGGATCGAATATCTTGGCTACGAGTACTGGTGGTACGATTACCATACAGGTATTGTGAGGAGATACCAGAGACGACACGACGATGCCTGGAAGGAACTGGTTGACTCGAACGTGCTAAGACCCGGGGAGACGGAGGAAGGCATATGCAATCGCGACGACCCTTTCGAAGATGTGAATAAGCAGAAGATGGCTGAGAGGGCGATGGATGCTGCGAAATCAGCTGTGTCCTCGGCAGAGACGGCCATGGCTTACCCCGGAAAGTACAAAGGCTCCCCACAGATACTCAAAGAACGCCTGTTGGCAGCACGATCCCAGCTGGAGGCGGCACAGGCCGAATACGAGTCGATTAAGAGACGCATTGATTGTATTGGTAGATTCCATAGACGGACAAGAGAGTACCAGATTGCTAAGCGAGATGCTGAACGCCACGAACTACTACTGCGATGGATGCTTGAGCAGGTTCCCCTGATTGAGGCCGAGCTGAATCCGCCGAACGATTGTGGGTCACACAAAAGAGATAGAAGCAAGGTGCTCAAACGCCAGCGTAATCCATCAGAAGGGGTCGATGAAAATTCCCAACAGCAGAGCCGCGACGGAAGCGTGAACGGCCCCAGCCCGGACCGACCTGCAGCCACGGTTCCCAGTTTCCAAGAGCCGTCTCCTAAGCGGCTAAGGCGCACTGCCAATCCCTCACACACCGCAGTATCCGATCCCGGAGATCCAAATGTAGCGAGCGGAACATTTGGCTCAAAGAAGGATTGCGCACCTCAGAAGAGGAAAGGCCAAGCGTCCTCAGATCAGTCGCCAACATTGAAACCTTTACGCCGCAGTGCCAGGATAGCGGAAAGAGCACAGAGAATGAATGCCGCATTGGAACCTTCACCCCGCAGTGCCGGGATAGCGGAAAGGGCACAGAGAATGAATGCCGCATTGGAACCTTCACGCCGCAGTGCCAGGATAGCGGAAAGAGCACAGAGACTGAATGCCGCTGCAACCACAGCCACCACACTGACACAGACACCCGCAGCTGCACTGTCAAAGCCGTCGAAAAAGCGCAGAGCGAAGCAAGGGGGCACTAAAAAGTCCAGTCGACCGCGCACCTCGAAGCCGCGGGGTGCAGGAAAGAAGGGCCGAACCCGTTCGTAACGAGAGTACGTGTCTGCTGCTGTTCATCGTATGATCTAGAGTGCTTTCCTTGGCTGAAGGCTGTTTTGGAAGAGACGCTTTGGCTCGGCATCGAAGCACATGATGGCCTTTGTCAGAGGGTTTGTATACCTTTGATTACCCTAACTTTTTTTCTAACCGAAAGAACAGGGCGCTCACCATGAGGCATGATCACAGCCATGAGTGCCTGGTGCAACCGGCAAGACTCATCGAGGGCATCGAGAACTTGTTCAGGTGGCCGTTTTTCTGCGGAAACTGTATACGACAAAGAAGTTGCGGCAGCCACCAAGGTGATTGTCCGGTGCGGATTACGAGAGGTTTTCCCGTACCGCGTTGAAGCGATCCGTCAACTGCTCGATCCACTTTGCGGGAGAGGTACGTGGCGTTTAGGGATTTTTCCAGCGTCGGACTCATCTCTCGAGGCTTTAGTGACAGTGTCCCTATGTGGCCTAAAAAGTCCTTCGAACCCATCATTTGCTCCATTTGAAAAGCCCCAGTGTATGGCCGAGGACGAAAGAGAGAACGGCCGGTGAAGTCTATGACTCTCCGCCAGCGTCTCCAAACTCCAGCAGCACACAGCAAAGTACCCCATCAACCGAGACGAGAAGCTCGACCTCGACATCCTCTTCAATTCCCCCTGCCATCGCGACGCAACCTCCACCGACCTTCCTTCGTGGACACGCCAACTGGCACGTACTACTGTCATCAAGACCGCTGTATGACAATCGGTATTTGCACCTCTCACAAATTGGGACCTTCCCAGCTTCATCAAGACTGTCCCTCACAATCAAGTGAACCTCAACCGGCCAACCGTGACGCGCTTCAAAACCGGCCGTACCCAATCCAGGAACTCTTACCACTTTTTCCCAAATAGATCGCCTACATCCTGTTGTTTTCTTCCTCTTCTCTGAACAGCTTCTATCCCGTGTACTGTTAGATTGTTACGGCCAAGTCAGCAAGGCCCCCCTTTCTTTTGCCTGTTTTGTAATTTTATCTCACGCGGGTAGTGTATATGTAGATGGCCTCCTGCAACCGCAGAGAGATTCCAACCAATTTAGAATATTTTTCTCTCTGCTTGTTCATGGTCTTTCCACGCATGCCGCCCTGGGGCGGCCAATAAAGTTCGGTCCTTCCCATTTTGAGGACGGTAAAACATATCTGGAGATTTTGCACAGTCGACTAGAAGTCCTTTGATGGTGTGCTACTCCGGCGGTAGTTGGTGCTGCCATATATACATATATATATATATATATTAATATATATCCGCTGTATCTAGGGCAGATGCAAAATGCCCAGTCTGGTCAAGGACGGTGGCTTGGGGGGGCGGGGGTGAGGGATGAGGTCGCTTTTCGAGATGATTAGATTTTCTTGTTTCATGAAGTACGTATCAAGTTTGGGGAGGCGATCGAGTGGCTTATATGCGAGGCCGAACAACAACAAGATCGAAAGTTATCAGCGTCGATCTATGGCGTCAGCTCTGGCGCGATATGTTATGTCAGTTGGCAACTCCTGTCCGGATAGGTCTTCGTGGGCGGGAGCTACTACTAATCTCATAGCCGGTAGGCATTGGCCAGTATTTAGCTTCTAGATTACAGCTTTACCGCGCAATTTTTAGACTACTTTGTTAACAACTTCCCTCCGGTCGGATATTCATTCACCCTGCTCCGGATCCCTAACCTGCTGCCTTTATATAGAGGTCTCCTGGGAACCAAACAGCGCGAGCGCCTTAGTAAGGTCAACGTGAAGCTCCCTCTTTTCCAGCCTTCCAGCATATCAGAATACTGCCCGCAGACCCCTTAGCTATGTGGACTTCTGTTTTTAAGGTACGTTGATTCTTTTTCTGCGGTGAGACAGTTCACAAACGGTTCAGATGACATGCTTGGGAAACAATCTATAGTCCTCCATTTGCCCTTCTTGCTCCCCGCAACAAATCCAGCACCTTTGCCAAACCCTGCTCCTAACCAAGTCCCCTCTTCCATGGACGATGACCATGCCACTCTAGCCGCTCCCCTTGCAACACAACCACCCATATACGATATACAGCTGACGACGCAGTGAAGCCCCCATCCACCGAACCTCGCCGCTACAAACCACTTTGGTCAAATATTCGGGAGCAGTGACTTCTTACACACTACGCCATTTTTCCTATATTCCCATCACGTTGTTATTACTACTATTAATGTCTCCTCCTCCTTGTTGTTGTCCGCCAGTGACATAGGACATGGAGCCGGCCCGCCATCAGATTTCCCCTTTCCAAACGCGCATCGCTCAATATGTACGTACTTCCCACCCTTCCCCACATTCCAACAACATCTCTCTCTCTCCTCTCCTGCTTCGACCTCAAAAAAACCCCATCTCCATCCATCCATTCCCACACATGAACCAGGCTTGCAAGGAGAAAATAGAAATAAAGCCCAAAGTGAAGAAGGCGATCCGCCAACTTTCGACAAACGAAGAAAACAAACAGGAACAAAAATGAGACGACTGTCAACATCGAGGTATCAAAACGAGGGAAAACAGTTGACACATCCGCAGGTCCACTCCCCAACTTTCCATCTCCAGATCAAGCTTAAATCACGCTTTCATCCACCTCACACTGGCAAGAACCAGATGCGCTCCAGGTTCCCATCTGGAAATTGGTCCAGCGTCTTCAAAAGACGGTCCAAAAGTTACCTATCTGGGAGGAGGGGTTGGACTGGGCGACTACCTGGTCCAGTGAGGCCATGATGGGGCCCCGCTCTGAAGACTCCCGCAGAAGCGTCCCGTACAGCCAGGAACTGCGTGGCTAGCGCAGTCCAATGACGCTCTTGTGCCCAGTCAGTGTATATTCTTCCTGATTTCCCTGCCCTATTTCCGAACAAAGGAGTGCGGGTGACACATACCATCTCAAGGGTCCACACCCGACGAATCCACACTTTTAGCTTCCCCTCCACACCCCTTACATTCTCCAGCTCGACACCCTCCCACCAACACCGACGGGCAGGCTTCCGCCAAAACAGGAGAAGCTTCTGGGCCATGCCCACGGCGTTGCTGTTGGCTAGATCATTACCTTTGATGTCGGTGCGGAGACGGGCAAGCGCTATGCTGCAGATGACGGCTTTGTTGGGCTCGCCGGCGCGGTGGCCCCACCGGTCATCGTGATTGAAACCGCTGAACAAATGTAAGCAAATGATGCGCCTAGCGGAATAGTTCATTAGCATACCCTGCTGTCAACATCTCAATCAGATGTTGCTCCGTCGTTCCGGGTTCCTCGCTCTTCCTCAGCCCCGAGAAGATACCGTTCTGCTTCAACAGGGCCTCACCCGCTGCACGCTTGATTTCGATCATCTCCGGGGCCTCGATATCACGTCGCGGCGGGATGGCGTAGAAATCGAGATCTTCCCGGAGCACAATGATACCTGCTCTGTCCTGTAGCATATCCCTGGGGTGCCCATGCATGGGCTCAATCGGAACCGCTTCGGCTTGATGCTCTGAGTTTGCGGTCGGTGAAGGCGGGGAGGTAGGGATCGTCTGGGCGACATTGCGGAAAAAGTCCAACATATACTGCAAAGACTGCGGATCGTACTGTGAAAGGTAGATGTTGTCAGATAAGTATGACGAAGGATTAGAGAGACGGAAAACAGCCATTTCGATGGAATTGGAACGGGACATGGGAAGAAGGAAAGGGTGCTACCAACATCTACTGGATACACATCACCGCCATCGTGGAACGAGTGCATGTGGCCATCTGGAAGAAGCCCATTTGGGAATAAGGATAATAAGACGAACTCCGGAAGAGTGAGTAGCTCGTCTCGGGATAGCGTGAATCGAGTCCCTCTGCCGCAATGTTAGCCACGTGGATTGAATGAAGTGTAGGAGAATAGTAGCCCACCTTAGTTCCAAGGTAATGTTCTCATCGGATCCGCCAAGAGTGTTGATCGGTGGCCCGGCGCTGTGCTGTGACACTTGAGTTATGATACTCGCGGGCCCTCCTGCGGACGCCATCACGTAGGTAAAAGACTGGAGTGGGCTTGAACCCTCACTATAGGGGGGCGGCGGTTCTCCGTCGTCGAGGTCCTTGCTGGTGGAGCGGTCCTTGGTATCACGCGGAAGTGCCGCTTTGGTCTCGGCGACGGCGTTGGCTGCAGCGGAAGACGAAGGCTCACTGGAGGGTGGGGCGGGCGAGAATGCGGGAGGAGAATCGGGCTGCGAGCCTGTTTCGCAATGCTCGCAGGAGTCTCGGTGGTCGTGGTGGTGCGGCGGAAAGTAGAGGGAGGAGAAGGGAGGGGGGTAGGGGGATTCGGCGGTCGTAGTCAGCGAGGGACGATCGTCGGCTGTTGCAGTGACTGTGTAAGGCGGGCGAGGGATATCACGGTCGCGATTGTCGGACTGTAAAGGAGTGACTACGGACGAGCCGTTTGCAGTAGAGTCTTGTGTCTGCGACAAGGTGCCGGTGTTGCTTGGGGACTTCGATCGACCTCAACCTGGGCAGGGCAGGGGCGCGGCGGGCGCCTACGGCTCTAACACGATTTAGGCCGCCTCGATGTGCGGTAGAAATCAGTGACAAGCCAATGGCATTGGGAAGCAGGTACGGAGCAGTGGATACGGACGGCGAGAGCTGGTGGGTTTGCTGTCCTGTTGTCGTGGTGGTGGGCCTGTGTTGGAGTCGTGGATGAGGGCCGGGATGTGGGTCCGAGAGCTGGAGAGCACTTCCCAATTTGGAAATGGGCACTTTTTGGTTGACCACCGCACTGTAACGAAATCAAAGCGAGAAGAGCAGGAATCTACACAAGAGTCGCCATTTCGATACGTACGCTTTCAGCACCGCCTTCAGGCTTCCGGACATCCACTGGGAACGACGTATTGACGCTAAGGAGCTTGACTCGCCAAGCTCCGGGCCGGATCTTGTGGAACATGGGGGAGCCGTGGGAAGCTCACCACTACCAAAGGGAACCAAAGGCCGCTCGAGGCTCACTGGACTGTGCGTACCGGCCATCTGATGCAATAGCTCACCTCTATGCTGTCTTTGCTGTGGTATCCCGGCAATCATTGTTTGCCTGTGTCTGTGCTTGCCGTGCTGATCGTAGCTGCAGAATGAGAATATGTGGACGGCAACGCAAGTCTCGTACTCCGATAGACACTGTATTCATGTCAAGACCATCTTCTCCAATTGACTATCGACTGTATCAGTCTCCCCAAGCAACCGCATCTAGTGCTTCGCTACCACTCCCGCCGCATTGGCCTGCGCTGTAATTCTCCGCTTATAGTCCTTAACCGTGCCATCAAAGTGCTCAATGGTCCCATTGTCACAGACCCACAAGCTCGTACACACATTTTGCAACATGGTCACGTCGTGACTAACCATGAGTACACCGCCCTGGAACTTCTGCAACGCCTCGGACAGCGCATCCATGGCCTCAATATCCAAGTGGTTGGAGGGCTCGTCGAGCACGAGGATGTGCGGGTTCGAGAGGGACAGCATGGCAAAGGCGACGCGTGACTTTTGGCCTCCAGAGAGTAGTGCCATCTTTTGTAGGCCCGTCATGCCAGTGATACCGAAGGCTCCCAGGTGTCGGCGATACTCCTCGTCGGATTTGCCTGGAAACTTCTTGGATAGGAAGCCGACGGCGCTGTCATTCAGATTGAGTGCATCGACGTGGTGCTGCGCGAAGAAGCCCAACCTCAGGCGGGGATTCTGGGAAATGATGCCAGATGTTGGCTGCAGAGCTCCGATGAGGAGTTTCAAGGCTGTCGTTTTACCAGCTCCATTGGGGCCGACGATGCCAATACGCGAGTCGAGCTGAACGTCAAGGTCGACATTCTTGAGCAGGATCTTGTCCTTGGTGTAGCCAAAACTAACGTTGCTCATCTGTATAATAGGGGGAGTGAGCTTCTCCACCTCTGGGAACTTGAAGTGCACAGTATACTCCGCCTCCGGTGGCTGGAGGACCGGCATCCTCTCGAGCTTCTTGATCCTAGATTGAGCCTCCGACGATTTAGCAGCATTGTATCTGAACTTGTCGATGAAAGCTGCAGAGATGTCAGTCAATGAACACCGTCAGGCTTCCAGTAAATACGGACCTTGCAAGTGGGCACGCTGCGCCATTTGATTCTCGTATTCACGCTTCGCCGTCTTCCTTCTCTCTTCCTTCGTCGCATAGAAAGAGTCTGCATATGTTAGTAAGAGAGCAAGAACGGCCCTGGATGTGCAGAAACATACCAAAGTTAGCACCCTTGTAGTAATCGAGTCGCTCCGAATGTTGATGAATGATGTCTGTAGCCACTTCGTTCAAGAAAGCTCTGTCGTGGGAGACGACGAGCACAGTGCTGGGGTACTCTTGAAGGTAGTTGGCCAAGAAAGTGATGGACGGGACGTCCAACATGTTGGAAGGTTCGTCGAGGAGCAGCAGATCTGGCTCGCAGAATAGAGCTCGGGCAAGCGCCAATCTCATCCTCCAACCGCCAGAGAACGTCTTTGTTGCAAACTGTTGGCGCTCGGGGGAGAATCCGAGGCCGGCCAAGATGCTGGCAGCTCTTGACTCGGCCTTGTCAGACTCCATCTCGGCAAGCTTGGCGTGGATGTCGCTGAGGGTGATGTCTAGACCTTCTCTCTGTTTGTCGAGCTTCGCAGCATCCGCCGATGTATCCGCCAAGGTTGCTCGCTGGGTCTCAAGCTCTGCGAGTTCTTGAGTGATTTTCTGGATACAGTGAGTAAGCGGGAGGGTGCCTTAGGAGAGGCAACATACATCTTGCTCCTTTAGGAGGTGTTTGCGCCAGACGTCGGCGTCCAGGACGGCCTGAATGGCAGGCGTGTCATCGCCAGTGATCTATCCCCATATCAGAACTGATATTGAAGTCATCGCAATGTCTGACTTACCTCTTGCTCGACGTGAAGGATCGAAATATGCGTAGGAATGGGGACCTCACGACGGCTAAGAGCCCTGAGCAAAGTCGACTTTCCTATACCGTTTTGACCAACCAGACCATAACGATGACCATAAGCCAAGGTGAGGGTGCTGTCTGTAAGGATCCGCTTCCCACTAATGGAAACATCAAAGCTATCGATCTTGATGTCCTTGCTCTTGGAGCTGGATTCGGAGCCCAATTGCAAGGGGTTGACGGCCATGTAGAATTCCTCATAGCTTTGCGTCTCGGTAGGCTGGTTGAGCAATCTGGACGCTTCATATTCCACGTTCTTGAACTCTTTGCGGTCCTGCTTGGCACGGAGCTTCCGCTCAGCCTTCTCCAACTTCTTACGGTCGACGCGGGACTCCACCTTGCGGGCACCTGCCTGCTCCAGATCCACGGATCCGCCGGCAAGCCCCAGGGTGGAGGATATGTTCCGCTGAGAGCCCATGTGGATGGCCTGATCGAGCTTCTTGGCAGCCGGCGCCATCTGGCGGCGCTCGCCATTGGTACCATTGGCAGCATTCAGGCGGGAGATGAACTTCTCGACGAGGTTGTTGATAGTAGCCTCATTTTGGGGAGAGAGGTCACCTGATGCAGAGAGGAGGAGGGCGGCTACGGCAGCAGCGGCTTCTTCCAAGGGGGAGGGGGCAGAGGGATCCGCATCCGAGGTGAAAGTGTTGGCGGCATGGGTCAGATATCCAGCGGAGTAATCGGCCAGGACGGGGTCGATGCTCGGGATTTGGGCCCTGATTTCGGCTTCCATTATTGTCTCTTTGCGGCTGTATGTAGCCCTTGGGTTGCTGTGTCTCACGAAAGAAGGGTGGTTTGCGTGGAAACAAATTTCAGACGGTGTGGCGCGGAACGACGAGGCGAGTGGCACCTTGGATGGTCGGTTTGCTCTCAGGCGTACCCCAGTGGTCTACCTCGTAACAAAGAACAATAGAAAGCCTGGGTCACGGCAGCGTGTGAAATGTCCAATCTGTCCTGGTGCAGTTCTCTCAATTGCTGGACTACTTTTGCTGGGTGGAGGTTCACCAGGCGCCTCGGCAAGGTTTACTGTGTAAGCCCGACCAATCACGGGCAGGTGTGGCGCAGGCTGGAGATCAACACCACCAACACCACGACCCATCGTGGCGCCGGAGCGAGTGCTCAGCCCTGAGACGGCCATGAAGCGCTAGAAGCGCCCGTTTGCTAAACACAGTCAAGCGCAACACGCCGTCTTCTTTGCATCGTATCTCCAGCTATGATTCTCCACCGCACATGATCCCCAAGGCCCATACGTACGTCATCGCAGGCTCAGAACCGCAACCGGCTTCCAACACAGGGTCGATAGCGTACTTTGATATTTGATCGTCCAAAGCAAGTGAGGCTTGGGCGCATCCGCAGCGGGACTGGGGCGGCCGTGTAGCGAGCCGGTCAGGGAGGAAGAAGCGGATGGATCTCTGGCTTCGTTCTTTTGCGAGGAATAATAAGAATATCTCATGGAGGGAATGGAAGGGCGCGTGTTGCGCCCCGCGCACACCATACGCCGGACATGGCTAGTATGCATTGGAGACAACGGTGAGAAATCGGATGCATGTTCCAAGACAAACCGGTTGTCCTTTGTCTTATTACATACTACAGTACTATTGAGGCTTCCTGCGGCTGATGGTTCACGACTCATCCTCACCGAGGCCTGGCGGATGGGTCGGACCAAACTACCGAATCCTGCCCTTTCGTCCAAGTCTCGTTGATATTTGCACAGTATGTGGTCATCTTGGTACCGTCGTAAGTGTGCAGATAGTTGACTCGACTAGTGGGCAGCAAACCAAGGATGGGACAAAGGGATCGCTAAAATAAACAATCCACCTTGGACTGCAGCCGGCAGCCGTCAGTCGAGTCTCCCACGGTTGCAAATGTCTCAGGATGATTGCAGCCGAGAAACAATCAACAACAACACGGGAGCGTCTGTGACTTGCCCAAACAGACGGTGCAGAGCACCGGTAGACGCGCCCTCGGCCCCCAAAAAGCTAGGTCGGTCGCCCCGAGTGGCTTGGGATGACCGGCTGAAGGTGCGGGACGCCATCTTATCATCTCATCAAACAAGCTCCACCTCCGAGGGTGCTTGCGTGACGGACAATCCGTCGTCAAGTTTGCCCATCACCGCGTGCGCTCTATTTTCGGCTCCCAGAAATGATATCTACCGTTCTCGCCGTCTTGTTCGCCGTGCAACAAAGAAGGGGATCCAGGCCCGCACACGGCGTCCAGCCTCTCCAGGTACGGCCCAGGAATCAAGGATTCTAGGATGGCCATCCGTGTCCCTCTTGCTGATGCTGCGTGTCACAGGCGGCTGCTCGGCGCCCGTTCACCAACATTGGATCCATAATGATAACAATGGCATATAGGGCATGTCCCTCTCTCCCCTCTACTTGTACTTGTAGTACGAAGAGTTTGCCGTGGAAATGCCATGAGGTGCAGGCTATGTATGACTACTGGATCGATGGGTAGATGTGCATGTGCCTTGTTATCATTCTTCGACAGCTGGAGGTTGACATTCCAAGCTTTCTTCGCTCGGCAGCTGCCCAGCTGTTCCAAACTCGCTAATCCCAACTAGGCCTGGCGCGCCGGACTGGGATGCCCCTGTCGTCGATCCCGGCCCTCTCTCTCCACCAAACAACCGCCCTCTCCGTCCTCTCCGTGCCTGTGCCTGCGCTTCCCATCCCATCCCTTCTGCTGCCTCGTTTGTCGCCGCGCTTCCTCCTCCTCCTCCTCTGCTTCTTCTCTCTCCGCTCCCTCTCCACTCGGATCAGCCTGGCCAGTGCCATATTCCGCTCCTCGCGCCGCCGCTCCCCGTTATGCGCCGTCCGGCCTGAAGGCCACGCCCGTGTACTCCCTACACCTCTCTGCCTGTCGTGCAGCCCTGCGACCCGCTCCCTCGCGCCTCGACATGCCATAATGCTCCCCGCCTCGTCACATCCCTCTCGTCGAGTGAGCCTCTCCCGGCCCCGTGTGCTGTAATCGAGAATGAAAACGGTCCCAACGGTAACTTCCCCCCGTCTCCTACCGCCTCTACTTCTGCAGCCCGCTCCGAACTGCATCTTCACCTCCTGCCCTTGCTCCGTCGCGACGCCCTTGGTGGCCCTTGTTGGCCCTCTCTTCCGACAGCGGCGAGATCGCTGGTTGCCCAGGACCCACAAATGCTGCTTGAAGTCCCTTGACTGACCCATCTTCGTGCTACAGCTGTGTGCAACTGCCACTGTCGTTGGTACTTCTGCCCTTGGCCTGGCCTTCGCCCGCGAAGACGACTCCCCTTCTTCCGCAAACAAGGGGAGGCTTCCCCCTCCCCCGGAACCCGATCATCGAATGTCTGCTGCTGTCCACGCTTCCCTCACCACGCCTGCTCCCCTTCACTCCCCCTCTTCTCCCACCTCCTTGGCCGCCTTCAACCATTCCGCCTCCCGATGCGACCCCGATGAACAGCTGCGACGGGGCCTGATTCCGAAAGAGAGTGCTTCCCTACAGCGGCGACACACACTGGTGAATAACTCCACGGGTCCGAGTGAACATGAGGTAGTGGACGATATCGAGGCCCTAGCCGACATCGCAGCGAGGAGACCATCGTGGATCAAGCGACTCTCCGTCTCCGCATCTCATAGTTCAAGCAGGAATTCCAGTCCTGGTCCCTTATCTCCCTCCGTCTCCTGCTCGAATGGTTCTATGGCCTTTTCGCACGACGGCTCCACTGCACCCATAATCGGGAAGCGGCCGCCTTCACCACTCCCTCCGAACAAACTAGTCAAACGATCTTCGTCCGTGCTCATTTCCCGAGATTCGCCTTCACAAGGCTCTGGATCTCGTCGTCCCTCTTTTCGTCGCCCAGCTACCAGCCACCAGCGATCGGCCACCTTGCAGCACCAGTCCGCGTTGGAGATCATGGCCGAGGACCGCCCTACCCACGATCTGCCCCTCTGCTCCAAGGCCGAGCATGACGTGCAGTACACTCAATTCTTCACTACCAAGGTTGCTGGGACGAAGACCTTGTCTAAGAAACGAGCCTTCATGCCAGAGCCCAACAGTTTCAAGAGAATATTTCCGGATGGTCAACACAAGCCTACACTTGTGCTCGCCAAATCCGTCACTGCGGCTACCGAAGAGGTGGACGACTCGTCGAGCGACGACGCCGATAGTGTTTATTTCGTGAGTAGGCCCGGCACTCCGCTGAGTATCGCTGCCATCATTGGCACTACATCAGATCCTCGTAACAAAACAGCTCCCGAGCCAATCCTTGATGGCCTACCGTCTCCAGCCACAGGTGATGCGTCTCGGAGCAGGCGCTCGTTTTCCATCTCCGATATCCTGCCACCGGGGATCAAGGCAAAGAGACAGCGGACAGCCAAGCTACCCGGCGCGAAACTTACACGTAGGGCAAGTCATAGGGCAACTTCTGCTCCCCTTTCTACCGTGGACGCCCCGCAAAATCGAACTTTGCACGGCGAGTCTGTTGCTGCATCCAGTGACGCAAAGTTGACTGAGCCCTGCCTGGGCCCACCTGACGTTGAGCTCGCGAGGGAGGGAGGTTTGCGGAAGGGGGAGCACAATAACGCCCCTCGGTCCTCTGAAGTTGGAGTTGGCGCATTGCCGCGTGCCCGTGCCGCTACGATCGCAGAATGCGAACCGGCGTCAATGCATCAAAGCACCATCAAGGCTACATCCTTGACGGCCACCAATCACAACCCTCCCTCTCCGACGTTAGCTCAAGCAGCAGGGCGACCATCTCGCAACTCGACTGCTCCGTCTGAGCATGCCTCCACCTTAGTTGGATCGGATAACGACGCGCGTGGTGTGGGATACGGAGAAGAGTCTGACGCGGACCTTCAAAGTGAGACTGTTTTTGATTCATTACGCACCGGGGCAACAAGAAGTACATCAGGCGCACGCGGCCCACGAATCGAGACCATCTTTGATGAGTCGCCTCCGTCCAAAGTTAGGGTCACTGCACTCCGGGACCTACTCCCCAAGGGAACATTTCGGGAGCAGGCTGCGGATGGTATCGCCGGGCAGCAGAGCATTGCGGAGGAGGAGGAAAGCATCACAACACCAACACCCGTGCGAACGACAGCCCCCGAACAATCGACCAATGGTTCGCCAAGTCTTTCCCGAGGGAACCGTCGCCCGGTGTTTCCTACCCTAATACCGTCGTCCCCCCCAGATATGCCTAAACCTCTGTCCTTGGGCACACTCGAATGGGACGCTACGCCAGACGATGATGGCAGCAGCAGATGGTCCCTGGAAGAGGAGGAGGATGGCACATCCTGGGCTGATTCTCCTACTTTTCCGCCAGCCACATTGCCTACTACGCCAGTCCTTACCGAACGCCACAGCTGTCGGCTGGTATCCAATGGCTCCGGACCGCGGCCTTCCAGCCTACGCTACAGTGGTGCAGATCATGGAGATAGGGATGCTCGAAGCAGTATATTTGATTGGTCCGAACAGCAACCCACTGATAGAAGCTCGGGCAATCGTTCGCCGCCACGTCCGCGCACTGTGCACGGCAAGAAGGACGCTGACGGTAGAGGGAGCCGCTCAATGGGTCGTCGAGCGCCCAGCGGGCTGCACGCTCGCAGTCAGAGCGTGCCCGTGGTTCCGGACGCCTCGGGCAAACGTAGCACCGTTGTCACCAATAAGTTTGGTACCTGGGGTGTCGGAAGCAAAGGTGTGACGGAGGACTGGAATGACGATTTTGATTTCTCCGAGATCAATGAGGACCCTGCGTCCGAGGATGCGAAACAATCGCACAGAGTCGACAGTGGTGCAGCCATGGTTGTTCCTAAGACGATTCAAGACCAGCAAACCAACGTGTTGGCCAACATTGGCCTATTACGCGAATGGGGTCTGCTAATCGAAGAGCTCAAGGAGCATCGGATCCGGGCGGCAAACTTGGGCTTGCTGCAAGGCCCAACTTCTGGAATGTGGGAAGAGGTGGATGCCATGATTGACCTTGCGGACCAAGAGGCGGAACAGGATGAGGTTCCTCGCTTATCACCACCGTCCACGCCCGGTTTCGACGAAGCCGCCTTCGATGACGTGGCGGACCCTAGCCCCAATCATGGACGCGAGCGACGGACATCTGGCGAGTTAGCGAGGGAGTCACTTGGCGCCCATAACGACACGCCTGCCCAGCCTGACCGCCCGAGGCGCAAGTCCATCCTGCCATCGAACCACGACATCTTCGGACCACAGTCGTCTCCTGTGCCTGCCAAACCGGGTTTCGGTACGCCTCAGCCTACTTCGTCGTACATGACGGTAGTCACACGGCCGCGCAAGGATTCAGAGGCAAAGGCGCGGTCAGTCATCGAAGCTCTGCAGCGGAGAAAGAGTGTACAAGAGTCCGAGTCCGACTTTGACACTGGACCACCTTCAAAGAAAGTGCCTTTCGATACGGCAACACTTCGCCGCATCGTCCCGTACGTAAGCACCTTGACACGCAAGGTCAAGGATGCACTTAGAGAGGCTGAGGGCCTATACTCGAGTCCAAGCACCAGTCCGAGGGAGCCGCGCTTCAGCAAACTGTTTCAGGCGGAAAGTGACTTGGCCAGTCAGGTCAAAGTAATGACGATCAGATGAACTTGATCCACCAAAACGTGGGTATGTCGCATGTTTCTTCTTTCGAAAAATCTCATGAGGCACGAGCAACAAAAAGCACGATACCTTTGACAATGCGGGTAGAAACGTTCTTGATAGCGTTCTAGCGACCGATACCGATACACTCAAGTTTTCCTTGCTTTTTTCTTTTCCCCTTCCTGCATACGGCGCGGATTCTATTGCCTTTGTACCCATCGATGGTGCGCACACACCGCGTCTTTTTTTGTCTTCCTTCTCGAGCGATACCAGCAACAGTTCAACGTTATTGAGCATGTTGGATGGGCCAATGTATTTTCCTTGATTACTACGGGCGTTCACGGGGCGTCAAAAGCACGGCACGATTTGTCTCGGGTTATGAGAAGAAGGGAACAGAGAACGAGGGAGAGACTTGGGTGCATGGGTGAAGTGGAAAGCCCTTCGATATCAAGGAGGAGGAGCCACGAGCATACATGGGAGACATGTACAACCAAAAATACGGACCGGTCCTCATTCTCACATTTCTCATCCGTCATGTGGTTTGGCAGATATGCTCGGACGGTTCTTCTTTTTTTTTCGCCGAGGTGATGGGATGGATGGGACGGTCGTGCATGCTAGATGCATTGAGCGCGCTTTATGACGGAGATGAGGATGAGCGTGGGGACGATGAGTATACAGAGACACCGACACAGAGACCAAGAAATTCATTGTGTATGTCTTATTACATGTGTACCTCGAGTGCGCGTATTGTTTGGTGTCACATTGATACCGCTCTTGTGAAGAGTGTGATGCTGTGAATGTTGATGATATCTTGAAAGGGTGGTTCCTGGTCCATAGTGTGAGATGTTAATGCGTGGGCGTCAAAGGATGGACCTTGTACGGAGTACTGTAGGTACACAGACAGCTCCAGGGTCTACCTGGTTGTTAGGAGTTAGGGAACTTCTCACGGTATATTATATGGAGAGGAGTCGCGTGGTGAGACGTCCGGTGAACGGCTTTTATAAATAATGCAGGGCGTCGTATGTGCGGGGGATTACGTGGGGCTGGCGGCGGGCTTTTTTTGAAAACGTCCAATTGCTTTGGAATTGTGTCCATGTTCCACGGCCACCTCGCATGGAAATGCCAACAGAGAGGCCCTGCAGGATTGCCCGTCGACCGAGCAGCTCGTTGGACACGAGTGCAATTTTCGCTTGCTTGCCTAGGTCGTGTCCTGGTGTATGGTGCTGCATGATGATGGATGACGGTTGTGGCTGAGGGGACCCTCTTGAGGGATCGGCGCCGTAAAAGCTGCCGTCCATGGAGCTGTTTGTAGATGGAGGACAAACACTCCACCTATCTACCTATAACTATCAACCTACCCGACGATCGGCCAACGAGCAGCGAGGCGTTACACACCTAGGCGGCATGCGTTCCTGAAGTTGTTGCTCGCGTGTCTTAAGAGACGTGGGGTAGAAGTCCACCAGTATATAACCTTGGAAGAAAAGCTTGGAAGAAGACAATCAGATAGCAGTTGTGGTGGGTTGGTACCTGCAGCTACGCATTTGCAACTCATCTATGCGAATGCGCAGGGCACTCACTCACATCGCCAGGTTCCTCCGCGCGTCTAGCGTGTGCATGAAAACACTGGGCGTCTACTCCGAACACAGCAGTGGGAAAAGAGAGTACATCTCACACCTCTATTATAGGTAAATGGCTCCCTCGATACATCTCCTCTTCCACCTCCTCCTCGTACCCACCCTCTCCATCGCCCCCATCTCCCTCGCCCACGCACAAAGCACAGCAGCAGCAGCGTCCGCAGAATGCCCGTCTTCAACGATTGAACCGCTGCACGCGCGGCCGTCGGTGGCGTCTGGGTGGTCGGCGCGGGTGGTGGCGAGTGGGTTGACGCGGCCTAGGAGGATGGTGTTTGATGGCGAGGGTGGGTTGCTGGTTGTGGAGTGGGGTGTTGGGATTGCGAGGGTGAGGGTTGGGGGAGGGGGATGTGTGGGGATGGGGGAAGAGGGGGTGGAGAGGGTGGTTGGGGATGGGAGGGTGAGTTGATGATTCTGGGTTGTATTCTTCTTTTGTTTTCCCGACTTTTCTTCTTCTTTTGTTTTCCCGACTTTTCTTCTTCTTTTGTTTTCCCGACTTTTCTTCTTCTTTTTTCTTTTTCTCAATTTTTTTTTTTTTTTTTTCCTTTT